TTCTTGCATTAAATCCCCATTTTATAATGATGCATCACTAGGCTAATGTTCTTGCTACATGGGGCTTCTTCAATGTAGATTGTTTGTTTACCTGTATATGTGTGACATTTCACTGGCTATTCATTCTTCATAATTAGCCCTAGCTACATGTCGTCTCACAGATGACCCTGTGTGAAATGTGGCGATGCTCGAGACGGACTGCCACGGGTGTTTCATATTGCCAATGTGCTGCAGTCACACACATTTACACAAACAACACACACATACTGCCAGCGCACCCACCACCCCTCCTCAACATGCTGTAACATTTTCCTGTTATTAACACTTTGTTAAGACTTTCATTTTTTCCATTTAAAATTGTAGTAAAAAAAATTTTTAACTTTCAAAACACACAATTCATCACCCTTTCGACACACCCACTCCTTTCCACACGCCCACTACTTTCCTTTCGACACACCCACTCGCCCATACTCCGGTCGCCATATTGGGATGCGGCAACCCCCTTCTCGCGGAGACAGTATTCACGGTAAACGCAGCATATCTCGGCTGAAACTGAAATGACCTTCAAATGTCAACCGCGTTACAATGCAGATCTATTGTAATTTTACAGCATTATTTTGGGCAAATGAATCCTTAATGTAATCATTTCCCGTGACAAACTGCTCTGAACTGTGAAATGTTTAGAAAATGGGTGGTAGGTTTTACGTAGTGTGTAGGACCATTGAAAATGTATGGGGCCCTATGGAATCAACACCAGTAACTGGTAGCTCTAGTAGGCCTATGTTAAAGAGTTTTGTCATTGTGGTATGATGGGAATTGAAAATCCATGAAGTCTATTTACTCACTTCTCTGAGAAAGGATATACTTTATTGCATGTGTTCAATTAGAATTTTAGGCAGGGTGAATAGACTTCAGTAGATGTTCCATTAGAGCCATGGCTCATAAACAACAGTTCCCTGTTGTAATATATTGAAGGTAACAGCTTAGGAAGATTACAGGAGCGAGATATAGAAACTTTCATTACAAACGGAAAGCAGCCAAGGCAAAGTGAATCCAAACCCTCCAATCATGTCAAAGCCCAGACTTGTGACACCTATGACGTCAAGGCTGTCAGGCAGAATAGTTGACCACCCATTGGTTGACCATCCGAGGAAGAGCCATAGGGGTGAGAGGTCGTGGTGGGGCTGAAGCCAGGTCCCCTGTTTGTCTGGGACAAGGTGTCATCACAAACAGATGGAGCACAATTACACCCTCGGGTGACAGAGCGCGTGTGGCTACACTAAATAGCAGTAAATAACTGGAATGTGTTGTAATAACAAGATTGGAGCTAGGAGTGAATATCAACACAAAACAAATACAGTGTGAGAACCATGAGCAGACCAGACAGAAGCTCTGGCCCTAAACCAATAAGGAGAAAGGGAATATTGTTATTGTTTTGTTTCCACAAATCAGTAAATGTGGGGAAAATGCCAACAAATCAAAGCAATAACATTGACATACAGTATAAGCCATTCATAATATTTCTAAAAAGATTGTACGCTACAGCTCAAAGAAAATAGGGGTTGTCCTATGCAAGCTCTAAACTTCACCGCAAAATGACATGCTGAAATGAACATTTCCACACTCTTGTGGAGTAATGGAATTTAGATTACAAGAAAATGTAATCCATTCTTATCATTAAAAAACAATATGAAATCAGTTGAAATGTTCATATTCATAAAGCTTCCTTCTTAAAATGCAAATGAGTTCCCAGCCAGGGTTCGTACTCCAGCTTAAATGTTAGAAATACATTTACTTTCAGTGCCATGGTGGGGGTGGGGGTGGGGAGGGGAGGGGAGGGGACAAAACCTAAATGATACATGAACTCCCCCCTCATCCTTCATGTCTGTGCTCTCTGTTCCATAAACCAAGGGGAGAGCTGTTTCCCTATTACTCCACTCATGATGCCTCAGAATGGGAGCCCTGCATGGTGCCATTTTAAGGTCCATTTATGATAGGTGGTGGTGGGGTTGCTGTAAAAACACTCCTTAAAAAGCTATGCCAGTTCCCATGCAGTGCTATTACACACCGACCTTGGCTGCCTGCGGATTCTCGACCCCACACTGGCAACCCACAGCACACGGTGATTAGACTGGACCACATCTCTGGAGACTGACCGAAGCCAGAGTTAAGCATTCATTTTTCAAGAGGAGGGAATGGAGAAGCACATTTTATTTCGTCCGAAATGTTGTGTGTGTGTGCATGCGGCTGCCTGTATGTTCGAACTAACTAAAGTATCTACAATCTGTCTACACAAAAGTGTGGCCCTGATAAGGCTGTGTCAAGGCACATAGACAAGAGGTGTTATACTGATGAATGACGATGTCATATCCTGTCTCAGTGACTGATGGGAAAGGGAAGAGACAGTGTGATGAGAGTGGATGAGAGGAGGCCCCGGGAACAGGAACAAGCTGAATCATGTCAATGATGATAAGCATCATCATCATCATCATCATAACACCTTTTATTCGTATTGCTCATTTACAGAAAGGACTTTGAAGATATTGGCAGAAAGTATTCATACCCCTCAACTTTTTCCACATTTTGTTGTTTTACAGCCTGAATTTAAAATGGATTAAATTGAGATTATTTTTGTCACTGACCTACACACAATACCCCATAATGTCAAAGTGGAATTAGGTTTTTTGACATTTTTATTAATTAATTAAAAATGAAAAGATGAAATGTCTTGAGTCAATAAGTATTCAACCCCTTTGTCATGGCAAGCCTAAATAAATTCAGGAGTAAAAATGTGCTTAACAAGTCACATAATAAGCTGCATGGACTCACTCTGTGTGCAATAATAGTGTTTAACATGATTTTTGAATGACTACCTCATCTCTGTACCCCACACATACAATTATCTGTAAGGTCCCTCAGTCGAGCACTGAATTTCAAACACAGATTCAACCACAAAGACCAGTGAGGTTTTCCAATGCCTCGCAAAGAAGGGCATCTATTTTTAATAATAATTAAAAAAACAGACAATAAATATCAATTTGAGCATGGTGAAGTTATTAATTAGGCTTTGGATGGTGTATCAATACACCCAGTCATTACAAAGATACAGGCGTCCTTCCTAACTGCAGTTGCAGGAGAGGAAGGAAACCACTCAGGGATTTCACCATGAGGCCAATGGTGACTTTAAAACAATTACAGATTGCTTTGATAGGAAAAAACTGAGGCTGGATCAAAAACATTGTAGTTACTCCACAAAACTAACCTAACTGACAGAAAGAAAAGAAGGAAGCCTGTACAGAATAAAATTATTCCAAAACATGCATCCTGTTTGCAACCAGGCACTAAAGTAATACTGCAAAAACTGTGGCAAAGCAATTTACTTTTTGTCCTGAATACAAAGTTTTATGTTCGGGGCAAATCCAATACAACACATTACTGAGCACCACTCTCCATATTTTCAAGCATAGTGGTGGCTGCATCATGTTATGGGTATGCTTTTAATCGTTAACAACTGGGGTTTTTCAGCATAAAAATTAACGGAATGGAGCTAACCACAGGCAAAATCCTAGAGGAAACCCTGGTTCAGTTTGCTTTCCACCAGACAGGGAGATGAATTCACCTTTCAACAGGACAATAATCTAAAACACAAGGCCAAATCTACATTGGAGTTGATACCAAGAAGACAGTGAATGTTCTTGAGTGGCCGAGTTACAGTTTTGACTTAAATCTACTTGAAAATCTATGGCAAGACCTGAAAATTATTGTCTAGCAATGATCAACAACCAATTTGACAGAGCTTGAAGAATTTTGAAAAGAATCATGGGCAGATGATGCACAATCCAGGTGTGGAAAGCTCTAAGAGACTCACAGCTGTAATCGCTGCCAAAGGTGCTTCTACAAAGTATTGACTCAGGGGTGTGAATACTTATGTAAATTAGATATTTATGTATTTCATTTTCAATACATTTGCAGCAATTCCAAAAAACATGTTTTCACTTTGTTATGGGGTATTTTGTGTAGAAGGGTGAGAAAAATATATTTGTATCAATTTTGAATTAAGGCTATAACAAAACAAAATGTGGAATAAGTCAAGGGATATTAATACCTTCTGAAGGCATGGCACTATAGTGTACAATCCCATTCAAGCTATGGACAACCTGAAAAAGAGACCTAACCCTCTTCAGAATACATTCATATAGAAGTAACCTTGTGATACAGTGCTGTATGAAGCCATACAAGTCATAGACCTGTGCTGCATTACGCAGGGGTACATTGACTCTCCATAGCATTCATTGACCACTGCCATCCATATTGAAGTTCGGTCTTTCTCTTGTCACTCACAGTAACGGTTATTGAAGGTAATATCTTCACTTTATTCTATTCCATTTCCCCATCTCCCAAAGCCACCATATGCACGGAATTGTTATTGATTGTGTGGACTATGTGTGTCCCATTTCCCTGTAAACACACATTATGAGGCAGCAGTCACCAATCTTCTCTAATGAGTGGCACCACCCAGTACAACAGCCAATGGTGTAAGAGAAAATCTAAATTAACTGTAAAAGTAAGAAACAGAATCCTAAATCTCCATAGTTAGACAGGGAGTTGAGTCAGCCCAACTACCAAGGAGGGTCCAATCCAGCAATTAGCATTTAAGAACATCCTTTCTGTCCTTTCTTTTTTATTTGGAAGATAATGTAACTTTGCATAACTCTTTTGTTACTCCATAATCCATTTATGGGTTTTATTTCATAGAGAGCGCTTGAATGGCCCTTAAATGCCAGAATAAAGAAGAGAGCAACTTTTACCCTTTTTTCGGATAGCGCGTTTATCTGGAGGGTGAAATGAAAAGCACGAAAAGCGGGTGCTCATTTAAATGCATCTCACATCCCGGTGCCCCCAGGCGCGCGTCAACGTGCTGCTGAGCTCGCGCCATACCTGCGGCGGGAAGAGAGGAGGCGACTTGGGCGTTTGGCTAGTTTCCCAACGTCGGGGAAGGAGGGGCGACAGTGAAAGATTAGCGTGATAGTGCTCCCTTAAATACCGGGCACCGACTGATCAAAGCGTCCCATTCATAGCAGATCCTCCGCCAGTGCAGCTATCTGGTACGCGCTACCGTCCCCAAACCTAACCGGTGACATGGCAAACGCTTACCTGCAAGGAGTGGAGATCTCCGCATCACAGTTCCTGGATATTTTTCACCATTATGATAACGATGGTAATTTATTCCTTAAGATTGTGGATTATTAATGGGGATGGCACTGAAGTAAAACGATTTTGGGGAAGTTTTGCGCCAAAGACCTGCATGGACCATTTGCGCTTTTCGAAAATATGTAGTAGCCTATATTAAATTAAAAAGTCGATTTGGCTGTCAAGACTGATCTTTTCGGGACATTTGTTCTCTCAACTTTATCCATTGACAATTGGATTGACAAATAATGTATTTAAAACCATTAACTACCCTTTTGTCTAACCATTAGGCTATTGCGAAATTATCAATATTTACAAAACTATAAATTACTGGAAAATATTCTTATAATATTGGGATAGGTTTAGGCACTAAAAATGGAAGTTGTGCATTTTTTCAAAGTATGATTCAGTCATACAGCTGTCATGAAACGGCAAATGATGGATTTGATCCTGTGCATAATGTTCTTACACTTAATGTAGGCTACTTTACACATTTCTTTGATTGATTTGGTGCTTACTTCTTGCAGGTAATGGATATATTGAAGGGAAGGAGTTGCAGAGTTTTATAAAAGAACTTCAGCAAGCTCGAAAACAGGCAGGACTTGTAAGTAAACTTAATTATTTAAACTTATTTTAAACTTTTTAAACTTTAAAACTAGAATTTTGAATGAGAAGTTATGCATAATGATCAATGTATTGGCAGTAGGCCTGACAACTAATTGTCTTCTCAAACTGAACTGTACTTAGTTTTTAAATGCTTTAGGTGAATTCACTGTCAGCATGCAGTCAAAGCGTACTAACCTCTTTTGGAGCTAACTAGTGCTCTCAAATTGTATCCTGATGTCGACAGCAGATTGGAGTTGTATTAATAACATGGCTAACTTAGCTAGCTAACATACATTTTGAGAAAACAAGTTATATTTAGTGGCAAGCTAGCTAGCATTAGCAACGTTTGGTGGTCAATGAGCCTGAGAAATAGCTAACCAGATGAACTAACAAACAATGTAACAAAAGTATAATTTTGGATTCTAAAAATACTCCATCAACAGGCTCTGCAATCACAGCAAGTACCCCTGGTGCACTATTCCAGTATTTTGCCATTTAAAACATGTATTTTAAAAGAAAACTCAGGTTTGCCCTCACTGGCCTTTATGTGTTTCAAACATTTTACATTTTAGTCATTTAGCAGACTTGAGCTTCTCCGAGGTGTAGTACTTGAGCGCTGCGATTAGTTGCTCAGAATTCTGGGGCGGGGCTTAGCGAAGGGTCAATTGACATTGATTGATACAGTATGACTAGTTATGAGGTGTCAAGTACATGTCTGGTCTACCAATGTTCCATATGTCTTTCCATGCCTAAACGACTTATGGAACAACCCCATATTCCTGTTGCGTCAGATTGATGGGTTGATGGATGTATTTCCCACGTTTCCATCTTGCTCAACTGTCAGCCCCAATGGGAAAGAGCAGTTTTAGGAAATTCTGTTTTCCATTCTGACCTTGTTATTTGACACTGGTATGTTTATTTGTGTCTCAACTCAGCGTTTTGGGGTCTGAATTGGATTGAGTCACCCATTCCTCAGTGTCAAACAGCATTGCACTTTCCTACTTTGCATTTTGGAAAGGTTAAACACTTATTTCCCATTCTGTGTACAAGCAATTAGCCAAGCCTCTGTAAAACAAGCCATTTGGCACTCAATCCCAGATTTTTAAACAGGAGTAATTGCTCAAGGTTTGCCAGACACTGAAAAACACCTTTTGATTTACACTATAGGGAGAGAGCATGTTGGGGAGTTGATTATGGAAAATCGCGGCATTTACCATCAATTTAAGTGTCCATTTACAACTGCCCAATCAATGGTCAGTGAGAAAACACCATTGGAGTGCAATTTGAAGTAGGACTGGAGTTATTAGCATATCTGACACCACCTTATGCAGAGAGATGCATCTTCCTTTCATACAACATAATCAAGACCTATGTTAGAATATTGCCTACTTTCTACATGTTGCAACGTATTGCCTACTTTCTACGTGTACACTTTGTTCTCCAGTGAGTGTGCAAGGTGGTCTTCTTCCCTAGATGTATCCTCTTGGGCCAGCTTCTCTGAAAGGAAAATTATGAAATGATAATGGTCATATATTTGGAACATATTTGGTGGTGTGACACTGGGATTTACAGATTTTTTAATTTTTTTGGACATCATCTCAGGATATGGTTCACATTGTTCTTGAAGCAATGCATTGCTTTTATTGATTGTTTTGGAGATTAAATGCTAATGTAATAATCTACCTAATTTGAGTCCTACTGTGTTAACAGTGCATTCAAAAAGTATTCAGACCCCTTGACTTTTTCACATTTTGTTACGTTACAGCCTTTTTTTTATCCTCATCAATCTACACACAATACCACATAATGACAAAGCGAAAACAGGATTTTAGACATTTTTGTAAATGTATTAAAACAAAAAAACAGAAATACCTTATTTACATAAGTATTCAGACCCTTTGCTATGAGACCCGAAATTGAGCTCAGGTGCATCCTGTTTCAATTGATCATCCATGAGATTTTTCTACAACTTGATTGGATTCCACCTGTGGTAAATTCAATTGATTTGACATGATTTGGAAAGGAACACACCTGTCTATATAACTTGCACAGTTGACAGTGCATGTCAGAGCAAAAAACAAGCCATGAGGTCGAAGGAATTGTCCGTAGAGCTCCGAGACAGGATTGTGTCGAGGCACAGATCTGGGGAAGGGTACCAAAAACATTCTGGAGCATTGAAGGTTCCCAAGAGCACAATGGCCTCCATCATTCTTAAATGGAAGAAGTTTGGAACCACCAAGACTCTTCCTAGAGCTGGCCGCCCGGCCAAACTGAGCAATCGAGGGAGAAGGGCCTTGGTCAGGGAGGTGACCAAGAACCCGATGGTCACTCTGACAGAGCTCCAGAGTTCCTCTGTGGAGATCATGGGAGAGCCTTCCAGAAGGACAACCATCTCTGCAGCACTCCACCAATCAGGCCTTTATGGTAGAGTGGCAAGACGGAAGCCACTTCTCAGTAAAAAGCACATGACATCCCGCTTGGAGTTTGCCAAAAGGCACCTAAAGGACTATCAGACCATGAGAAACAAGATTTTCTGGTCTGATGAAACCAAGATTTAACTCTTTGGCCTGAATGCCAAGCGTCACATCTGGAGGAAACCTGGCACCATCTCTACGGTGAAGCATGGTGGTGGCAGCATCATGCTGTGTGGATGTTTTTCAGCGGCAGGGACTGGAAGACTAGTCAGGATCGAGGGAAAGATGAACGGAGCAAAGTACAGAGAGATCCTTGATGAAAACCTGCTCCAGAGCGCTCAGGACCTCAGACTGGGATGAAGGTTCACCTTCCAACAGGACAACAACCCTAAGCACACAGCTAAGACAATGCAGGAGTGGCATGCAATAAAGTCCACTTCAACAGGCTTACCTCAAGGCCATTTAGCAGTGCTACACATCATACAGTATCTACAGTATCACATTGTCACATGTAACACTTCCCAGTCCCAACATAGACAACCTCAAATGGCTGCCTTTAAAGCCCAGTGTGTAGTCAAAAATGTGATTTTCCTGTTTTATATATACAGTGCATTCATAAAGTATTCAGACCCCTTGACTTTTTCCACATTTTGTTACGTTACAGCCTTATTCTAAAATTGATTCAATTGATTTTTACCCTCATCAATCTACACACAATACCCCATAATGACAAAGCAAAAACAACTTTTTAGAAATTTTTGCAAATTTATAAGCACCTTTGGCAGCGATTACAGCCTCAAGTCTTCTTGGGTATGACGCTACAACTTGGCACACCTGTATTTGGGGAGTTTCTCCCATTCTTCTCTGCAGATCCTCTCAAGCTCTGTCAGGTTGGATGGGGAGCATCGCTGCGCAGCTATTTTCAGGTCTCTCCAGAGATGTTCGATTGTGTTCAAGTCCGGGTTCTGGCTGGGCCACTCAAGGACCTTCAGAGACTTGTCCCGAAGCCACTCCTGCGTTGTCTTGTATGTGTGCTTAGGGTCGTTGTCCTGTTGGAAGGTGAACCTTTGCCCCAGTCTGAGGTCCTGAGCGCTCAGGAGCAGGTTTTCATCAAGGATCTCTCAGTACTTTGCTCCGTTTATCTTTCCCTCAATCCTTACTAGTCTCCCAGTCCCTGCCACTGAAAAACATCCCCACAGCATGATGCTGCCACCACCATGCTTCACCGTAGCTATGGTGCCAGGTTTCTTCCAGATGTGACGCTTGACCAAAGCGTTCAAGCTTGGTTTCATCAGGCCAGAGAATCTTGTTTCTCATGGTCTGAGAGCCCTTTAGGTGCCTTTTGGCAAACTCCAAGCGGGCTGTCATGTGCCTTTTACTGAGAAGTGGTTTCCGTCTGGCCACTCTACCATAAAGGCCTGATTGGTGGAGTGCTGCAGAGATGGTTGTCCTTCTGGAAGGTTCTCCCATCTCCACAGAGGAACTCTAGAGCTCTGTCAGAGTGACCATCGAGTTCTAGGTCACCTCCCTGACCAAGGCCCTTCTCCCTCGATTGCTCAGTTTGGCCTTGCAGACAGTTCTAGGAAGAGTCTTGGTGGTTCCAAACTTCTACCATTTAAGAATGATGGAGGCCACTGTGTTCTTGGGGACCTTAAATTCTGCAGAAATGTTTGGGTACCCTTCCCCAGATCGACACAATCCTGTCTCGGAGCTCTACGGACAATTCCTTCAACCTCATGGCTTGGTTTTTGCTCTGACATTCACTTTCAACTGTGGGACCTTATATAGACAGGTGTGTGCCTTTCCAAATCATGTCAAATCAATTGAATTTACCACAGGTGGACTCCAATCAACTTGTAGAAACAGCTCAAGGATCATCAATGGAAACAGGATGCACCTGAGCTCAATTTCGAGTCTCATAGCAAAGGGATACTTATGTAAATAAGGTATTTCTGTTTTTTATTTTTGCTAAATTTGCCAACATTTCTAAAAACCTGTTTTTGCTTTGTCATTATGGGGTATTATGTGTAGATTGGTGATGATTTTGTTTTATTTAATCAATTTTAGAATAAGGCTGTAATGTAACAAAATGTGGAAAAAGTCAAGGGGTCTGAATACTTTCTGAATGCACTGTTTCCACACCATGAGGTTGAAATAATACTGTGGAAATTGCTAAGAAGCTATTTTTGTTTCTTTTTGACCATTTTAATGGAAAACAATCACAGTAAGCTACTAAATTGTTACCCATAAATGATTTGATATTGACATAAAAAACGGCTGCATCTTCTATTATAACTTATTTTTGCTTTCTCTTGAGGCACTTCATGTTCTTCTATGAAAGTACCTGACAATATCAGTGCCTCGTCAACTCCATTCAATTACACTGAACGTGTCAGTGGAGATCTCTATCCCCCCCCCCCCAGGCATTACATCACTGGCTGGCTGGCTGTGCAGCCAGGTCAACTGTGATACAAGTCAGTATTCGACGTCCATCCATGTCTGAGGACGTCGGAAGATGACGTGGAACCGGCCTCTAGGGGCAACAGTGAGAGCTGTTACCTTCAAGTAGGTTTCGGTTTTGCTAGGGCGTTGTGAACGAGGAATGGCAGATGGGCATAGGCATCTGATTCGAAAGGTTGAAAGTTTTAATCCAGCGATAGAAAGTCGTTTTTGATATTGTTGTTTTAAGCCTATCCCAAACCTTAACCCTTACTTTAACCATTCAGAGTTAATGCCTACCCTTAAGAAATTTGAGTAAATGCCTGAACTTAACCCTAACCTTAAACATTCAGAGTTAATGCCTAAACTTAACCTTAAACACTTTGAAACTTTACTTTTGGAACAACTTCGAAATTTGCCATTTGACAAACATGGATCAACGTCTAATTCTGACGTGAAACTTTGAGAGCTGGTTGGGCCCCTCCGTACATGCATAATCAACGCATCGCGCGGCCATCTGTATGTGTGCAGCGACATGGACTGACCTGTGCCAAAACTCTATTAGAATTGTGCTCTGATGGGTGAAGATTACAGCACTCGCTCCTAATCTAATTCAGATTGGATAACATGGCCGTCTGCTTGGCATGTTAAATGGTGTTTGTGAGGACACAAGGTATACACAGGTCTTTAACCACACCAGGTGCCTACTAAACAGCCTTTCTGGATAATTGAGCAGATTACTGAGCCCTCTCATGTTATCAGTGCTTGTATTTCAAACAACTAAAAGCTTCCCTGCATAAAACATAATTACTTGTTATAAGGATGTGTGAATCCCTATTTAGTTTCGTTGTTAACTAATTATATGTTTATATGTTGAGATTTGTATGGAATTCTCCAAGGCAAAAGCTACTGCAATTAATTTACACTGTACATTTCTCTCTCTCATAGGAGCTTACAGACCAAATGAAGGCTTTTGTACAGGAATATGAGAAAAATACGGATGCCAAAATTGGAATTGTTGAGGTGAGAGTCCACATATACTCATGATGCAGTATACATACACAGTAGGTTAAGGCCCACCTAGAATTTGGGACTTTCAGGGACACCGGGTCTTGAAACACTGCCAGGTTTAGAGGGGGCTTCTCCCTCTGTGAAAGGTGTTATAATATCATTTTAAAAGACAGTCACTTTAGCCATGCAGGGTCAAGGGGATTCATATCTCTGCTATAGATGGATACTCTGAAGCTTTAGCTGAAATACAGGGTCCAGACAGGGTCATTCAGCTGTACACAAACACACCCACGCACGCATGCGCGCACACACACACACACACACACACACACACACACACACACACACACACACACACACACACACACACACACACACACACACACACACACACTCACACACACAATGATTACACACAAATAAATAGAGGAATCCACATAATTTGAAAGTGGAAATAACATCTAGTGTATTTGGAATACGAGATTGCCGTTTAGATTAGATTCCCCAGCAGGATGATGGATGAACAGGAGTCCTGTTTGAAAACAAATTTTAGGCATGGGGTGTTTCAATGCCTCCGGATTGGTTAAATTGCAGCTGTCTGATGGCTAGTCTAGTCGGGAGTACTCTGAAAGTTTAGGACGGGTCTCAAACCGGATTTACAATGCATTCTCAGCAGCCAGCTGGGTTTGCTCACTTGGCAAAAACTGGTAGAATCAATATTGTTTTCACGTTATTTCAACAACAAAAAATGTATATGATGACGTTGAATCAACGTGGAAAACTGATTGGATTTGCAAAAAGTAATCAATGTAAGGGAATTTTGTATTTTTTTCCACCCAACTTTAACCTAAATCCAATGACATAGTGAAATGTTTTGTTGATTTCACGTTGAATTCACGTTAGTTGACAACTCAACCAAATGTAAATCAAAACTAGACGTTTGAAATGACGTCTGTGCCCAGTGGGTGGTGGACTAAACTGTCACAGGGTGCCGTTCTTTGCCACTGATCAACTGTTAAAAATAAATGGGATGTTCAACCAATGTAACCATGTTTCAGGACAATACAGTGTGATCTCTTATATCTTTTCCTATTTTCTCTGTGTCACAGCTAGTACAAATATTGCCCACAGAGGAGAACTTCTTGTTATTTTTCCGGCAACAGTTGAAGTCTTGTGCGGAATTTATGCAGGTATTTTTCTATTAACCAAGATGATCTTTTTAAAATGTTTTCAAGTGGCTCATAAATTACATAAATATAGTTTTTAACTGATTTAACTATTCTCTCCTCATTGATGATACAAACCCCTCTTTCACTCATTGTCTCATTCCAGGCTTGGCGATGTTATGATGCAGACCATAGTGGCTACATTGAAGCAGATGAGCTGAAGGTGAGCAATTCCTGCCGGTGTGTGTAGTGCCTCCCAATTTGTGTCTTGATGAACTGTCTCACTGTCCTCTCTATTTCATTAAGGGGATATAGGCTCACAAGGAGCCTCTGGAGGTCAAGGCTCATCTGGACTGTAACTTGAAATCACTTTTTTATTGTAAATAATTTTGGTAATTGAGCATTTTGTAGGAATCACGGGGGATTTTTTATCTTTCTTAACCCCTATACCAAAGTTTCATTCATATACGTTGGCTATAACCTTCCCTAGAGTAGTGTCAAGGAAGTCGTGGAATGATTAAGTTGGATTGATGTGCACTCAGAGTGATAAGAAAGGGGGATCAGAATTCCAGACGTATGCTTGAGGGCCTATGGGTCAGAGGTTAATGTGGGGTCAGAGATCAGACAACCTAGAGTATCTTTCACACCGAGTCGTGCTCAAACTCTTTATGAACTGATTCATGTCTTCACATTAGTATGCATGCCAATACACACATGTATTATAATGTATTTTCATTATCTGGAACAATACATCAGGTACACATAGGCACCAAGACCCATACATCCACCCCCCTCCACACACATGCACACCACAACCCTCTTTCAAACCTCAATAACCTCAATTAATAGTTAAAAGACTTTACAGTTAGCTTTGCCCGTCAGTGGTTTGATAACGATGACACTGTCAACAGCCAAGCACTTTACTGCAAGACTTAAGAGGTAGTTTGGAAGGTGTATCATAGTTAGTTTTTTTTTCTTCAGTATACATGAAATGGAGAATGATTTAGAAAACAAAAACCATTAAAAGATTTAGTTGTACTCAGTGTCATACAGTCAGGTCCAAAATGATTGGCATCATTGATAAAGATGAGAAAAAAAATACTGTATAAAATACTGTATAAAATAATACAAATATTGAGCTATACACTATCTAGAACCTAAAATAATTATTTGGCTGTCCCCATAGGATAACCCTTTGAAGAACCCTTTTTTGGTTCCAGGTAGAACCCTTTTGGTTCTATATGGAACCCAAAAGAGTTCTACCTGGAACAAAAAATAATAGCAAACTCCAGGTGTTAACATTTGTTTGATGACATGAAAATATACCTCTTTGGCCACGCACACCAGTGGTGGGTTCGGTGTCGAAAAAAAGATGAATATGCAGAAAATATCCCATACCTACTGTAAAATATGCAGGTGGATCTTTGATGTTATGGGGCTATTTTGCTTCCACTGGTCCTGGGGTCCCTTATTAAGGTCAATGTCATCATGAACTTTACCCAGTACCAGGACATTTTAGCCAAAAACCTGGTTTTCTCTGCTAGGAGGCTGAAACTTGGCCACAAGTGGATCTTCCAGCAAGACAATAACCCCAAGCACACATCAAAATCCACAAAGAAATAGTTAGTTGACCACAAAAATCTAAATTTTCAGTCGCCGGACTTGAACCCTGTTCACAACCTGTGGTTTGAATTGAAGAGGTCCATAAGCACAGATGAAGACTATCATGGATCTGTATGAAGAAATGGTCTAAGATGCCTTCCAATGTGTTCTCCAATCCCATAAAACATTTTTGAAAAAGATTCAGTGCCATTATCCTCACAAAGTGAGGTATTGAAAACAGGGGTGCCAATAAATTTGACCCCTATCTTCTTGTGAAAAAAAATGATTACTTGTTAAACAAAATCTTTCTCTGAGCAACTGTATTAGTATAAAATATAATTTTTCAGTTTTTGTTGAGCATATAATATACAGTGCCTTCAGAAAGTATTCATACCCCTTGACTTTTCCACATTTTGTTGTGTTACAGCCTGAATTCAAAATTGATTACATAGATTTTTTTTCTCACCCATCTACACACAACACCCCATAATGACAAAGTGAAAACATGTTTTTAGAAATGTTAGCTAATTTATTGACAATGAAATACAGAAATATCTAATTTACATAAGTATTCACACCCCTGAGTCAATACTTTGTAGAAGCACCTTTGGCGGTGATTACAGCTTTGAGTCGTCTTGGGTATGTCTGTATCAGCTTTGCACATCTGGATTTGGGGATTTTCTCCAATTCTTCCTTGCAGATTTTGGGGAGTGGTGGCGAACAGCAATCTTCAAGTCTTTACACAGATTTTCAATGGGATTCAATGATCTCAGAGTCTTTCACGTGGCTTTTGGCAAACTCCAAGCGTGCTATCATGTGTATTTTTCTCAGGAATGGCTTCCATCTGGCCACTCTACCATAAAGCCCAGATTGGTGAAGTGCTGTAGCGACTGTTGTCTTTATGGCAGGTTCTCCCATCTCAGCCAAAGAACTCTGTAGTTCTGTCAGAGTGGCCATTGGGTTCTTGGTCACCTTCCTGACTAAGATCCTTCTTGCCCGGTTGCTCAGTTTGGTCGGACGGCCGGCTCGAGGCAGAGTCTGGGTAGTTCCATATTCTTTCAATTTCCCAACGATGGCTGTGACTGTGCTCTTGGAAACTTTCAACACTTTAGAAATTGTTTTATACCCTTCCCCAGATATATGCCTCATCACAATTCTATCTCAGAGCTCTACGGACAGTTCCTTGGACTTCATGGTATAGTTTCTGCTCTGACATGCACTGTCAACTGTGCGACCTTTAATAGACAGGTGTGGTTCTTTCTAAATCATGTGCAAACAATTGAATTGGCCACAGGTGGACTCCAATCAAGTTGTAGCGACATCTCAAGGATGATCAAAGGAAATTGGATGCACCTGAGCTCAATTTGGAGTGTCATAGCAAAGGGTTGTGAATACTTACACTACCAGTCCAAAGTTTGGACACACCTACTTATTCAAGGGTTTTTCTTTATTGTAAAAAAAAGAAATAACACATATGGAATCATGTAGTAACCAAAAAAGTGTTAAACAAATCAAAATATATTTTATATTTGAGATTCTTCAAATAGCCACCCTTTGCCTTGATGACAGCTTTGCACACTCTTGGCATTCTCTCAACCAGCTTCATGAGGTAGTCACCTGGAATGCATTTCAATTAACAGGTGTGCCTTCTTAAAAGTTAATTTGGGGAATTTATTTCCTTCTTAATGCAATTGAGCCAGTCAGTTGTGTTGTGAGAAGGTAGGGGGGGTATACAGAAGATAGCCCTATTTGGGAAAAGACCAAGTCCATATTATGGCAAGAACAGCTCAAATAAGCAAAGAGTAACGACAGTCCATCATTACTTTAAGACATGAAGGTCAGTCAATACAGAACATTTCAAGAACTTTGAAAGTTTCTTCAAGTGCAGTCGCAAAAACCATCAAGCGCTATGATGAAACTGGCTCTCATGAGGACCGCCACAGGAATGGAAGACCCAGAGTTACCTCTGCTGCAGAGGATAAGTTCATTAGAGTTACCAGCCTCAGAAATTGCAGTCCCAAATAAATGCTTCACAGAGTTCAAGTAACAGACACATCTCAACATCAACTGTTCAGAGGGGACTGTGTGAATCAGGCCTTCATGGCCGAATTGCTGCAAAGAAACCACTACTAAAGGACACCAGTAAGAAGAAGAGACCTGCTTGGGCCAAGAAACACGAGCAATGGACATTAGACCGGTGGAAATTTGTCCTTTGGTCTGGAGTTCAAATTTGAGATTTTTGGTTCAAACCGCCGTGTCTTTGTGAGACGCGTGTGGGTGAAGGGATGATCTCCGCATGTGTAGTTCCAACTGTAAAGTATGGAGGTGTTATGGTGTGAGGGTGCTTTGCTGGTGACAATGTCTGTGATTTATTTAGAATTCAAGGCACACTTAACCAGCATGGCTACCACAGCATTCTGTAGTGATACGCCATCCCATCTGGTTTGGGCTTAGTGGGACTATCATTTGTTTTTCAACAGGACAATGACCCAACACACCTCCAGGCTGTGTAAGGGCTATTTGACCAAGAAGGAGAGTGATGGAGTGCTGCATCAGATGACCTGGCCTCCACAATCCCCCGACCTCAACCCAATTGAGATGGTTTGGGATGAGTCGGACGGCAGAGTGAAGGAAAAGCAGCCAACAAGTGCTCAGCATATGTGGGAACTCCTTCAAAACTGTTGGAAAAGCATTCCAGGTGAATCTGGTTGAGAGAATGCCAAGAGTGTGCAAAGCTGTCATCAAGGCAAAGGGTGGCTATTTGAAAAATCTCAAATATAAAATGTATTTTGACTTGTTTAACCCTTTTTTTCTTACTACATGATTCCATATGTGTTATTTCATAGTTTTGATGTCTTCACTATTATTGTACAATGTAAAAATAAAGATAATCTCTTGAATGAGTAGGTGTGTCCAAACCTTTGACTGGTACTGTATGTAAATGAGATATTTGTGTATTTCATTTTCAATAAATTTGCTAAACTTTCTAAAAACATGTTTTCACTTTGTCATTATGGGGTATTGTGTTTAGATGGGTGAGAAACATTTTTTTTTTCTCCATTTAATCAATTTTGAATTCAGGCTGTAACACAACAAAATGTGGAATAAGTCAAGGGGTATGAATACGTTCTGAAGGCACTGTAGCTCAGTATTTGTATTATTTTTATACAGTATTTTTTGCTCATCTTTATCAAGGGTGCCAATATTTTTGGACCTGACTGTACCTCCCGGACAGTATTGCATTTAAAATGTGTCTGCTATAGCAGGCGTTGTTGTCAAACTGATCTTTCTGCTTTTGCTTCATTTCCAGAACTTTTTGAAAGATCTGCTTCAGAAGGCTAAGAAACCATATGACGAAAAGAAGCTAGATGAGTATACACATACCACAGTAAGAATCTGGTTTATACTTATGCAGCTAGCCTCAGCAACAACTTTGAGAACAGTGTAGCTAAATGGCTACAACAAATAGCTCCATACAGTATAGTCCTTCATTTTCTGTTTTGTGGAGGTTTAATTTGTTCATTTTTCTCTTCCAGCTCAAAATATTCGACTCAAACCATGATGGGAAGTTGTGTTTGGCAGAAATGGCGAGGTCTGCTTATGGAGTTTTGTCCTGTGTGATATGAATGATATATCTGTCTACACATCGTGCTGTATATGACCTGAACACAATTCTTCCAATGTGTGTTTTTTTTAACAGGCTGCTACCGGATGAGGAGAACTTTCTACTCAAGTTTCAGGTTGGTGGTTATTCCCAGAGTAAATCCGAGAGGGAATGTGAAAATCAGATTGACCTTCACTCAATTGTCTCCTCTGTCCCTCTCTTTCTCTTTTCCTCCTCCTCTCTCTCCTATCTTTCTGTCACAGAATGTGAAGATGGTGAGAAGAGAGTTCAACAAGATCTTTGAGTTATACGATCAGGTACGTTCCAATAATACATTGTCATTATACACCCTCTCAAAAAAATACGAATCACTCTCTGTTATGGCTTTTTGAATGTTTCAATGCATCTTAAGACACAGTATGAATGAAGACAGAAAGTGCTTCAGAAAGTGCTAGGCTATGCAATTTCTACTCTCCAGGGATGCACTCCCTCAATCTTTCTCTCTTATCCTCTTTATCTATCTCTCCTTCTCTTTCTTGCTCTCGTTCTCTCCCTATCTATCTACCCATTTCTCTTCCTATTGCCCTTATTTGTATGCACAATGGATACAGTGCCTGGCCACCCCCTGTCCCCATCACTCTCTCTCTCTTTCTCTCGCTCTCTCTCGCTCGCTCTCTCGCTCTCCTCTCTCTCTCCCCCATCCCCATTTGCCCGACCCCCTCCCTCTCTTTCCTCTGGTCTCTCTCCCCCTATAATGTATGACTGTCTATGGAGCAGGTCGGCCCATTCCTTCTCTCCGGTGGCAGCGCCTGTGATCCATATTGACTGGCAGGTTCATGTTGCGCAGGAAGGCAGGAAGGCGGGCAGACAGGGCAAACAGGGCAAACAGGCAGGGAGGCTGACAGGCAAACAGACAGGGAGGTGGGCAGACAGACAGACAGACAGACAGACAGACAGGCAGGCAGGCAGGCAGGCAGGCAGGCAGGCAGGCAGGCAGGCAGGCAGGACAGACAAGGAGCAGACAGGCAAGGAGGCAGGTAGGCAGGGAGGCGGGAGGGAGGAGTGCTGGGCCTGGCTGATATGTGACATCCAGGCAGGTAATTGAGGCAGCAAATGACAACACATTCATTAGTTTGCCAGTAGAGCATTACAGGACAATTCATCTGAGTGGCTGGCTGGCTGATCATGCTTTTCCATTTGTTTTAGTCTTCGACCATAGAACCTGGTTTAAAGATTTAGAATGCCAGAAGTGCCATGTTGGCACCTACTGTTCCACATGGTTACTGATGATGGCGCTCTTGTTGCCAACACAGATGATTGATTGCTAGACTCTATGGTACAGAATGTCTATTGCTCTGAATGGAGTTGGTCACACACAGAACTCCCCTAAAGTGGATAGGGATATCCTTGTAAGGTATTAATTTACACATTAGCACAGAACTACAGGGCATAAGCAGTGGAGGGGTAGGGATAGAAATCCTAAGAGGTGGGGTTTCAAAGTATCAGGCAATTGGTTGGTCTAGGCAGGGAGTTGTTCAGGGGGCAGAGCAGCGAACAGTTTTGACTGGGCTGAGCGGGAACTGTGCTTCCGCAGAGGTAGGGGAGCCAGCAGGCCAGAGGTGGATGAACGCAATGCCCTCGTTTGGGTGTAGGGACTGATCAGAGCCTGAAGGTACGGAGGTGCCGTTCCCCTCACAGCTCCGTAGGCAAGCACCATGGTCTTGTAGCAGATGCGAGCTTCAACTGGAAGCCAGTGGAGTGTGCGGAGGAGCGGGGTGACGTGAGAGAACTTGGGAAGGTTGAACACCAGACGGGCTGCGGCATTCTGGATGAGTTGTAGGGGTTCCGTCTTGCCAAGGTTCAGCTTGAGGTGGTGATCCGTCATCCATACTGATATGTCTGCCAGACATGCAGAGATGCGATTCGCCACCTGGTTATCAGAAGGGGGAAAGGAGAAGATTAGTTGTGTGTCGTCTGCGTAGCAATGATAGGAGAGGCCATGTGAGGATATGACAGAGCCAAGTGACTTGGTGTATAGCGAGAATAGGAGAGGGCCTAGAACTGCCTGGGATACAGTGAGGCACGTGGGCGAGCAGTTCTCGCACGGTCAGGTGGACGCAATCCAAGAGTGAGCGGCCGGAGATCCCAGTGAGAGGGTGGAGAGGAGGATCTGATGGTTCACATTCAAAAGCAGGTCTAGAAGGACAAGGCAGAGGAGAGAGAGTTAGCTTTCCTGCGGAGAGCCTCCTGACACAGAGAAGGGCAGTCTCAGTGATGAGCTAACCGATCATCTAAGGAGACAGCAGAGAGTGGAAAGACGGCACCAATAGTATCAGCGATGTGGTTAAATATAAGCCAGTACATAGATTACCAAAAACAAACAGTTCAAATTCATGAATAGAAAATATGAGCAAATATCAGAAGGGCCCATGAACAGGCTGTTCAAATATACACATCTGTTCATTATGCCTATTGTTTTGTTTGTTTACTGAGATCAGGCTTGTGAGATGTAGTGTGGCATCATGTTGACACTGCATACCAAACAACCCAAAGGCGGGCTGAAAGAAAGGTGTGGGGGGGAAAGGGGGAAGGTGGGTGTATAGCGATGTCTGGATAGATGGGGAGGGACTGGATATCATATATCTCGATCGGATATATACTCTCTCTTCTTACATCCTCTCCTCCTCGCTCTCTCTCTCTCTCTCTATCTCTCTCTCCTCTCCTCTCTCTCTCTCTCTTCTCTCTCTCTCTCTTCTATTCTTCTTCTCTCTGTTTCTCTTCTCTCTCTCTCTTTCTCTCTCGCTCTCTCTCTCAGGATGAGAATGGCTACATGGATGAGAATGAGCTGGATGCCCTCCTCAAAGACTTGTGTGAGAAGAACAAGAAGGTGGGTTTCCATTCCGATTAATTGATGGAGAAGAACGGAGACTAAGCCTTAACCCACGATAATCGAGAACTGGCAGTTTCATTGTTTTTATTTAGGCGATGTCTGAGGTGTAACTGTGTTGGAGCTGTCAAATCAGCAAGCGGCTCCCGGAGTTATACCTATCGCGGACATTGCCATTGGATGCGCCGAGTCGCATTAGTAATAAACCCATGCAGCCTTGTTACAAGTTCAAACACTGGAATGTGTGCATTAATATACACCTCCATTAGGCTGATATAAATCCTTATTATGTAGTAGAATGATTTTCAATTTGAGCGTCATTATTTCTGTATAGCCTACACTTTCTCGTTCTGTATTTCTAACGCGAGTGGGACGGGTGTGGCTTTGTGACAATGACCACACGACAGCCGCTCACAGATTTGATACTGTAGCTCTAATGCAGTTACACCTCAGACACCGCCAAAACACCAGCTATGCGGGTGGCAGCTATTGCTGGTTAACACTTGATCTGATTGAATCTAGGCCTGAACAGTCCAAACAAATCTTATTTTTTCTTCATTCATCTTGACACTTCAAATATCACAGAGGCCCTCGTTTGTTGCCAGTGGTGATTTGATTGGCCTGAGGACAATCACAATACTTCTTCAAACAAACTCATAAGAGCATGCTTAGAACTGGACAGATATCCAATATCTCTCTCTCTCTCTCTCTCTCTCTCTCTCTCTGCATGTAGCGCCTACTCCTCTTTTTTTTGTGTAAATATTTTGTGATATGTTTATGAGCTAAGCTTTGGGCCAGCGACCATCTCAAAGCCACGGGGGATTTTGAAATGAAAAAGTAGGGTCAATGTCAAATCTGTAAAAGTCGAAAGTTGAAAATGACAGTTGGATGTCTGCGTCTGTTTCTCGTCTCCGACAGGTGCTGGAAGTCAGCAAAATCCCCACATATAAGACGGCCATTATGGCGCTATCAGACGGCGGCAAGCTGTACAGGACGGAGCTAGCGCTTGTGCTCTGTGCTGAGGACATTTCAGCCCCTGCCCCCTTATAAACCATTCCCCTTTCCCCTTAACCACACCCCCTCCATCCCCTTCCAACCCGCCTCCCTTCCCCTCACTCGTGACGTGTGTAAAGATAATGTAGCTTGGAACTCCAAGGATGTAGGGTGTATTTTTGTTTCAGTTTTGCTTTTCTTTCAAGAAATCTGTCAATTTGCCAGCGACAGTGTGTGCATAGCTAGGGCACATTATCAAAGACATAGGGTGGCACATACTTTTCAAACCTGTTGTTTCTATACTGTTTGTAAATGTACAGATTTTTGTAACAATGAGATTGATACCACCATTGAAAGTCCCTGTACTTTGTCCTCTCTATGCTATATAATCCAAGACTGTAGCCTCTCATTGGCTGAAAGAGAGGGTGTGTCCCCTACTGACCAATGACAACAATGTTTACCATATTGTCAATTAATAGCTCTACACCAAGTAGTCCAACTACTAGTAACAATAACTTATTCTATTAGAATTATATCCCTCCAGTAGCCTAAGCAATATGTTACTAAAATGTTTCTGTAATGTGGTGCATGGAAACGAAAAATAAGGAAATAGCGGAAGAACAGTTCCGTGATGAGACAATTTTAAGCTATATCGTTTTGCAGTGCATGTTAGTTGCTGAAAGCTAGCTTTGTGGAGGTACTACTGAATGGACAAGCACATATCTCGGAGCTGTGTAGCCTAACCCCCGTGACCCCTGACCTGCCCTGTGTATAACGATGGTGCCAGTCTCTGATGTGCTACATGGACCTTTTTTTGCACTGTAAACAATGCCATGCCCCACCAAGCTGGGCACCAGAAACACTGTGTAAGATGTAATAAAAACTCAATTCAACAACTACCTAACACTGCTGTGTTGCTATTTCACTGACGTAGCAGGGAATTGACAATGTCAAGATTAATATGGATGAAACATAATAATAATAATAATTCGTTTAATTTGTAAAACGCTTTTCTCACACCCAAGGTGCAAAATATATACAGTATATATAAGCTACAGTATATACAGGTGTTGTCAGATCTGGTGGACAGGAGAACAGAATTAACATAGGTATTTTAAAGCTATTCTGAACAGCACAGTTAAGCTGTGCCTTAAACGAGGCCAGAGACACTGTAGCCCTGACAGTGACTGGAAGTGCGTTCCACAGCCGAGGAGCTGCACAACTGAAAGACCCTGTCACCCATAATTGTTTGTCTGCTGTGGGGCTGCTGAACGGAGACGGACCTGAAGGAGCGATGGGTGTGTGTGGGGTAGGAGGTACTTGGGTCCAGATGTACTTGGGTCCAGAGTTGTGGATAGCTTGGTAGGTGTGAACCAGGATTTTAAAGTCAATGCGTGAGCATATGGGAAGCCAGTGGAGGTTGAACAGCACTGGAGTGATGTGCTTACAGGGGGAGGTGAGGAAACATGCAGCACAGTTCGGGACACTTGGCGCCAACAAACAGGGTGTTATAATAGTCCAGACGGGATGAGACAAAGGCAGAATTAGTATCAATCTGGCCAGAAATTATCTACAATATCTTCAAATTGAATGTACAGGTATATCAACAACTCTCGCATCTCACTAAACAATTCAAAGGTATCAATCACGCCGATAATAATGACCCTTAACACTTCAGATGGAACTTTCTTAACCTGTGTGCCAATCTGTTTCTGCTTTAGTCAACTTGTCGTTGCAACAATGCAGCGTTGCTGAATGCAGAAACAGTCTGGTGCCCAGGCCAGGAGCTTTCTGTAGGCATAGGGGCACTTGATGGTCAAAAGGTAACCGCTGCTTTATGAAAAACAGAGGGAAGAGTTAACCTTATAAATCCCTGCATTGAGTGTAGAGGCATTGCAGTATGCAGTGAGAGTTGAGACAGCAGGATGATCTTCTCTCATAATTGGGCAGCTGCTGGATTCTCTCTCCGAGTTTGTAAATGTATAGCGATGGCTTATATGAGGTTAGCTGCAGTATGTAGCAGGTGTGAAGTGTGTGTGTGTCTGTGTGTTTGTGCTTAATGGAACTCTGGGATGAGAAAGGGTAGGGGTATGAAGTAGGAAGAGGGGAACAGGCTGCATAATAGGAAAGCTAATTGTACTTAATCAAAGCAAGGTACTGTTCCACTCTATACATTGAGGCCTGTTTCCTTCGACACATAATAGGCATACTCCTGACCTTAAAAGCATGGCCAATGGAGATCCTGCAAACAAATTGGACACTGGTTCAACACAACTAAAGATGACACAGGAATAACCAGATTAAATTGTCATTTCTTTCAATGGGACATTTCCACAAACCTCATAGGATAGGTAAATAAAACCCCACCACATTTCATTTTCTCAACTAAGTGTTGCTGACACAACAATCAGAGAGTAGTAGTGTTTAGCCTGGAGATACTCCAACACTGCGAGACACATACACACAGCTTTAGCAGGAGGGTCAGTGAACTGGTGCTTTGTGTGGGATTGAAAGGACGTTTCCTCCGTTGTGGTTGTTTGGTGCTCGTCCTATGGCATTAGACACTGTCAAGCACCCTCTGTTCAGTGAGGAGGACAAGGTCTGGTGGCGGAACAGGGAAAATGTGACCTGACAATCCACCACGCTCCACTGCTCTAATGAATACAGAAAGGGAGGAAAATAAAATATAAAATGTAAGGGTGAGTGGGTGAGGGAGGTTTCAGACAGACAGGGGGAAGAGGAATGAAAGGGAAAGAGTTAAAGGAGGTAAAGTGAGGTAAGGAAGGAGGGGGAAGTAGAAAAGGGAGGAAATGGAGAGTATGCAAGATAACATTAGTGTGACTTACACACTACAAATAGAGATGGGAGGGAGTGGGGTTCTCTCTGTGCCTCTGTAGAGAAGCTCACTGGCACAATGGCTACATATCACAGTAAGACAGCTCCCCGCTATGCCTGACAATGGGCTACTTCACGTTTGGCAACATTTTCATTTAGCTTCATGTATGGTGCACTGATAAAAGGCTTAGGCCCCATTCCAACGTTGTCAAAATGCATCCTGTCCTTCCTTGAGGTAACCAATCGGTATGTTATTGGATGCGTGAAGGCTATGTTTCCATCCTTTTAATTTCACCAATGAAGCCTTGGCACATCAATACTATTTGCATTTTTCATTCGACAAGCCTTTCAAGTTGCTACAAATCCCACTTCGTACCAAGAACCTCTCATTTAGGTTATTCATTTATAACAGCTTATGTCAGTGTTTAGACTAGTGATTTGTCGGAGTAACTAAAATAATAATAGAGCAGCCTGGGAGGGAATAATTAGTGTCAACTCAATTAAGTAAGTCCATCTAACGCTCTATGTCACATTAGGTGGCTGAGAATTTTAAAAGAATGCGTCAGAGATATAAAATGTCTTGTTAAAAAAGTATGTTATTCAACATACTCCATATAGACAAATCCTTGTAAACCTCACGTATTGTACACACAGAGCACAGGACAATCACTTAAAAGTAATGAATAGCATTACTGGAGGTCAACTTTGATAGGCAATTGAAACAGAACAGAATTCATTATTTTCAAGGAATCGTAAAAACAAATGATAAATGTTACTGGCAAAATACCAAGCCAATCGTAGGAACGGACAGGTTTTTCAACCAATGAGAAGCCAGTTTCATCCAGGAAGTGCTGCAGAATCTCAGACACAGTGAGAACTAAAAGGTTATGAGGTTCTCTCTCTCAAACCTCCTCTAAATAGTTGGCCTCCTGATAAAGCCATTTTCTCCTTAAACGCTGTCCTACTGTCACCATGCTGTCTATTTATTCATTAGGCATTGAGACATAAGGCTTGAGGTTAAGTGAGAGTGGGTGAGAGTGTGTGTTTGCAGAGAAGGCTGTGTGTGTGTCGATCCTGTAGCCATATTCCCTGACATGGTATAATCTCTGTTCTAGGTCAGAAACAGAGGGAAAGATTGTATGTGTGTACAGTATCTGTGTGTTAGTATCATCCCATCTTGACTTCTTAGGATCCCTTGGTGCCCCTGATCATGGTCTCCATCATAGCCCACTGCTCCTTAGTGACCTGACACAAACAAAACACAGCAAGTTAAAACAGGCACAACCTGACTCACGCATCCATAAACTAACATCTGTCATAAAATGTGGCCGATTTCTGCAACCAGCAACAGCTCACTTGCAATCTTGTTATTGAATCAATAACTAGTCGCATAACAGAACAGAGGATATGCAAAAGCTAGCAATGCTAACAAATTATCATTCTATGTTCATATTACTTTTTAGTGTTAAGGTTCCAGTCCTGACAGTGGAACGGGGTTTGCAAAGTTAATTCCAGCACATACCCTCCTCAGATCATTGAATTCTCCTGCCATGGAGACATACTCTCCACCGTCCATTCGAATGATCTACAAATAGAAGAGAATGTCACAACCAAAGAGAAGAACACGGTATATGTGGATGTTGAGGCTGAGTCATCATTTTCCCCATAGCGATAGTCCATCCCTATATCTGCATTGCTTAATCCTATTGCACCTTGAATGTCATTTACAGTGAAGGACTTACTGCAATCTGCAAGGCAGGCATTCAGCTAACATAATGATTGATATCCACTGCCTGGTTAGCTTATCAAGACACATTCTCTTACCGCTCCAGACACCCAACTGGCGTAGTCACTGCACAGGTAGGCTGCCAGGTTGGCAATCTCTCCGGGCGTGCCCAGCCTGCCCACGGGTATCCTGCCGATCATGGTCTTCTCAAACATGCCCGTGGGATCGAGACGACTGAAGGCCCCCTACACAAAGAGAAGAGGCCACAAAACACAGCCAATCACACATTTACAAGCCAAGATAAGACTAGAAAGGGAAAGATTTAAGACATAAAAATGGCAACACAGTATATTTGTATAGTTTCATGCCAGAGTTGTGTCTGCTACCTTGGTTCTGATTGGTCCTGGCTGGATGACATTAAACCTCAAGCCATACCTCCCCCACTCTGCAGCCAGAGACCTGAGAAACAAACAGTAGTTTGTTTACATACGCATATACAATAGACATACACATGAAAAAAAGGAAGAGAAACTCCAAGAACTACCACTACTGCATGTACTAATAAAGAGGGCCTAGTGTAGGCGCTAGGAATTAGTTTAGACTTGAGCCTAGGAGTGAGGCACTACCTCCTAAATATTCTCATAGGAGGTCACTCATAATGGGGCCTTCATTCTAAGTCTAATATGATTGGAGGGTAACTAGCTCAATCAATCAATCAAATTGATTTATAAAGCTCGGCACCTAAAAACAAAATACATCTCGACTATTCATACAGAAAAAGCTGGAGTGCCAAAAAGTAGATGCCAGGAGCGCTTTAGTCATTCCATGTCATTTTGGGAACATTATAGCGAGAGGCATCGAGGGTGGTGCTTGTTGAATTGATTTATTCCCTCTAGTTTCTTGAAAACCTCCGCACAAAAAACTGTAATGAACGAATAGGAGCTAAAAATAGGCTAGCTCTCCCCTGAGATGCCTAGTGCAATAAATGGGCATGGAATTTGGCCGCCGCTGCCTTCACAAAATAGAGAGGGGTTACTTTTTTGGGGTGAGCGATTTCATATGGGGGGGAATCCATTATCGGATAGTAGCGCTCATTCACACTGAAAAAAACACTGCATGAATGGGCCAACCAGCTATAGGCAACTCTGCAGTATGCGACTACACGTCTGTGACTGATACACACACCCCTTTAAACCCCCTACGCTCCTTTGAGACCCCTCTTTCAAAGTCACTGGGCAACCAGGCATTTTTATGTGTGACCCCTAAGCATGATGGGATGTTAATTGCTTAATTAACTCAGGGACCACACCTGAGTGGAACCACCTGCTTTAAATATACACTACAGTGAGTGAAACAAGTATTTGATCCCCTGCTGATTTTGTACGTTTGCCCACTGACAAAGAAATGATCAGTCTATAATTTTAATGGTAGGTTTATTTGAACAGTGAGAGACTGAATAACAACAAAATAATCCAGGAAAACGCATGTCAAAAATGTTATAAATTGATTAGCATTTTAATGAGGGAAATAAGTATTTGACCCCTCTGCAAAACATGACTTAGTACTTGGTGGCAAAACCCTTGTTGGCAATCACAGAGGTCAGACGTTTCTTGTAGTTGGCCACCAGGTTTGCACACATCTCAGGAGGGATTTTGTCCCACTCCTCTTTGCAGATCTTCTCCAAGTCATTAAGGTTTCGAGGCTGACGTTTGGCAACTCGAACCTTCAGCTCCCTCCACAGATTTTCTATGGGATTAAGGTCTGGAGACTGGCTAGGCCACTCCAGGACCTTAATGTGCTTCTTCTTGAGCCACTCCTTTGTTGCCTTGGCCGTGTGTTTTGGGTCATTGTCATGCTGGAATACCCATCCACGACCCATTTTCAATGCCCTGGCTGAGGGAAGGAGGTTCTCACCCAAGATTTGACGGTACATGGCCCCGTCCATCGTCCCTTTGATGCGGTGAAGTTGTCCTGTCCCCTTAGCAGAAAAACACCCCCAAAGCATAATGTTTCCACCTCCATGTTTGATGGTGGGGATGGTGTTCTTGGGGTCATAGGCATCATTTCTCCTCCTCCAAACACGGCGAGTGGAGTTGATGCCAAAGAGCTCCATTTTGGTCTCATCTGACCACAACACTTTCACCCAGTTCTCCTCTGAATCATTCAGATGTTCATTGGCAAACTTCAGACGGGCCTGTATATGTGCTTTCTTGAGCAGGGGGACCTTGCGGGCGCTGCAGGATTTCAGTCCTTCACGGCGTAGTGTGTTACCAATTGCTTTCTTGGTGATTATGGTCCCAGCTGCCTTGAGATCATTGACAAGATCCTCCCATGTAGTTCTGGGTTGATTCCTCACCGTTCTCATGATCATTGCAACTCCACGAGGTGAGCTCTTGCATGGAGCCCCAGGCAGAGGGAGATTGACAGTTCTTTTGTGTTTCTTCCATTTGCGAATAATCGCACCAACTGTTGTCACCTTCTCACCAAGCTGCTTGAGGATGGTCTTGTAGCCCATTCCAGCCTTGTGTAGGTCTACAATCTTGTCCCTGACATCCTTGGAGAGCTCTTTGGTCTTGGCCATGGTGGAGAGTTTGGAATCTGATTGATTGATTGCTTCTGTGGACAGGTGTCTTTTATACAGGTACAAACTGAAATTAGGAGCACTCCCTTTAGTGTGTGCTCCTAATCTCAGCTCGTTACCTGTATAAAAGACACCTGGGAGCCAGAAATCTTTCTGATTGAGAGGGGGTCAAATACTTATTTCCCTAATTAAAATGCAAATCAATTTATAACAATTTTGACATGCGTTTTTCTGGATTGTTTTGTTGTTATTCTGTCTCTCACTGTTCAAATAAACCTACCATTAAAATTATAGACTGATCATTTCTTTGTCAGTGGGCAAACGTACAAAATCAGCAGGGGATCAAATACTATTTTCCCTCACTGTATATATACAAAAGTATGTGGACACCCATTCAAATTAGTGGATTCATCTATTTCAGCCACACCCGTTGCTGACAGGTGTATAAAATCGAGCACACCGCCATGCAATCTCCATAGACAAACATTGACAGTAGAATGGCCTTACTGAAGAGCTCAGCGACTTTCAACGTGGCACCGTCATAGGACGCCACCTTTCCAACAAGTCTGTTCGTAAAATTTCTGCCCTGCAAGAGCTGCCCCAGTCAACTGTAAGTGCTGTTATTGTGAAGTGGTAATGTCTAGGAGCAACAACGGCTCAGCTGCAAAGTGGTAGGCCACACAAGCTCACAGAATGCTGAAGCGCGTGCCGCGTAAAGATCGACCGTCCTCGGTTGCAACACTCACTACCGAGTTTCAAACTTCCTCTGGAAGCAACCTCAGCACAATAACTGTTCGTTGGGAGCTTAATGAAATGGGTTTCCATGGCCAAGCAGCTGCACACAAGCCTAAGATCACCATTCGCAATACCAAGTGTCGGCTGGAGTGGTGTAAAGCTCACCGCCATTGGACTCTGGAGGAGTGGAAATGCGTTCTCTGGAGTGATGAATCACGCTTCACAATCTTGTAGTCCGACGGACAAATCTGGGTTTGGCGGATGCCAGGAGAACTCTACCTGCCCGAATGTATAGTGCCAACTGTAAAGTTTGGTGGAGGAAGAATAAAGGCCCTTTCCTGTTTCAGCATGACAATGCCCCCGTGCACAAAGCGAGATCCATACAGAAATGGTTTGTCGAGATCGGTGTGAAAGAACTTGGCTGGCCTGCACAGAGCCCTGACCTCAACCCCTACGAACACCTTTGGGATGAATTGGAACGCCGACTGCGAGCCAGGCCTAATCGCCCAACATCAGTGCCCAACCTCACTAATGCTCTTGTGGCTGAATGGAAGCAAGTCCCCGCAGCAATGTTCTAGTGGAAAGCCTTCCCAGAAGAGTGGAGGCTGTTATAGCAGCAAAAGGGGGACCAACTCCATATTAATGCCCAAGATTTTGGAATGAGATGTTCGACAAGCAGGTGTCCACATACTTTTGGTAATGTAGTGTATTTTGTATCCCTCATTTACTCAAGTGTTTCCTTTATTTTGGATTCAAGCGTAACCTTAAATGACAATCCAGCTAGTCTGTCCTTGTAATTCAAACAAACACACAACAAGCATATTGTACGTACAAACGCACACTGTTTTACACAAAGACACACACACACACTGCGGTTACTTGTATAGGACGTCAAACATATCAAGGTACAAAGGGGACATGATTGTGAGAGACACGAATAGTTCCCCCATTTATCATTCCCAGTACCCTGGGTTTATGGGGAAACCTTTCAGTGTCATTAACTCTTTCAATGGGATTGATAGGGACTAATATTGAGTGGGATCTTTCTTTGGGTAAAAGCCCTCAGAGGTTCATTAAGAAGGTGTATTCTTCATTTGATAAGAGCTTCCCTGTCTTCACATGAAAGGTGTCGGTCCCATTCAGGATTTTATTGGGTTCTCACACACACACACTAATGGATTCACACACGTGTGAACGAACAAGGTACACACACACACACACACACACACACACAGAGCCCATAAGTCTTCATTATTGTCTAAATCCTACTGGAGGAGGATCGGGAGAGAGAGACACACTTTAATGTTAATTAAATGTTCCTGGTCCTTCGTTATGCTAATGACTGCTTCTCTTTAAAAATGCATTAGTGTTCATAAGGCGTTTGACATGTGAGAAAGCCAAATCTTTTCAAATGAGGCCAGTGCGGATACCTCCGTGTGGTGTGTGCCATTCTGCCTCTCTGTTAAGGAGCCTAGTGATAGGAGTGACGGGTTGGTTTAGGACAGGGAAAGGGGTCCTAAACAGGTGATAGGTTTTTTGGTTGTGCCTGTTTGGAAATACCTACGTGCACAGAGTTTCCACTCCTGACTTGGCAGCCGCGCTGGGCACAACGAATCCAGAGCCGGTCTCTGCGTAGATAGTGGTGATGGCCAGAAACGCAGCACCTACAAACACAACGTATGTACATACCCCAAAGAAACAAAAATATGTCCAACTGTCAATATGTTGTAATCTGTTTGATTTGTAATTACTGTGCATTCAGAAAGTATTCAGACCCCTTGACTTTCCCACATTTTGTTACGTTACAGCCTTATTCTAAAATGGATCAAATTGTTAGCTAATTTATAAAAAATGAAAAACTGAAATATCACATTTACATAAGTATTCAGACCCTTCACTCAGTATTTTGTTGAAGCACCTTTGGCAGCGATTACAGCCTTGAGTCTTCTTGGGTATGACGCTACAAGCTTGGCACACCTGTTTTTGGGGAGTTTCTCCCATTCTTCTCTGCAGATCCTCTCAAGCTCTGTCCGGTTGGATGGGGAGCGTCGCTTCACAGCTATTTTCAGGTCTCTCCAGAGATGTTCGATCGGGTTCAAGTCCGGGCTCTGGCTGGGCCACTCAAGGACATTCAGAGACTTGTCCCGAAGCCACTCCTGCATTGTCTTGGCCATGTGCTTAGGGTCGTTGTCCTGTTGGAAGGTGAACCTTTGCCCCAGTCTGAGGTCCTGAGCGCTCTGGAGCAGGTTTTCATCAAGGATTGCGCTGTACTTTGCTCCGTTCATCTTTCTCTCGATCCTGACTAGTCTCCCTGCCGCTGAAAAACATCCCCACAGCATGATGCTGCCACCACCATGCTTCACCGTAGGGATGGTGCCAGGTTTCATCAGACCAGAGAATCTGGTTTCTCATGGTCTGAGAGTCCTTCAGGTGCCTTTTGGCAAACTCCAAACGGGCTGTCATGTGCCTTTTACTAAGGAGTGGCATCCATCTGGCCACTCTACCATAAAGGCCTGATTGGTGGAGTGCTGCTGAGACTGATGTCCTTTTGGAAATTTCTCCCATCTCCACAGAGGAATTCTGGATCTCTGTCAGAGTGACCATCGGCTTCTTGGTCACCTCCCTGGCCAAGGATCTTCCCCCCCCGATTTCTCAGTTTGGCCAGGCGGCCAGCTCTAGGAAGAGTCTAGGTGGTTCCAAACTTCTTCCATTTAAGAATGATGGAGGCCACTGTGTTATTGGGGACCTTCAATGCTGCAGAATTTTTTTGGTACCCTTCCCCAGATCTGTGCCTCGACACCATCCTGTCTCGGAGCTCTACGGACAATTCCTTCGACCTCATAGCTTGGTTTTTGCTGACATGCACTGTCAACTGTGGGACCTTATATAGACAGGTGTGTGCCTTTCCAAATCATGTCCAATCAATTGAATTTACAATAGGTGGAGTCCAATCAAGTTGTAGAAACATATCAAGGATGATCAATGGAAACAGGATGCACCTGAGCTCAATTTCGAATCTCATAGCAAAGGGTCTGAATACTTATGTAAATAAGATATTTCTGTTTTTTATATTTGTAAAAATCTTTTTTTGCTTTGTCATTATGGGGTATTATGTGTAGATTGATGAGTAAAAAAAAAACTATTTTAGAATAAGGCTGTAACGTAACAACATTTGAAAAAGTCAAGGGGTCTGAATACTTTCCGAATACACTGTATATGTCCAGCAGCAATATGTGTCATCATGTACATCCCTATAATTTACAACTGATCTCAGTTCAGACCAATTTATCCATTAGACTGTCTAATAGGCTGACTTGACCTGAGAGCAGCGGTTAGTCATTGCACAGTTCAATAGGCTTATATATCCTGCACACTAAAGCTCATAAAACATTGTGGCCGTTGTGGGCCAGATTACACTGCAATAGATTGAACATGAGTCAGGGTTACTTCTAGATCGATAAAACAAACGACACTACTACACACACATGGAATATCAAGAACTCTGCGGGGTAGTGGAAGGAGATGCTAGCAGAATAAATAGTTTGTCTGTGAGACTATTTAATCAAAGCCTGGAGCCAAGCTGCCAGGTGAGAAGACAAAGCAACTTTCTTGTACTGCAATAAAAGCACATTTAGATTTATGTAGCCAATAGAACAGGGAAGGGGAATTTATTATTTTTGGCCCGCAAATTGATTTTGATGAACAAATCGATCAAATAAAAAAAATGTGCGGCCCTCCGTTGAATTTCAAAATCCCGATGTGGTCTTCGAGCCAAAAAGTTTGACACCCCTGCAATAGAATAATGCTAATAGTATGAAAGAAGAACAGACACCTGGATATCAATTCAAATATGCTTTCTTACACTGTTGAAAGAAAGGCAGTTTTGGAAAAATACCAGTTCAGATTGAATAGGGCCCCTAGTGTGATGGCATGTTTTTGTCTTTGTACACCAAGGTAATTGCTTAATTGTGATTTGCTTAATTGCAGTGTTGAGGGCAGATGGAAAAGCCACAGTAATCAAAAAAGGGCTGGATATTCAAATGAATATTAAAGCTTATCCACGCACACACATACACACACACACACACGCAGACACACACATTATAAATAGCCACAACATTGCATGAGATCCAAGGCTTCTCCTATCCTCCCCTTACATATCATTGCCCCTTTGACCAGAGGAGACAGCAGAGAGAGGAGGGGAAAAAGGGGAAGAGAATTAATGAGAGGGTGCATGCACGCAAAGCCAAGAGGAGCTTAGGGCACAAGGGCAGTGGACAAGTGGAGTGACGCTGGACTATGACCAAGTGAATGGAAAAGTGCTCAAGCACTTCATATTGAGGCTCAATCACTGTCAATATGACAAACTTAAATAGAAATGAGAGAGACATGGTACACATGCATCCACACCACTATTCCGGGTTGATCCTCACTTGTTATACTACCAAGGATCAAATGTCCAGGAGTTGTTGGCAAATGGTGAATCTTTACTGCCCCCTGGTGGCTGCACTACACAATACATTACAACACAAATAAATGGGGCGGAAAAGCTGATCCTAGATCTGTGCTTATGGGCTCCATCAGATAGCTCTGGTGCTTACCCTTCTCGGCCAGTATCAGCCTCTTGCCCAGCTCCAGGGTGACAAAGGCCGTGCCGTTCAGGACAATGTCTGTGATGGTCCTCCATGCGTTGGCAGACAGCTTCTCTGAGGGGGAGATGAAGTTCCCTGCAGCGTTGTTGATCACCACCTAGAGGAATGAGAGAGGAGGATATTTACCAAGCAATTGGAGTATTATTGGCCAGTACATCTAGAACAGCGAAGTATACCACTTTCAGACAAAACTGTCCTTGATCTGCACCTACGTACATCAGGGAGACCAGCAACCTCCACCAGTTGGTCCACAGCAGCTTCAATTGCCTTGGGGTCTCTCACATCACACTGCACAGCATGGACCTGCAGATAGAGTCTTCAAGTATCAAACACAACTTAAAGCAGAGTTCATACTGATGTATCAGTCTCTAGAACTCTTGGATAATGAATGCATTCAATGTGGGTAATTGATCAGTAGTAGTACCTTATTTCCTGTCTGGGCTGTAATTTCCTCTGCAGTCTTTTTCAAAACGTCCAGTTTTCTATAAATTACAACAAAAATGTGTGATTTTCTAATTTGTGAGGGCAAGAAGGCAGCAGTAGAGTTGACCTAAAGTTAGGATTTATAGCCCAACTGACTACCAAGTCTCCACCCACCTGCTAGCGATGACACACTCTGCCCCTAGTGCTGACAGTGTTGTGGTCATGCCTTTTCCCAACCCCGTTCCTCCTCCTGTGATAAAGGCCACTTTGCCTTTGTAAGTCCCAGGGAGCAGCATTGATCCTTCATTTGCAGGAAAGAATTTAGCCTGGGGGGGTCCAGTCTCACTCAATGCCCTGGTCCCACTGCTGAACAACTATATAAGGACAGTAAATGGGATAATAAAAAAAAAACTCATGTTAATGAACCAGCTGAAAAGGGATGTTGTGAGTCACATATTTTGATTTGATTTATTAGGATCCCCGTTAGCTGACGCCAATGGCGACAGCTAGTCTTATTGGGGTCCGACACATAACGAGAAAGACATTACAGACAAAATACTTTCCAATTTACATACATTTTAAAACATTAACATGTAGTGTGTGCATCTATCAGTTACATATACAACAAGTAGGTCACATGGGGAGAAGCGTTGTGCCGTGAGGTGTTGCTTTATTTGTTTTTTTTTTAAGCCAGGTTTTCTGTTCACTTGCGCTATATAAGAACCTGTACTCGGCCTATGTTTGAACTTGTACTTCTGCAAGCAGCATAGAGGCCATTTAATTAAAAACGAGTTGTCTTTCCTGTCAAACAAATGCATTAGTAAGAGCAATTCACTTACTTCTAATGATAACACCACTGATACACTCTACTCCTCCAACGCTAAACACCACTGATGTACTCCTCCAACAGTGGGGGTGCTCACAATCCCAGTGCAGAGGGGACTGGGTGAAAGGTTGAGATGCTTACATGTCTGGCTGTGAGAACACACAGCAGGCTGCCTACACAGGTTTAGTATTTCGTTTAATATGTGCTTTTGCATTAACATCACAAAAGTGGTAATATCATCAACATTGTCCCTACTGCTTAGCAATTTATATGTAGCAGAACACTGTAACAAATGTAGCTAGCTAGCTAGCTATGCCAGAAATATTGCAGAATGCATTCACTCATGTCTGTCAACATCGGAAATAATGTGTAATTCAACTTTTTGGAAAGTGTGTAGGTACTGCACAGCTTTCCCATAGAAGCACATCTAGCTAGCCAACTAACAATAACCTGCTGCTAAACTAGCAGCTGGCTTGCTAACTTACACAACCAACAGAGTTTTTAATTAGATTTGGTAGTTATTGCATTCATCTCGGTGGAAATGTTTACCCGTCTGTAGACAAGACCCTTCAACGGCAAGGTTAAATCAGTTTTAGATATTGATGACACCCGTCCCAGTAAAGTGGATGCCATGTTTTCAAAACTTGATTTGACTTTTGCCTAGATTTCCGTAACGTAAAGAAGGGGATGGGCTTTTATTGAATAGAATGTAGGCGGTTCCATGATCTTACTCAGACTGTTTAGGGTAATTTTACGTATTTATAATACTTTTTCTTTCGAGATCAGTTCAATATCCCTTTTACTTTTCCTTCACTTATTCTATTTCATGTTGTCGTTATTAAAGAAACCATTAAATATTTTACATTTCAAATGATCATCCTATTTCCGCATGTCAATGGTAAGGTCCATGGTATGATAACGATCTGTTACCGTAAACCTACGTAGAATATCGCCTCTACTATGCATGACAGTTTTTTAAACCAACGTTTGCCCATCTTTTTAAAGTTGATCAAATGATAAGAATGACTACATCTTAAAATAAAATAACAATTATTCTAAAAATATTGTAATATGTATTTTTGTCAAAGGAATTCGATCAAATTAGCACATTTTATATTTAAATGGCGCTTGTTATGTGTATATGACTGTAACCCAAACAACCATCATGCCAGTGGTACGATTCTTGTGTGAACAAGGAGGCTAGCTACACTGTATCAAAAATAAAACATGTCAATGGATTGCTGCAATGTTATTTCGATGGCGACAGTAGAACCCAAACTCATCCTTTTATTTAGCGGGAAACGCAAATCTGGAAAAGATTACGTGACGGATTTGATTCACAAAAGGTACTATTGACTGTTAGCATACTGTACTGTTTACAAACCTATCAAAGCTATTATCGCTGAATTGAATACTCTATCAAATGTTATATTAGTTTAACAATGTGGTTTATGTATAATTTCTATCAGACTAGGTCCAGATGTTTGCTGTATCTTGCGTCTCTCGGGTCCTCTCAAACAGCAATACGCACAGGTTAGTAGAGTTGTGTACAGTAGTGCAACATCATCCTGGTCGATCCTCGGTGTGCAGGCTTGTGTTCCAGCTAATACAACACCTAATTCAGATGATTGAGGACCTTGCCTTGATGAGGTTAATCAATCACACTTAGTGCTGGGCAAGAACAAAAGCCTGCATGCCCAGTTGTTCTACAATACCCACTACTAGTGAATGGAGGATCACTACCACTGTCTCTCCTTATTTTACCCACTGTGTCGACAGGACCATGGATTGGACTTTGAGGAGCTGTTGGGAGCAGGTGAGTACAAGGAGAAGTACCGTGCTGACATGATCCAGTGGGGTGAGAAGCAGAGGGAGAAGGACCCAGGGTTCTTCTGTCATCTGGCCATCAAGGGAGCCCAGCAACCCATCTGGGTAAGATAACAAAATTCTCAAATGATCCAATGTTATGGGGATACACACTACAAGCCTAGTCCCACTACGTACGATTTATGGCAAACGCAAGTCTTTGAGTCAGGTCTTACTGACCATCTGCATATTTAGTGTTGGTGAAACGGAACAAATAACTTTTCCAGGCACTGCCTAATGAGCAGTTGAACCATAATGTATTGTGTCCTCTACCATTATACCTTCTCTAATCTCTATTGTGCTCCAGATTGTGAGTGACACGCGGCGTCTGTCAGACCTGCAGTGGTTCTGGAGGGAGTATCCTAATCAGTCTCGCTGTGTTCGGGTGGAGGCCTCAGAGGACACACGGAGGGAGAGGGGCTGGGAGTTCACAACAGGTACAATACCTACATTGATAGCATAATAATTAGTGGTGTAATCATGATCTTTCAGAGAAATACAATACCTCTTCAACGACAATCAATTCAACACCACACCCTCTCTCTCTGCAGGAATAGATGATGCAGAGTCGGAATGTGGGCTCGACCAAGGAGTGGATTTTGATTGGATAATCAAAAATGAGGGCGATGGATCACAACTGGAGGAGCAGCTTGTTACTGGGCTGCTCTCAATAGCCAAAGAAAAGGCAAAAGAGGACTGAAGTGGAGGGGACATTACACAGCTCTGCTGAAAGCTCTTATTGTTGAAAAGTGGAATTGGATATACATTACACTATTTTCTGTGAAAATCCTAGAACACCTTTGATACACTGAGGAGCAGCAGAAAGTGAGAATATGTAGTATTTATTTATCTACAGTGTTCTGTACTATCAACTAAGTAGCAGGGCAAGAAGATTCAAATCTGAGCAAACACCCAAACGGTAGCTCTGACCGATGTAAGCGAATTTACAAGGATCACATACAGGTAACTGCCAAAATAAAGGAAACATTTTAGTAAATGAGGGCTACAAGGTATATTGAAAACTGGTGCTTCCACACAGGTGTGGTTCCTGACTTAATTAAGCAATTAAAACATCCCATCATGCTTATGGTGATGTATAAAAAATGCCCAGTTGCCCATTATTTTGGCTATCATGGCTAGAAGACTTTGAAAGAGGGGGGTCTCAAAGGAGCATAGCGTGTGTGTCTCAGTCACCAACTCTCAACCAAATTGAACCCATGGGAGATTCTGGAGCGGTGCCGGAGTCAGCGTTTTCCACCACCATCAAAATACCAAATTATGGAATTGCTCATGAAAGAATAGTGTCACAACCATCCAATAAAGTTAGACACTTGTAGAATATGCCAAGTTGCATTGAAGCTTTTACATTTTAGTCATTTAGCAGACACTCTTATCCAGAGTGACTTACAGGAGCAATTAGGGTTAAGTGCCTTGCTCAAGGGCACAGACAGATTTTTCACCTAGTCAGCTCGGGGATTAGAACAAGTGACCTTTTGGTTACTGGCACAACGCTCTTAACCACTAAGCTACCTGCCGCCCCCTTTTCTGTTTGCTCAACACCCTATTAAGACACTATGTTGGTGTTTCCTTTATTTTGGCAGTTACCTGTACTTAGTGATGTCCTCACAACACAGGAGGCAAATTTCACCAAGACCCAATGTGCAGATGTTGACTTAATCTGTACTTGTGTAAGTGTCATGTCAGTCTTATATTGTGCCATGTGTCATTTCGTTTTTAGAGTCTTAGATTGTAACATAGTTATTAACTGGGTTACTAGCAAGTAGAGTTTTAGTTCTAAATGGCTAGAAGATTAACTGGAAACCAGGAAAGTGCACATACGTTGACCCATGGTCAAATTAGCAAAATACTGCATTACACACCCATTCAACAGAATGAAACGTACTAGACACAGACATGATCAATGATCTAATAGCAGGGTAAATGTTAGTTCATAAAACATTTTAAAGTAGACATGAGGGAATCAATGTTCACATTTTAAACAAGCAGCTCCATAGCACTCCTCTCAATAAAAAAATTACGAGTTTGGAGTTTACCTCAAGAGCAGCACCTATATTTAAGTGTTGTGTGACAAACTGAACAACATTTAAAAAAATATTTTGTAATGTCAATACGAATCATGGTCCTTTATTTTTTAAATTGTGTCCATTTTTGTGTCATGATTATTACAATGAAAACATTACTGGTAACACAATGTTTACACCCTTAGCGTCGAGTGAAAAGTTCCAGTTAAACTTGATGCAATACTTTACTTTTTATTTCTTTATTAATTTTATAAGGTTTGCAGTTCACTTCATTTGCAGAAAAAAATAGTTTAATAATCTATATTGATAAGAGGTTTAATACCCTTGTGTCCCTTCTCCCTATCCCTCCTCATTGGCCCCTATGCTTCCATTTTGGCAGTGGAATGCGTAGTGATTGGCTGATCACTCCCCTCCCCTACATCTTATCGGGAAAATTAACAATTAGCTTAGAGGACTAAGGCTGCAATTGGCTAGAATATCTGCGTCCAATTCTGTCTGAAGCTATACGACACATATCCCTTCAATGAACTAAGACTCATTCACAATTCAATTTCCTGATCTTTAAGTGGGAAGATAACTGCAAAACAAACCGTTCAGTTTACAGTAACTTGTGATAATGGCCCTTTTTGGAAAATGGCTCCATATAAAACAAAATACAAATGCCATGCAACTAAACAAAACACTTCTCCCTTATAAGAAATAAACATGTCACCCCCAGCCCATACTTGTAAATGAACACAAAATACTTGACAAAAGGTAGCACAGTTGTGGACCCTCTGGGCATTGGCACAGTAGAAAAGCAGTGCTTGTGTAGGGATATTCCAGCAGAGGGTGAGTGGTTTGAGGCGATATGTTGGTAGGGCAAGTGGTTCAGATGGGGGATAACAGGAGAGAGTTAATGATCAAAATGGTGGTCCCATTCCAAAGGGAGTCATAAGTTGTAAGAGTTGTTACCCTCGCCACCTTCCTATGTGTCCCAGTGGACACCAAATATCCCCGTAACAAGGGTTGTTATCAGAACAGGAGAGAAAAGACTCAAAGTATTTAAACGCTTACAGCTAAACAGCTAGCAGCCAAAGATAATAGGAGTCGCCTCAAAACACGTAAATCACACGCCTAAGCTGGAATGTGTCAAATTAGAAACCTGTGATTAACACTTAAGACGTGGGTGCTTCAGTAAATGTTGCCGTTTTGAGACTAAAAGATTGCTATGAAGAGAGGCTACAAAAAAAGGGGATGCTCATCAGGAGAGCATCCGCAGATACTGGGGTGGAATGTGGGAGAGGCGGTCAGCCATTTTGGTCTACTGGGGAAACACGTTTGGCTAGGTGTGGACTGAAGAAAGTGCTACCTTCACCAAAAACAATGAACAGCCCCCCCACCCCCCTTGCTAAACAGTCAGCCAGCACAGACAGAGAGACAGGACCAGAGGTGAGGGGGTGGAGCGATAAGAGGTGGTGGTGAAGAGGAGGGCCAGGCCGCAGCTCCAGTAGCCACTCAGAAGCTGTTGAGGTCCTCCAGGGTCTTGTCCAGGGTGGCATGGATGTTGACATTCTCCTCCTTGGCGTTGGCTAGCGCATCTGTAAATCACACACAAAGAGAATGAATGAATGTAAGATAAGGATCCTCCTGGTGGTGAGATGAGGACGTAAGAGGCAAGACATTGAGATGTTAAAGTGGTGTTTGAGTTTTGTCAAGATGTCTACTACACTATAGTGGAGCAATGGCGCAACATCAAGGGCTAAACCATCTCAATCCACATGACAAAACCTCCTGATAGCATAAAATCAGTACATGACTACTTTGAAAACAATATACCTTGTAGCCCTCATTTACTCTCTATTTCTGTAACTCAGAAACTGCATTTCTGCAACTCCACAAGCCACAACATGGTATAGCAACTGGTCAGATATTGAAGTTGGAGATCCCCCATAATACCATGGGTCAACAGATATTTTAGCAGTACCTCAAAAGGGGAACTTACACCAAACCATAACATTTGAATACAACTTCTCTATAGAGTGACAGAACCAAATATGTAAGACTTAATCTGTAGAACAAAACCCGGGGTGACTATTAAGGTGAATTCTATGACAGATCCTCATAACTCACAAGGTCTCCATAGAGTAAAGAGAGCCATGTTGTATGCTATACATTGTGGAGGTTTGGTATCACTAGAGAATAATTCCCTATTTAACTACAGTATAAATCACCTTGAAACTAACACAGCCCGAGCTACTGTATTGCCTTATTTATCTCTGACAGAGCGAGAACATGGCGTGATCTACTCATACTAACATTAAAACATTTAATAAAAATAAGTCTGACCTGTCAGCTACACTTTTCTAGCAGCTACATTTACAATTTAGGCCTTTAGCAGACATCCTTATCCAGAGCAACTAAAAAGCACCCTAAGGAAAAGCAAAGCTAAAAATATGTTTAAATATGTCCACAGTTTCAGCCCCCCCTCAGGTTCTCTGGCAGGTTATTCCAGAGGCTGTGGGCATAATAACTAAAAGCTGTCTCTCCATGCCTCTTGGTCCTAGGCTTTGGGATAGTTAAAAAAAGGCCAGTGCCAGAGGACCTGAGGGACCTACTGGGTACATAACTTAAAAGCATGTCTGACATGTATTGGGGTGCACAATCGTGGATTGACTTAAAAACCAATAGAAGATTCTTAAAATGTATTCTAAAAAACACAGGCAGCCAGTGCAAAGACCTTAAAACCGGTGTAATGTGTGCTCTCCGTCTGGTCTTGGTCAGTACCCGTGCTGCAGCATTCTGTATGTTTTGCAGTTAAATCAATGGCTTTCAATGGCTTTCTTGCTCATACAGTAGTCAAGCCTGTCAACTTAAGGTAGCTAAGTACGACAACCACAAAGCAGCGATCAGCAAAATCAGTGCTAGTCAGAAAAGACAAGTCCATGTGCTAGTGTAAGAAAGTACAACAGTAGTGGGTTTTTTCTTTTTCTCACTATGAACATGTTTTGTTTTGTCCTGCCTGCATGGGACAGCAAGTGTTACATTTGTATGACTATTTAATTAACAGCATATTGGTTGATATGCTAGTATAGCTATCATCTCTAAGTTTCTCAACATTAAGCTTTATTTGGTATTCATCACAACTTTAGATCGGTAATTTACTAGCCAATGTTGCCAAAACTTATTTTATTAAACTGGTAAGAGACCCTCCATGAAATCTTAGCTGGCTTGAACAAGAAAAATATTTGTAAAAGCATGCTAGAAATGTATTCACTCAGCCAGCTTCTGCTTAAATTTTTGTAGCCAACCTAATTATATTTCTAACTATCAGTAGCACACAGTCATGGTGCATTAGATGGAAACAATGACTGTATATATTAAATGGACAAAGCCATCAATCACGTGACACCATTCATTCCTATGTGAAGACTCAAAAGTACATCTAATGAAGTCAGTTAAGATGGCGTCTCATTGAGACATAACATGCGCAGTTAGAGCTACTCCAGGAAGTGACGTTGCAGGCTAGCTCAGTGCTGCCCCCCCTCATTGAGTAACTCAAGTTGAAGGCCACCCGGGGTAGTGCAGGCTGCCATTAGCAACTAAAATGTTCTGTGCGCAATTTTAAAATAACACATCTGGTGTATTAGAAGCAATTATTGGTACCATTATTTATTATTTACGCGAAGATTTCCATTTACTATAAATGGGGGATCCTGTTTTCTGCTAACAATCCCTGGAGTACCGCGGTCATCTTTTAACTTCTGTTGCTTAAATGAGAGGGGGCAGTAGTTATCCCCTGGATGGAAACATAAATCATTTGCTAATGATTTACTTAAATTGCCTACAAGAATGTAGCCTAATATACATTTTATAATAAACGTTTACAGACACACATACACTGCATTCGGAAAGCATTCAGACCTGAACTTTTCCACTTTGTGATGTTACAACCTTATTCTAAAATGGATTAAATTGTTTCCCCCCCCTCAATCTATACCCAATACCCCATAATGACAAAGCAAAAACAGGTTTTTAGAAATGTTTGCAAATGTATTTTAAATAAAAACTGAAATATCACGTTTACATAAGTATTCAGACCCTTTACTCAGTACTTTGTTGAAGCACCTTTGGCAGTGATTAGTCTCGAGTCTTCTTGGGTATGATGCTACAAGCTTGGCACACCTGTATTTAGGGAGTCTCCCATTTGTCTCTGCAGATCTTCAAGCTCTGTCAGGTTGGATGGGGAGCATTGCTGCACAGCTATTTTCAGGTCTCTCCAGAGTCCAGGCTCTGGCTGGGCCACTCAAGGACATTCAGAGACTTGTCCCGAAGCCGCGACTGCGTTGTCTTGGCTGTTGTGCTTAGGGTCGTTGTCCTGTTGGAAGGTTAGCCTTTGCCCCAGTCTGAGATCCTGAGCGCTCTGGAGCAGGTTTTCATCAAGGATCGCTCTGCTCCGTTCATCTTTCCCCTCGATCCTGACTAGTCTCCCAGTCCCTGCCGCTGAAAAACATCCCCACAGCATGATGCTGCCACCAACATGCTTCACCGTAGGGATGGTGCCAGGTTTCCTCCAGATGTGACTCTTGGCATTCAGGCCAAAGAGAGAATCTTGTTTCTCATGGTCTGAGAGTCCTTTAGGTGCCTTTTAGCAAACTCCAAGCGGGCTGTCATGTGCCTTTTAGTAAGGAGTGGCTTCCATCTGGCCACTCTACCATAAAGGCCTAATTGGTGGAGTGCTGCAGAGATGGGTTGTCCTTCTGGAAGGTTCTCCCATCTCCACAGAAGAACTCTGGATCTCTGTCAGAGTGACTATCGGCTTCTTGGTCCCCTCCCTGACCAAGGCCCTTCTCCCCCGATTGCTCAGTTTGGCCGGGCGGCCAGCTCTAGGAAGAATCTTGGTGGTTCCAAACTTCTTCCATTTAAGAATGATGGAGGCCACTGTGTTCTTGGGGACCTTCAATGCTGCCCAAATGCTTTGTTATCCATCCCCAGATCTGTGCCGACACAATCCTGTCTCGGCGCTCTACGGACAATTCCTTCGACCTCATCGCTTGGTTTTTGCTCTGACATGCACTGTCAACGGTTGGACCTTATATAGACAGGTGTGTGCCTTTCCAAATCATGTCCAATCAATTTAAATTTACTACAGGTGGACTCCAATCAAGCATCTCAAGGATAATCAATGGAAACAGGATGCACCTGAGCTCAATTTCGAGTCTCATAGCAAAGGGTCTGAATACTTATGTAAATAAGGTATCAGTTTTTTTTTTTTATACATTAGCAAACATTTCTAAAAACCTGTTTTCACTTTGTCATTATGGGGTACTGTGTGTAGAGTGATGAGAAAAAAATATTTAAATCAATTTTAGGATAAGGCTGTAACGTAACAAAATATGGAAAAAGTCAAGGGTTCAGAATACTTTCCGAATGCACTGTATATCTGCTGAATTGTAGGTAACCTGCCTTTTCAGCTAAATTTGATACACAACTTTATTTTACAGTTGTGGGTCTTGTGATTTCTTTATGGAATGGCTGAATGAGAAGTGGATGATATCGATATACCAAGACTTTATGACAATGTTAGACTAAGCATTAAAACTGTCAATCTGCGATTTCTACATATATTGTTTGGGACTGATATAGGCTAAACCCATTGATTCTTGAAGAATATAACTTATGAATGCCTCCTGAGCATAGTAGAACTGGCCTACCCCATCAGAACCCAAAATATAAGCTTGTTTTACTGCATTGTTTGCAAACAATGTCATTGTAAACAAACAATGTATAGCCTCAAAACATGGTTAAAACTATGGTTTTTATATCATGGACGGCCACTCCTTGCGTCCATAGCTCAGTCTTATGATTTTGATGGTGGTTGCATTTCTCCAGCCTCATCCCTTTACCAAAACAGTGGTGGGGTGACTAATTGTTTGAACTGCAGATGTTAAGAATATAACTTTTAAAACAATTAATTAATTGGTCTTCATTTCAAAACATGTTGCAAAATTCTCAGCAGTACCTTTATACAAAATGGCACCATTGAATATTGTGATCGTGATTTTATGCTATAATATAAGTATGCTATGGTAATATTATCCCTGTTCCACCCCTAATGCATTTATGGAAAGATAGCAAACATAAGGTAGTAATAAAGGGTTGTCTATTTAGTTATGGATGTGTGATGAATTCTGTAGATTTATGTAAATTACCAAGTTCCTATTTTGCATTTTGATAGTCATTGCTCAGTCGACTCATTTTGTGCAACCACAGGCATGTCATTTTGATGTAATTGAATAGTAATAATTCATTTTAGGCATCTTGTCAAACTACTTACTGTTGCATTAGCTGTACAATGACAATGCTGTGTGTACTGATACTAACTGTGTTTTGAATACCTACACTGACTGAGCGAGTCATTATTACAGGCTTTTCCAGCTTCAGTAACAAGGATGAGTGAGAGTGAATTTACCTACACTTTCAAAAATCATAAACGTGCAGAAATGTTCCTGATGTCAGGTCACATCAAAAATACAATATTTGCACAATTTCAATAATTAGTGCACTGACCAGGTTAACGTGCTACCAGCATCTGTTTTTGTAATCTTCTTTAGGTTATTTTACATATGCAAAAATGCTATATTTGCACATTTGTATACTTAGTTCTGACAATTTAATAATACTTCACCTGCAAATCTGTTTTGAGCTTTCCTCTTTTGGGTCACTTATAAGACGTGACTCAGAAGGGTGAAAGGTGAAAGTGTGAGAGAAGGGTAAGGGTCTGTTCCACACCTGTAATCTAGGATTACACAAACCTGGTCTGCAAGACTGGATCTTCTTTGAGTGATCACCAGGACATATTTAAAACAATTATTTGTGTCTTAAGGTGTTATGCCTTTGGTGCAAATTCAACAAATGCAGCAAAATCTAGCCTAACATTCATTCATACCGGTTTTAAGTGCTTATTGTGCCCACATTAATGCTTGTGATAACATTTTCTTGATCAGAATACATCCGCTTTCACCCTTAATTTCCGTGAGGGAGGGGTGCATCAGACCATACTGACCCACCTTTGGTGACGCAGGTGATGCAAATCCATGCCAAAATGCCTAGTGGAGTGAAACCAATGAAACCCAGACAGTGTGGACAGCCAAAAACCAGTGAACTCAGACAGTGAACTCAGAGAGCACAGACAGCCAAGGCATTCTTTTCCCCCCTCTCTTCATTAGGTACAGAGAGACAGTCACAAATACAGAGTGTGTGAACATGGGTTTGTCAGATGGCGAGCAGTGCAGTACAGATAGGAAAGGAGCCCAGACAGATGGACAAAAAAAAAGGAAGACAGTAACCCAGAAACTCAGCCAGCGTGCTGGCCGCAACTGTGCCAATGACAAAGGGAGATGGAGAGAGAGAGAGTGAGAGAGATAGGAAGAGACAGGCACTGGTGACTACGAGGAGGGTATGGTTCTTTCTCTCTAGAAAGGAAAGGGGGAAAGAGGAGGAGGAAGAGAGTGCGCAACCGTTGTGGCAGTTCAGGCAGACCGAATTCAGAGTGTATTGGGTTTTCCAGAAATCTAACGAGTCCAATTTATCTGAAATACAGAGATGGAGCAATGGCAATTTAACACTTCAAATAACACACCATGGTTATTGTTATCATGGGGTGTAAAACGCACAGCAAACCTGCAATCCATGCAACTCCAAAACACACCATGCAAGACCGGAGTTAAAGGGCAACTCTACCATTTTTCAACCTCGTTTTCATTATCTCCAGCACAATACTACCAGTGTCAACATATGTAAAAACGGCGCGTTTTGTTAAAAATGTTAAAGTTCTACCCGATGATATCATCAAAAGTTTAAACATTTCAAAAACAGTGATTTTTCAGACAATGAGATTCACGGTGACGTGGAGAGCAAGCAAATACCCTCCCTTGGGCTAGAAACTCATTGCAGGTTTTGAAAATTGCTTTTATTTATCCTACCCTGTGATGTCAGAAGCATACTTTTTCTAGGACCTTTTTAACCACAAATCATAGAAACGTGCTGTTTTCACATATGTAGACACTGGTTTGGTGCTGGAGATGATGAATGATGTTAAAAAATGGCGGAATTGGCCTTTAAGTGTATTACAGTAGAACACTAGGAAATTCAAACTTGTAATTGAATTAGACTGATACAAAATCGCCCAACTAACCAAGCAGATAACATACACACGCACTGCAACTCAATAGCTTCAAATGGAATCCCTGAGCTAGACTAGAGTCAAACGCATTGATTTCCATAAAAATATGGTAACTTTGTGTAAGTAGGCCCATGTGATAGTGTGTGAGCCATATCTACATATCAAAGTATCAGTGTTTGTGCCTTGTGTTGTACTGTTGCCAAGGTGACAGCTCACATCCTAACTTTGCAGAAGTGAGTGAAAAGATAAAAGGGGAAAGCTCAAGGTCTCTGGATCTGTTCTTCTACCACTGCAGATTTACTTGTAGCTACCGTATGCTTGTATCCATCTACAATGTGCCTATCCCTAGAGTGAGAATACAAATGGTATGTTTACATGGGTGTAGATGCATGAAAGTATGTGTACATGGTAGGCTATGCCTCAATACATTGTTTAGTGTGATACATTTTCCAGCACAAACATCCAAAGGCTACCAGAGCCCATTCCACTACAATAGTTCCCTAGCAACTCAACTTGTTCCATCCTCTTATGACAGTCTGCATACTGTTACTGAATCATACTGTTATTAACACGCAATAGCACACTCCAGTTCAACCCACACCACACAGGCATCTAAATGAGTATTTACATGGAGGTCATGTCATTGAGGGCATGGTCCAACTCCTCACTAATGGCTTTGTACTTCAATTTCTGTGCATAGAGCTCATCTGTGGGTGCACAGAGGGGAGAGGAGAAAGGGATGAGGAGAGATGTACATCAAGGAGGATGGAGAGAAAGAAAGCCAGAGAGAGGGCACAGGAGGGAGAGTACAGTTTATAAAACCTTATAACAGTCCTGTGAATTGCAACAATGTGGAGAGTGAGAGTCCTACCTTCCAGGTCATCAATGGTCTTTTCCAGTTTGGCCACTGATCTCTCAGCAAACTCAGCACGGGTTTCAGCCTATGGGAAAGTATCACAAGTTTATTAAACCCCCCACCACAGCAATACAGGCACATACCACAGCAATGCTGTGTGTATGGACAGTCAACCATTCAGAGCTTCGTGATAAGTGTTTCCGGGGAATCTCACCTCTTTGAGTTTGTCAGTCAGGATCTTGATCTCCTCCTCATACTTGTCCTCTTTCTGGGAGTACTGTAGGGGACAAAGGGGGAGGAAGGAAGAAAAGCCAATCAGAGAACCACACGTTTGGGACACTAGAGAGTCCTCAGGCCTATTCAGGACAGCGCATCATCATCACAGAGCATTCACAGAACAGCCATGATTCTTCTGTCATGTAGTAGAAAGAATCAGCTCTGCACATTAGTGGAGACAGAGCGACAAGAAAATGACAAAACAACGCTTAAGACAATAACTCAAATCTGTTTTCAGCCATCAGAGGTAGCTGGCAGGCTTATTAAGGCCTTACAACAGCACTTCATTTAACTGCATAACCCTAACATCTTTCCAACTCTAGCAGACGTGTGCTATGCAACAACAAAAAAAGAAAAATAAGAGGGTGGCGGGGGACGGGACATCTGCGACTGTAATGAGGAACAGATACTGACCTGCAAAGAAACCCCCTGGGGGGGGGGGGCTACAATTAGGAGAAACTGATTCTTATTATTCCTCATCCCTTTTGAGTACTCAGTCTGGTCATAAGCTTTTGAATGTGGCTGCTGTACTATTTGTGTTTGTGTCGAAACAGGTTGCCAGTGGCAACTCCAACCACTACCACCACAGACAGAAGGGGTAACCCAGACACGGCACGGGGCTATACGTTTAGAATGTTCTCACCACGAAATGTGGTAGTGAGAGGAAGTCAAGTCTCGGGTAGTGAGAGATGATGGAACTAGGTAAAGCTGGGCCGACATTTCTGTTCCCAAAACTAGAATCTGTTATGGACACAGTGCACTAAGTTTTAGACCTGACGCTTCGCAAAAAATTGCGTTGTTTAGAAGGAGTGCAAGGTCGAATTGAGTTTGTGCACACGCGCACTTCAGAGGAGGCGTTCCCTAATGGGAATATATGCTACAACGCACCAATAGGATCTCACTAGCTCATGCTTAGCCCACTTCCTTGTTGTTCTGCCCACTATGCTTAATTTGCTCCCACTGTAAACGACACAGATTAACTATCTTGGGTTAGTTATAAATATCTTTGCTACCACCTTTGTGCGGACTGAGCAGCAACAGTGCAGTGGGAAGGCATGGGCTGTGACGCTTTTGAGAGAATGAGGGAGTGAGGTGTGTCGACTGATCGCGTGACTCAACCTCAACATGCCTGAGGAGTTTGAGATGGACCGTTTTTCTATTTGTGCAGCTTTCAATGTAGCTAGAGTTTGGGTGGGAGAAGAAGAATGAAAACAAAACAAACAGGCTTCTCTCGTCGGATGACATCATTGGCAGACACTCGTCTGGCAATGGGAGTTTTCTGAAAAGGCCTCTTTCTCTGAGCTACAGAGCACTGGTGTTGTGCAGTAGTGTCATCACCCTGAAGGGGGGGGGTGGGGTTTAGGGGAGATGTGGGTTTGCATTCTTGCAGCTGCAAAGTCAGGGTGTGGCCTGTTATCCAGAAGAGCTTAAGGATTACATCACAGCAGACAACCACCATGCAGACTCCCCTTATAGCTCTAGCTAGCCTCCCTCCCTGCCCAGAAACACCTTAGTTAGAACCAGTCCTGGGCCCCTTCAGATGGGGGAGAGGAGTGGATGTTCATGGTTGAGGAGAGAGTCCCTGGTGAGCTTGATTTCATGCCTGCTCGTATGTACTTCCTCGTTCCACCTTTTAAATGGCAACAGGAGAAAACATGTGTATCTGGAACATGGGGATGGAATTTACTCAGGGTTGGCAAGCCTTCTAGAGCTGTTAAGAGTAATTCTCTCTCTACGTTCCAGACAATCTAACGTCTGACTTCGTTGCTGCCTGGGATTTTGTGTGGCTGGCAGTTTGATTGGTCGGTTCTTTGTGGTTTCATCCAAATAGAGCTCAGCTTATGTTGCACATGCATGTGGTTACTGGGGCATGTCTGAAACGCAACTGACTTGCTGAGGCTGTGGGCGGGACGCAATGCCAGACACTGTTACAAGGCAAACAGGTCTGCAGCTACTTTGATAAATGAAGTTGTTGGTGATGACACGTGGCATTATAGACTACAGTCAAGCATTTTGTAACATATACCAGTACACATGCTTATTAAAACATTACAGATTAAAAAAATACTAAGTTAAGTTTATCCCTTAAAGCAAACCAAACATTTGAAATTCAGGTTATGCACTGATTCACAACATCCAGGGTTATGGTCATCATATTGTAGTTAAAGACATTCACCAGCAACACTCATTTTCCATTCCCCTCATTTCAGTTCAATAAGGCTTTGGAGGGTTTTAGGTGGTCAATGGACCTGTAGTTGTCTCCAGGACTGGCCTGGGTGCAGTTACGTTCAGTTCCAAAAGCATGCAGGGTTTCCCCTCCCTCCTTCCTACCTTCTCAGCTTGGGCTTCCAGGGACTTTAAGTTATTGCTGACATTTTTCAGCTCCTCCTCCAACTCGGCACATTTGCTGCAGTATTTTTTAGTTTTTTTTGCGGTTCATTTGGGGTTGGGTTTTTTAGTAGGGTGTGGGAATAGGGGATGAGGAAAAGGGTGGATAGAAGAGGGAGGGAGGTGAGGGAAATGAGAACAAAGGTCAATAAGGTGGGGGGAAAGGAAAATACATGTGACAATGAACAGGGGAATTAGAGGGTGGGGGGATAGAGAAAACAGACGGAGAGATTTACAAAGAGAAACACAAGGAGAGAAAGGCATGAACTTTAACCTCGGAGGAATGGGACCGAGACCATTCTGCTACAAACTAAATAATATCCCAACAATACAAAGCATAGACTTATCATACTGATAAACCAAGGGAAAATGTTTGTGGTGAAATACTCTTAGTAAACTTGGAATATGGAGCGCCTGTAGGTCTCGATAAAGCCGGGTAAATTCATGCGGATGGTATGCAGAGCGTTTGAGAGAGAAGGAAAAGGGAAAAGGGGCACACATGAGAAGGGGAAAGGATCGCGGAAGCAGCAGCTATAGAGCGGTCAGTCATGCAGCCAGATGAATGCGGGAATTTATGTTAATGAGGGCAGGAGGACTGAAAATCCCTGTGTGCATTCCTGGTCCTCACAAACCTGGTTCAGAGGGTCGTGTTTATGGACATCTGTTATGAAGACCCTAGTCAGACCTTTTGAGGGTCCCCATAAGGCACCATTTCTGTGTCCTGTAGTTGGTAAGAACAGGGAGAAAGGGGGGTGGTACCTTGTCCTCAGAGGCCTGCAGGCTCTTCAGTGATTGGTCGAAACCCCTCAGCTGCTCCTCCAACCTCCGGGCGTTGCTGTTAGTGAGTAGGAGGGGGGGGGGGGTGGGGGTCACATGACACGGAAGCACATGCAGAAAGAGAGCAAAAGAAAGAGAAGGACAGAGAGAGAATGGACAGAGAAAGACATAAGATGGAGGGAAAGAGAAAATGGTAACCGACAAAGGGACATGTCGGTATGGTAAACCCAGGACACATGCACACACAACAGGCACATACGTATGGGGAGAGGGGGAGGACAGATTGGATATTATCATGGTACTGTTATGGCATTCCCACTTTTATGCTAATGATAACTTGCTAGTTTAGTGCTAGCAGACATTTGAATACTTATTTCCTATTACAGCGATACTACAGGTAATTACAAAAGTAACAGTATCGTTCTGTTGCATACTAAATGCAGCAGATAAACATGTCATTATAAACACCTCCAGTTTACTGTTTAGTAAAACAAATCTTCAAAACATGTAAAAGTAAAGTGACATAAAAGTGGGTGTGCAGTTACTACTGCTGTGATGAGAGCTGTGAGGAGAGCTGTAATGTGAGCGAACGCGTCATGCAGTCAGGCAAAGCCCGGGCAGCCCGACGTGTTGGGGCCAGTTTAGTAACGCCATGCAAAAGGTGTGGCTGAAACCCATTGTGGCTTTAAACTTACTTCTGCAGTGTAAGAGTGAGTGAACTGATGAGTGTTTATGTGTTCTGCTACAAGCTTAAGCAGATGTAGTGTCTGACTGCAGGGGAGAGGCACAGTGAGATTGATTGTGTGTGCACTGTGACGTATGTGAAAAAGCGACTCACCCCTCGGCCAGCTCCGCCCTCTCCTCTGTACGCTCCAGATCACCCTCAATGATCACCAGCTTACGAGCCACCTGTAGGGGTAGAGAGAGAGGAGGAAGAGAGCAAATGAAATGAAAAATAAAATATAGATAAGAGGAGGAGGAAGCAAGAGAATGAGAGAACTAAATAAGTGGTGATGTGCGATACAAGACTTCTTCAGAGGCCACATCAGAGCCTTGTTCTAGATGTGTGACGTGTGTGTTGGGGGGGGGTCTGATGAGCTCACCTCCTCATACTTGCGGTCGGCCTCCTCAGCGATGTGCTTGGCCTCCTTCAGCTGGATCTCCTGCATCTCCATCTTCTCCTCATCCTTGGAGGCCCTGTTCTCAATCACCTTCATACCCCTGAGAGAAAGGGAGGTAGAGAGAGGAAGACAGATTGGCATGAGAGAGCCAAAGTCTTTTGACCTCAATTCCCATACTACAGTGTATTGCAGCCTTAGCTTTCTGCACAGGAAATACTGTAGGAGAAACACAGGTGAGCATATATCTGTATAGTTTGGTGGCAAACTACCTCTACAGCTCTCCTCTTCTGCTGATATGTGATCCCTATGGTGTCAGGACCCTATAATGCAGGCCAGATCGGAGGAGGGGCACTGATACAAAGAGGTCAGGGGGCAGTGTGTGTGAGAGTGAGAAAGTGTCCTAGCCTATATACAAAACCTGTTCATTTACCCACAGGGTACTCCCTCAAATAGGCTACTTCCAGCTCACACCCACCAATGACCTTGTCCCACATCCTCTCTGCTTTAAAACCCTGACAGGAAGTCAAAAGCCTCCCGCTTAGAGAAACAGGATGTGGCATCAGAGGAAGTGAGGCAACCCGGTGAGGATTGAGAACACCACCCCACCTCCACCCCTTCAAATCACACACACCTCTCGCTCTCATCTGCAGCTTTCTCTGCCTCCTCCAGTTTCTGCAGAGCGGTGGCCAGTCTCTCCTGGGCCCTGTCCAACTCCTCCTCAACCAGCTGGATACGCCTGTTCAGAGAGGCCACCTCAGCCTCAGCCTGGATGGGGAGAGAGAGGGACAGAGAGAAGAGAGGTTATTGAGAAGTAATGTACGCCATAAGCTCACAAATGCCCTTTGAGACACACACCGATACAAGCCCATCTTTAGAGAGGCCTCTTCCAACACAGACAGCACATCATGACATACCGATACCTTTAAAATCACTAAATAAGGATATGTGATATTTCACACCAACTCAACCTTTGATATAGAGAAGGATTACAGAGTGATGTAGCCTACAATCACATAACACACTGGTAGAGTGCGCCTCAGCGGAGTGTGAGTTACTATGGACATAACAACCAGCAGTTATACTCAGACACACACAGGCCTGTTTAAGGACACACCTCTCCCTCAGCCCGCATGTATGTGTGGGTGAGAGAGAGAGAGAGAGAGAGTGAGAGCGCAGCACTCTCCAATGAACTGGAACAGAGCTGGGAAAGTGTGAGTGTGTGGTTGCAGAGTCTTTGTAATGGACACCAACCCGTCACATTTGATCACCATAAGATTCGGATACATTTAATGCACACAGCGAATCTCTCCCCGATTGATGTGCTGGTGTATGGGTTAGACATGCCAGTGGTCTCTATGGCCATGAATGGCACTAATTGGGCACACCAGCCTAGATGACTGTGCTGCCTACCCTGGGTGGGTCGGGTATGGAAAAGCAAGGGCGCGAGAGAGAAAGAGAGAATGCACAGAGACGGATGAGGGGAAGGTTAAAGCACTTGGAGTGAATAAATGTTTTAGTGCCTTGTAGAGAGTAGCCTGGCTCTGTTCTCACTCTCCATGCCTTGGAGCAGAGGAATAATGCGTGTCAGAGAAAGAGCAGTGAGAGATGGATAGAAGGCTTACTAAGCCTTAGATAGCCACAACCAGATGGATAGATCAGAAGGAGGCTAACACTGACACAGCTTAGTATATACTGCGAAGTACATTGAGGATTAGGACTTCATTCTTTTGGACTGTCTATTACTAGTCATACCTCCATGTTCAGTCGCTAAATTGTATGTATGTACCATCTAGTAAATCTGGATGAGACCAATCATAAATGGGTAAAGAGTTTGTCCAACTATAGAGTTGGGCGCCATGATGCTGCTGCCACTTTTCAAATAATGCCCAGGAGACGCTAGCATGACAGCCATGGAATCATGTCATCAAAGAGTATCAAAAGCTTTTAGGTTGAAACCACAAACTCTTATCTATGGCTTTGGGTAAGACCATCTGTCAGATGAAAACAATGTAAATCTAACACTAGAATATTGAGACAGACCACCAAACTAAAAAAAGAGGGCAATGAAAGCACAGCACCTTTCAGATGTAGATGTTTACGGCAACACTTGATTAACTACCCCTACTATACACATACAATAACCAAAGGCAACCTGCTGTGGCTGTATGAAAGAACGACTGTCGGAGCACAGACAAACCCGGTTGCCATGGCACTGGCATGCAAGTGTTTGACAGCCTGCACGAGGCCAGCGCCATAGAGATATGCAAATCAGCACCCCCTCAACAGCCCTGGCCCCTCCGGATCCCTCACACCCTTGAAACATCACTGTCACCAATGAAAAGAGTGCTATTAGTTAGCTACTTCCTGTTTGACCAAGCACATTCTGGAGGTGGTATTTTGCAGCTATGGTGGTGGATGTATGAATTAATTTACTATTCTAGATTATTGGAAGTGAGGAGCATGTGTATGCATCTTCAAACTCCTCTATGGTGGAGAATGCTGTAGCACAGAGACATTTCAGCTCTAGCCTTAAGAATGAGGTTTCTCTAGTTAGCTTGGTGGTGTTTAGTGTTTGTACACCTTATGACCAAGATGCAACATGATCCGAGTCTTCAGAGGAGCTTATGTAGAAGAGTAGTAGCATTTCTGAAAGACTTCCAGAAGGCCGAGTCAGACAGGTGTAACGATACAAAATAACTCCTCCAGGCTAGGCCTGATGATTTATTCTGTGGGAAAAGGGCCAAACATTCATTGTCAGGTTGTCTTCCTCTTAGGTCACTTTTTTAAAATGTATATATATATATAAGCACGACTCAAAACCAACATTTTTTTGTCATCCATTGTAATTTCCTCTGACGGCAGCGGCAAAAAGGCCCCACCACAATCAGTTGGCAACCACACTTCCTGTGCACCATAGTAGAATGACTCCGCAGGAGCCTTACACTCGGTCTCACCCGCATCCAGCGCGGGCCTCTGTGCTAGAGTATAACTGTTGTCCAAGAGACGCTCTCATTTAAAAATGACTGTCCACAGTGTAGGCCATTTATTTCAGTCAAAAGCTCTGGAATAGCCGTATATATCCAGTCAGGTACTGTGTTGCATTTGTTTTGCTCCAAATAACAGTAGCACTTGTGTACCTCCCTGAGAAAGACACTGAGCGCATATCAGTGACAACATGCATGTCTTGTAGGAGTTTTATCATGGGATGAAAGGAGAAAACCATACGGAAACATATGCTTTGTATCATCTGTGTGTGACCAGGTTAATCTAGAATTTAACAAGAGAATTACAACTGGGGACTGGGCCAAAGTAGTTCGCCATAAAACCGCAATAAAGAGTGCAATAAGTGTTGCACTTTGTGGCAACCCAGGCACTTACATCACTAGCTACTAGTTAGCTTAGAGAGGATGAGGAATTTGGCAAGTTGTTGAGGGCCAAGCCTAGGGGCAAATATTTGAAATTCCAGTGAATAGGGAAATGCAGGGACAACTCAAACTATTCAAAGCATTTGACCGACTTTCAATCATGCAAAACATATTGGAATTAGCATTGCACAAATAAAACATATCCAATCAATGAAAGACGCAAAGACCTTCGGGTACAATTATTCTTAAGATAATTGGAAATGCAGGATGCCCATAGAGATGGATAGAGGACACATCTTTGTATCTGTGCCATTATAGCCTTTGCGACAGCATGGGTTGGTTGCTTAGCAACAAAAGTGCACAACTATGGGGCAAAACAGATTGGGTTGGCTTAGATTGTAACATGTAAGCTATATTTGGTCTCCAATGTTTTTTGAAAACATAAATCAAATGTACACAATGAGAATTTGTCTCAAATACATTGTTACAGTTGTTGGTTAGCTAGCTAATTTGAGCCATATTAGCATTGACATGAAAGCAGTAAAAACACCTCAAAACAAGACATGGTATCAAGAACATGATGAAACGTGCTGAAACGAGCCACTTACGACTCCCCACATGGCAGTTTTGTCATTCTTGTTAGCAATTTGGCCATCCAGAATAACAACATGCTGACTTCTGCCCCAAGGAAGCGCACACATCGTTCGTCATGTTGTCAGCTAACCCATCTATTGAAACCATATCCATTTAAAAAGTAGTCACTTTTCTATTTCGTGTTATTATTATTTTTTTAGTGTAAAGCCAATATTGGTGTTTTATCACCACCTGTAGTGCTGGAGTCCTGAACCAAATCTTGTGTCTCATTCATTTATTGAGGCCACTAGATGGCTGTTATAGCTTAAAGCCATTTACAAACCATTGCATCCAATTTGAATACAATGCGCTGATCATTGGCTGATTGCTCCCAACCCATTGGAATCCCCACCCAGTTGACTACTTTAAAATGACACACAATGTCAATGTCCATGCTAAAACGAGTTATAGCCATGATGAGCCTTCTATCTCTCTCTATGAGGACGCCCAACTCCAGCTAGCTGGCTATCTGATTTAGCAGGAATTTGTCACATCTTTCACCTCCAATATGAGGCTATTAGACCCAGCCAGCTGAAGAAACCGACAAAAATAGGTGCTAATGGTAGGGGGTTCAGTTCAAACAGTACTAGAAAGTTGCCATAGCATCACAAATCAATGCATCTAGCTACGACCTGTAACTAGCATCTGGATAATTCAAGGCCTAAATTCAAGGCCTAAAAGGTTATTTCAACTTTACCTGTTCCCTTGACCGCTTCTCCTCTTCAACCTGTCTTTGCAAGATTTCGGCTCTTTCCTCGGCTTCATCCGCCTGTTGCTGCAAAACTTTAATTTTTCGCTTCACTGCCTCGATGCTATTGGCCATTTTCTTTAGTTAATTTAGTTTGCAAGCTAACTTAGCTAACTTGCAAAGTTTGAAAACGTGTTTTTGATACTAGCTCGTGCAGGATGCTAATGTTAGTCGTTCTAGTTTGATTGGTTGCAAGCTGGCAAACGTCGTTCCCGATGCGATGTTTTCCCGAAGACACAGCAACGCCCCGTCAACGAGTCCAAACTGGAAATCAGAACAGAGCTTCGTTTCTTTCAATCTAACGTTACTCAACACTGTAGGAAGTCAGCTTATAAATAGTCTAAATTAATTCTTAACGGCAGACAAATGTAATGTGCATAAAAACATTAAACTCCAAGTAGTTAGATTGATAACTATGCCGAATGAATCAATTAGACTAGCTTAAAAACTGTAAACCAAAGTTTTCACCTCGATGTGTCAATGGACAGACAGTGAGACAGCGTCGTTAGCTAGCTAGCGGCTAAAGTACATGCTATAGGTTCGAATGGCAGTTCCAACAACACGAATACAAGTAGAATTTTCCTTTTAAGCAAAATGTATGGGCGATGGTTCCAGTTGTCTATTGAAGACGAATAAGTAAATTGCAGCGAATTTGGAGGCAAGCTGTGCAAAGAAGACGGTTGTTCGGTCTCTCTCTCTTTCCCTCCACTGCTGAGTTGCCTTGTTCTCTTCTCTTCCTTATTTCAACAGACAGCACGCTTCCGGTCTACTCCGCCCTGTCAAAGGGGAACTAACGCATTATATATTCCCGCCACCTGAATCATTTTGACTTTTTCCAAATGATAACGCAATAAAGTTCCCCACCGCAAAGACAATGAAACAGTAAACAAATCAATTGTCATATTTAGAGCTAGCTAGTAGCTCAACCTGGTCTCAAAACATTTCGTATTATTATGTACGTAAATCCGAGACACTAGATTAGTATGAAACGTTACGTTTCGTATGGTATGTATTAATTTATGGATGTCCATCACCCATTTCGCATGATATATTACGAATTACAATTTGTATTACATGTTACAAATTAGAAAAATGTAAAATATGTTACGAATTTGCAAAACATTCAATATGTTTTTCGAATTTGCAAAAAGTACAATATGTTACGAATTTGCTAAACTTATGATATGTTACAAATTCTAGATAGGTGGCTAACGTTAGGTAGCTGGGTAACATTAACTAGGCTACGGGTTAGGGTTATGTTTAGGAGTTAGGTTAAAGGGTTAAGGTTAGGGTTGGGGGAAGAATTAGCTAAAAGGGTTAAGGTTAGGGGAAGGGTTAGCTAAAAAGGGGTAGGGTTAGGGGAAGGGTTAGCTAACATGCTAAGTAGTAGAAAAGTAGCTCAAAAGTAGTAAATAGTTAAAAAGTTGCTAATTACCTCAAATTATAAATTTGTTTGTGATGAGATTTGAACTCGCAACCACCCCGACCAACCACCTTACTTTCGTTTTTTCTTTAAGTAACCATCTGTCTTATGTAACCATACCAAATGTAACATATCATATTAATTTGAGTGTCTTTGATTTACTATTACTATGTTACGTCTAGTCTATGAGACCAGGCTGCAACACACACACTAAGCACAGACATCAATTCCAACATCTGTCTATTCCACGTTGGTAGAACGTAATTTCATTGAAATGACATGGAAACAACGTTGATTCAACCAGTGTGCCCAGTGGGTAGTAATAAGGTTCAGCTGAAGCAATATCTTTATTTTTCATGTATTACTTGTGTCACTATAGGTCTAGGTCCTGTCTGCAGTGCATTGTCATGGAACTCTTGGCTAGCTGCCTTCAGCTCACAGGGCCATCTGTCCAAGCTGCATATGCCAACTGGCCAGGTCATTATCTGGACTGGAGAGCAGTGAGTGGTTTTGATTTAGCATAAAGAAGATGCATACTGCCGTGTAATGCTTTGGCTAATTGTGAAATGTGTTGGCTTGAGACCCTTGCTTTTAGCCCATGCTCAGTTGACACATCTTGCGGAATAAAAATGTTGTACGTGATGGTTTTAGTGTATGTAAAGATTAATTCCCTGGTATTCAATAGATGTGCGATGGCTTAAGTTGCGTATTACTGCTCTTTTCCCCAATGTATCCAGAAATGTGCACCATGGTCCATGGGGGCTGTCCATGGACAAGCGTTATTGTCAAGTTGTATGTGGACGTGAGAATGGCTTGTCTTACCACTAGATGTCCCTGTGTTAACACATACTAGCCAGACTTTGGCTGAACCGCTACCTGGGCTTGAGGAGATGATGAATATGACGATATCTCCTCTCGCCCAGGATCCTTTAATTCAAAGTCCAATTAATAATGAATCACGAGTGGCGTTACATTTTATTTTAAACGTAAGTTATGATTTAAATTAATTAAATAATCAAATGATAATTGGATACTGTATGAGTTATTTTGCTCTGCCTTTGTAACTCTAACCGAACAGTGCAATGTCAAAAATAAGACTGCAGTTGATGTCTTGCCTGTTTCTTAAGTCTCTTGTCATTTAATTAAGGATCAGGAAACACTAGCAACTCCATTAGAAGAGAAAGTAATTTGTGCCACCCACACGTCTCCCAATACAATGTTCCAGGAAATATTATCTCAACAAAGAGCAAGCCAATCGTTTGACAAGCGTCCCTAATCCTCAGTAATGGAGCAGTGGACACCCCAGGACTCCACAGTCGATTACACCAGTCTGGGAGTAGTTTGAAGGTGGAACGATATTAATCGTCCCCACTACACTCTCCCAAGTCAACGGGAACACAATGATGACAGGGGGAATAACAGCAGTGACATGGCGACACTATTAGCACTAATCCCCCATTGGCTGCCGGGGGGGCTAGTAGCCAGCTGGCTATGCAGAGTGACACCCTGTCTAAATCAATTTCACCCCTTCTTGGATGCCAAGAGGCTTTGCACTGAAATGGCACTGCAGGGGGTGGTGGGTTGCAGGAGGAGGGTGAGCAGTATATATTTTATGGCAGACCCTGGATGGCCATTTTGTTTTGTGTTGTGTGGTTACAGAATGCCACAAGCCAGGGTTTGTAATGGCCCCACAGTACATGTAGATCTCTCCACCTGACTGTGGATGTCTCCTGCCTCACTGACGTGTCTTGTTGTGGCTCTGACCCTTGAGACTAACTAAAGACTGAAGGGATATTCTGTCTTGGCAACTGAGACCACAAGTCATGACACCATGCTATTAGAGTGTCTGCCACCTCTGAGATGCCACACGAGCCAGGGCATAGATGTTGTTATGTTTATCCTCACTGAGGATTCTGGTTCCTCTTAAGGACTCTTACTGCTTTTCTTCTTCAGGGCCTATCTACCACATGGTATGGACCAGCAGGGGGGTTTGACAGCATTGTGTTTATGACAGTGTCTGTGTAGACATGGGCTTTGCAACCCCCCCCCCCCCCCCCCTTCCTCCACCCCTACCATTCTGACCTCTCCTGTTTTAAACCCCATGGTATTTTGGCATGGGAGAGAGAGCCTTCTCAGGGCTTTGCCATAACAAGGCAAACTATTAGTGCGGCATGTGGATGTGCTATATCAGGGAAGTACTTCCCTGACAAAACCATTTAATCATTGTCATGGGACAGATAGGAATAGAGGGATCAAAAGAAGGTAGAGAAAGGGTATGGGCCTGAGGGCTGAGCTGTGTGTGTGGAAACTAATATGATGGGAAAAGAGGCCTTGTTTGTATGTGTGGGTGTGAGAGAGCAGTTTGTGTGGTGTGCTGTTTGGTGTGCCGACGGAACTTACATCTGCAGCTTTCTTGTCTGCAACCTCCAGCTTCTCCTGGGCATCCTTCAAGGCCTCAGAGTATTTGTCCAGCTCATCCTCAGTCCCCTTCAGCTTCTTCTGCATCTGGATCAACGCATCGTCATGCTGACAGAGGGAAAGAACAACAGACAGGGAGGAGTGGGAAAGAGAGAGACAAACAGGCAGAAAGAGAGGAAATGGAGAGACAGTGAGGAGAGGACAATAGAGCGAGGGAGAGACAGTATGAGAGGATGGTTGAAGGGAAGAAACTCAGAGTAAGACAAGCCAGGACATGTGAAGACCAGGCTACAGAGTGGAAAGAACCACACATACAGCAGCAAGACGTGAGAAGGAGAGGTCAACATCACAAGGTTTCCAAAAACATATTTCCATAGGACAAAACTGTTCATTGAAGTCATTGGGAGATTAGAGCACACAATCATGTTAGGTATCACATATTTCAGGGTACGGTTCATTGCTTAGTGAACAAGACTATTTTGGAATGTTATAAATAATGATTGGTCGCCTTTGATGAGGAATTGATCCCAAACATCCACAAGTATGAGTAGCCGAATGAATGTGTTGAGGGGTTACAGTGTCAAAGCCTTGTGGGTATTAATATCCCAAGGCTCTCAGCCTTCGTCCCTGGCCTGCTGTGTAAAACTATTGTCTGTCCTTGTCGTTGTTCCCAACCCTACTGTTGGATTCCAACTTGGGGACAGGAGGACAGCTGTCACTGTCAAGAAGAATGCCCACACGCACAGTCTTATTATAGTTTTATGGAGCTATATAATGGATATAATGTCTCTCTTTGTCTTTTCCTGTGACTGTCTGTCAATTAAGTTTAGGACTTTATAAAGGCTCCTGGCTGTCAAACTTGGATTTGTCATTTGGATATTTTTTTCTACGTTTCGGTAGAAATACCAAGATAATTTGTTTGCATTCTTCAAACAACTCCGCCTTGAACTTCCTAAATATTGTTATCATTGAGTTAAAAAAAATATACATACACATAGTTAATAAATATGGTATATGCCATAATATATATTAGCTTGAAGAATAGTTATTATAATTTGTGTTATTTATTGTTAATAACACTTAGTGTATACATAGGTTGCTTGCCTTTTCTAAGTAAAAATTTGCTTTTAAATATTCATATTAAATTCAGCGTTAACAGACCCATTTTGAATTTGAGCTCTATTGTAAGGCCTCAAGATTAACCTTCAGTTGACCTCCCCTAACCAAGGTATGGTTAGCATCTTAGCAATTGTTGGCCTACATGTGTTAGCATGGTATTCGGCGTGCAAAGTTAATCAACTGTGTGTGAATTAGCATCACCTAATTACTTCCTAACTAGAATTCTACTGAGAATACTAGCCTAAGCTAGGCTAGGTGTCCCCACCTGCTTGCTCTTATCCTCAGCTGCATTTTTGTCAATCTCGGACTGGTCAGCCGCTTCCAGAGCAGTCTCCTTATCCATCTTCAGCATCAGCATCTTCTTCTTGATGGCCTCCATATTGCCGGTGTTTGGTTAGGCTCACGAGGCGAATAAATAAACGTGGATCACTTTCTGGAGAAGGGCTCAAGGAGGATGAGTTGGAGCCCAGAAAGAGATAGGGAGAGAGATGGACGGATAGAGAAAGGGGTGAAAAGAGAGAGGCCAAACTCAGACTATCATAGGGTGGGTGGTTTTATATTTGGTGGAAAGGTTGGCCACTCCCACATCCTATGCCGCTCCTCTAACCTATTTTAAGGCTCCTCCACTGACCAAGGCCTCTAAACTCATTATTCAACTCTGTGTGTCCGTCAAAATCTATCTCAAACACACACACACACACACTTTCTCTCTGACACACACTCGCACAATGTGTGCCCACTCTAACTATCTCTCTTACACAAACACACACACACAAACACACACACTGGTATTGCTTCTATGGACATGAAACGTCCCCTCTTAAAGTCCACCCCCAAAAATGAACTACTACGAATAAATGTCTCCCAGTTTAGAAACCACAGTCATTGTAAGTTGTAAATCAGTTGGAGGAATGGAGATAAAAGACATGTGGAGGAAGGTGAGACCAAAAAATTGACAATAATGAAATGGCGGAAGTAGAAGAACACTCCCTGATATAGAATGTACATGGTCTAAAAGGTGAGCTTATTCAACGTGGAGAGGGGAGACAATTTACTGTTGGTTGACAAAGCTGTAATCCTGACAGCCAGTCATTCACTGTCAAGGTGTCACTTTTCAATAGCTGGACATGGCACCCATACGCAAGAAACTAGCCAGTGGTTCGCCAACTTTATAATGATGTGACCCCAGCTAAGCTTTTGGAATTTGCCTGGGACCCATCACGTGAAACAAACCAGTGTTTCTTGTCATGATCCAGTCAGCAGTCAGAACTTTTATGTTTAAAACTAACTTTTATTATTTATAGTTTTAAACTTTGTACAAGTTCAAAGTTACATTATTAAGGAACCGTTACATGTGATTTTTGATGCGTCTCATCATAGGATCCAAACTCTTTGTCTCGGCTCATGCAAACATCCAAGGCTGCCAACATCACATTTGATTGAAACCTATTGAATCAGGTGCCACCTCTCGTGGAGCTTAGGTGTGGCAACAACATCATTGGGGGACGGGATGCCTTGTCTATGTAATGGTAGGGGAAACACTGCCATAGGATGAAAGTGCTTCTATTTTTACAGATTGACAATCCATAGGTCCAGCCAGCCCTTGGTCATGGTGGGAGGGGATAAGGGGAGTCTGAGATGCCAGCTATGAGATGCTTGAGGGATATTAATACTTCTTGGCTGACATTGACCTGGGATTAGGACGAACAGAGGGAGAGACACTTAGAATTTGAAATCCCTGGGCCCTGTTCCCCACCAACTCACACACACACTGGATGATATTCATAGAAGTAGAAACAAAGGTGTGAGATGTTTGAAATTCGGTTACTATAAGGCAAATTACCCCTTCATAATGGTACGCACTATGGGTGATATAGACTTGGTCAAATTATGGCAAAATGTGCTGAAATATCAAAGACATGTAAATTGTTTAATGGAGTGACATAATACCAGTTATTAGGTTACAACAACTGAAATAATATGTACTGTGTGTAGGTTAAAAGGTATTCTTCCTTTAGAGGTCTTCAGATCGACACAAGGCTAGGAGAGCCTGCTGCATCTCCCCTTTGTATTCTTTCTGTGGGTGTGAGAGAGAGGGACGTAGTTAGGACACAGTTACAAACAACAAACCTTTCAGAATGACTATTCAATGTATTGGTGTGCGTGCATATGTCTTCACCTGTAACGTAGAGTAGAGTGAAGTGTTGGTCAGTCTGCGATACTCGATTCTCACACAGAGGAGGTCCTCTTCACTGTGGCTGATAAGAATCCCCTGCACTACACTGCCTTTCTGCAGGACATATACACAATTTGAATGAACCTGGCTTACAGAAGACTCTGCCTCAAGACCTGACACAAAGACACAGAAATCGATAGTCTTACAAGATCGCAATGCCCACTACACTTGCCGACTACACCTCACAACACAGCAAGAATAGTCATGTAGCCAGTGTGAGTCTGGAGTAGAGTCACTGTAGCAGTGTGTGGAGTAGACCACCATATGAAATGAAACTCACCTTAATGTTGCTGTGTAGCCGCTGGGCCAGGAAAAAAGGAATACTTGGGATGGAGCCAACTACAGATGGAAAGAATCAATACATACTGTTAATTAGTGTTGTCATACTGTCACACACAAACACACACACACATGAGCATTTGAAGAAGTTGAAAGTCAGTCTAGCACAGAGCAATTGAACAAGGCTAGGTCTTACCCAGAGTGCGGAAGCCAAGCCTCAGGTCCCCAGAGAAGTGACTCTGTACTGTTTTATCCACAGTCTCCCCTCTCAGATCCTCCAACCTGGATAGCACTGAGAGATAGACAGAGGGGGTGAGGGGGGTAATGGAGGCTACAGCCATACCAGGGCTAGGAGGAGAGACAGCGAATGGATGAAAGAGAGATTTGTTTGTTACCTCTGTTGAGATGGTTTGAGTCTCTCGTGGTTAACACCTGAATCCAGGGGGCTGGGTCCTTTTTCTTACCATTCACAGCATCATTCAGAGCCTACACACACACACACACACACACACACACACACACACACACACACACACACACACACACACACACACACACACACACACACACACACAAAGGATATCAAGAGTACTGCCTAATTGGAGGAACTTTCTGGAGGTAATTTTGAGGAAGAACACTCACCTTAACATCCTGGTCAATGAGCTGATAATCAACAATCTCCTTTGAATTCAGCTCCTCCTTCTGTTGGTATTAAAGCACAAATGGCACCTTTCACTTAGTTCAAATTAGGACATTATTTTTCACTGACTGATCTATACAGCCTACTCTGTGCAAGAGGGTGAATACTTGGAGAACCCTTCCATAGGAAAACACATTTTGGTTCCAGGGAGAACACTTTTTGGGTTCCATGTAGAACCCTCTGAAGAAAGGGTTTGACCTGGAACTGAAAGAGTTCTACATGGAACCAAAAAGGGTTATTCAAAGGGTTCTCCTATGGGGACAGCCAATGAACCCATTTAGGTTCTAGATAGCACTTTTTTTTTCTTTTTTTGTGAACTCTACATACAGTTAAAGTCGGAAGTTTACATATACTTAGGTTGGAGTCATTAAAACTCATTTTTCAACCACTCCACAAATTTCTTGTTAACAAACTATAGTTTTGGCAAGTTGGCTAGGACATCTACTTTGTGCATGACATAAGTAATTTTTCCAACAATTGTTTACAGACAGATTATTTCACTTATAATTCACTGTATCACAATTCCAGTGGGTCAGAAGTTTACAGACACTAAGTTGACTGTGCCTTTAAACAGCTTGGAAAATTCCAGAAAATTATGTCATGGCTTTAGATGCTTTTGATAGGCTAATTGACATAATTTGAGTCAATTGGAGGTGTACCTGTGGATGTATTTCAAGGCCTACCTTCAAACTCAGTGCCTCTTTGCTTGACATCATGGGAAAATCTAAAGAAATCAGCCAAGACCTCAGAAAAAAAATTGTAGACCGAAAAGTGCAAATTGGTGCGAAAAGTGCAAATCAATCCCAGAACAACAGCAAAGGACCTTGTGAAGATGCTGGAGGAAACAGGTACAAAAGTATCTACAGTAAAACGTGTCCTATATCGACATAATCTGAAAGGCCGCTCAGTAAGGAAGAAGCCACTGCTCCAAAACCGCCATAAAAAAGCCAGACTACGGTTTGCAACTGCACATGGGGACAAAGATCGTACTTTTTGGAGAAATGTCCTCTTGTCTGATGAAACAAAAATAGAACTGTTTGGCCATAATGACCATCGTTATGTTTGGAGGAAAAAGGGGGTTACTTGCAAGCCGAAGAACACCATCACAACCGTGAAGCACAGGGGTGGCAGCATCATGCTGTGGGGGTGCTTTGCTGCAGGAGGGACTGGTGCACTTCACAAAATAGATGGCATCATGAGGAAGGAAAATTATGTGGATATATTGAAGCAACATCTCAAGACATCAGTCAGGAAGTTAAAGCTTGGTCGCAAATGGGTCTTCCAAATGGACAATGACCCCAAGCATACTTCCAAAGTTGTGGCAAAATGGCTTAAGGACAACAAAGTCAAGGTATTGGAGTGGCCATCACAAAGCCCTGACCTCAATCCTATAGAAAATGTGTGGGCAGAACTGAAGAAGCGTGTGCGAGCAAGGAGGCCTACAAACCTGACTCAGTTACACCAGCTCTGTCAGGAGGAATGGGCCAAAATTCACCCAACATATTGTGGGAAGCTTGTGGAAGGCTACCCGAAACGTTTGACCCAAGTTAAACAATTTAAAGGCAATGCTACCAAATACTAATTGAGTGTATGTAAACTTCTGACATTTCACATTCTTAAAATAAAGTGGTGATCCTAACTGACCTAAGACAGGGAATTCTTACTAGGATTAAATATCAGGAATTGTGAAAAACTGAGTTTAAGTGTATTTGGCTAAGGTGTATGTAAACTTACGACTTCAACTGTATATTGTAATATTGAGACAACCAAGTCTAAAAGAGAAACCTGCTAAAAGAAGAGTGGCAGTACCTTGAGTATGGCCAGTACCAGCTTAGTGAAGTCTTTACTAGTCTCACTGATAAGATCATTCTCCAAGTAACGTCCAAACTCTGCAAACAAAGCAGAATAAAACTACAGTAGGGCACACTGTGTGTGTGTATTGTGAGAGTGTGTGTGTGTGTGTGTGTGTGTATTGCGAGAGTGTGTGTGTTACCCATAGACAGTAGAGCTCACCCTGTTTGTAGGCAATAGTGGCATCTTTAAGCTGCTGTGGTGATTTGGTACACAACACTGCCAATAGACTCTCTTCATCTGTACCAATACCCTGTAACAAACAATTACACATTTAAAGTGATTCGTTCCAGTGATGTAGCCAAGTCACTCAATCTTGAGTCCAAGTGGAGTCCCAAAACCCTTGTGGTCCGAGTCGAAGTCTGAGTCCTTTATACTCGAGTCGAGTCACGAGTCCCTTGGTGTGCTAAAAGTAGCTGTCCAACCATTTTTTAAAGCGAAATCTCATAACAGTGTTGTACATTTGTAAGGCTAAATAGATAACACAGCTATCTAACATTTGCTGTTGTAGCTAGTACTGTATGTTCAATTAAAGAGAGATTTTCTGACAACAAAGTCACAACTGGTTGAGTCCGAGTCGAGTCACGAGTCATGAAAATCATGACTTGAGTCTGAGTCAAGTCCGAGTCCTGGGCTTGAGTACTACAACACTGATTTATTCACACACACAATACACAAAAGACGCACACATTCATACAAACCACAGTACAACACATACAGTAATTACACGCCTAAAAATACGATGAACATGTATTACATGTTTATTACAATGATCATTGAAATAATCTGTGATCTGCTCTCACCTCCATGGTCTGTCTGAGGAGATGGGCGTCAAACTGAGAGGGGGTCATCATCAGCCCCAGCATGAGTTGCTCCAGCCCCCCTGACAGAGCTTTCTTCAGGGCAGGACACAACTCCTACAGAGGAGGGGTAGATAGAGACTGTTGGGCTGGGTTCCAATGCCATATATCACATCCCTTCCCACAGTCTTCTTATAGATGTAAAAGTACTCAATAGTTGGGCTGACAGAGCCACAAAGTGGTAGGCTGACAGATCCACATAGTGTTTCAACCAGGTAAGGACAGTTACCTTCTGTGTGAGGTTATGGTAGGACTCTGCGATGCTCTGTCTCTGGGCATTGTTTCGATTGGTCAGGATTCTCACCAGAGTGTTCACGTCACTGCCTAATACACACACACACATATTTTGGAATACCTCATCCAATATGTATGTATGATACTAACTACTCCAAACATTCACACCATCAGATTGACGAAATTCTCAGGCAACAAATTGTTTTTAATGAGCCATGGTACTGATTTACTTCATTAGCGGACATTAAATCCTTGAATAGTACCTTTGCTCTCCAAGGCAGTTTGAATGTCGCGGGCGTCCTTCTCTGAGTTGAAGTTGGGGAAGGGTCGCACAGTGCCCAGTGTACCCCACCACATCGCCGGAGACTGGACAAGACAGGGGAGAGAGGGGTGATGTCACTGAGTCACTACAGTAAACTTCTATCGCTGACATTTACTGTCTAGCTTCCGTCATGTTGCATTTAGCCATTCTATATTTTTAGTTTAGTCCAGATGAAGGAGAAGAGATGAGGAGAAAGCCTCTTCAGACTATAAGATGAAACGTCATTTTTTTGTAAATTGAAATTGCTATCGTAATGTAGCAACACCTCCGCTTTGGGGATGCACGGGAAATATATATGTAACCAGGAGGGGCATAAAACAGAAATTCATCAGCTTAGCCATGTTTCGTCAGGCCAATACATCAAGATTATGATCAGTGATTAGTTCAATTGACTAGATGCTTTTGAAGTGAGGGACTAAACCCTAAGTAACCTATTTTGAGATGTGAGGTATCACGACTCTTTCAATAATGGCAGAGAGCATGTTCACTTACACTGGCTTTGGGAGGGGTATTTTGCATACACTTCAGCAGAGCTTCCATGATGTAGGGAGAGACAGAGTAACTGCGATTGAGATGAGGCATAATAAGTGTTGGGGTTATTTGACGTTTAAAATATATATACAAGTGAGGGGAAAAAACGGATGATCCCTTGATTTGTACGTTTGCCCACTGACAAGAAATGACCGTTTTATAATTTTAATGGTAGGTTTATTTGAACAGTGAGAGACAGAATACCAACAAAAAAATCCAGAAAAACGCATGTCAAAAATGTTATAAATTGGTTTGCATTTTAATGAGGGAAATAAGTATTTGACCCCCTCTCAATCAGAAAGATTTCTGGCTCCCAGGTGTATTTTATACAGGTAACGAGCTGAGATTAGGAGCACACTCTCAAAGGGAGTGCTCCTAATCTCAGCTTGTTACCTGTATAAAAGACACCTGTCCACAGAAGCAATCAATCAATCAGATTCCAAACTCTCCAACATGGCCAAGACCAAAGATTGTAGACCTACACAAGGCTGGAATGGGCTACAAGACCATCGGCAAGCAGCTTGGCGAGAAGGTGACAACAGGTGGTGCGATTATTCGCAAATGGAAGAAACACAAAATAACTGTTAATCTCCCTCGGCCTGGGGCTCCATGCAAGATCTCACCTCTTGGAGTTGCAATGATCATGAGAACGGTGAGGAATCAGCCCAGAACTACACGGGAGGATATTGTCAATGATCTCAAGGCAGCTGGGACCATAGTAACCAAGAAAACAATTGGTAACACACTACGCCGTGAAGGACTGAAATCCTGCAGCACCCGCAAGGTCCCCCTGCTCAAGAAAGCACATATACATGCCTGTCTGAAGTTTGCCAATGAACATCTGAATGATTCAGAGGAGAACTGGGTGAAAGTGTTGTGGTCAGATGAGACCAAAATTGAGCTCTTTGGCATCAACTCAACTCGCCGTGTTTGGAGGAGGAGGAATGCTGCCTATGACCCCAAGAACACCATCCCCACCATCAAACATGGAGGTGGAAACATTATGCTTTGGGGGTGTTTTTCTGCTAAGGGGACAGGACAACTTTGCCGCATCAAAGGGATGATGAATGGGGCCATGTATTGTCAACTCTTGGGTGAGAACCTCCTTCCCTCAGCCAGGGCATTGAAAATGGGTCGTGGATGGGTATTCCAGCATGACAATGACCCAAAACACACGGCCAAGGCAACAAAGGAGTGGCTCAAGAAGAAGACATGAAGGTCCTGGAGGCCTACCAGCTCCAGACCTTTAATCCCATAGAAAATCTGTGGAGGGAGGAAGGTTGAGTTGCCAGTACTCCCTAAACTTAATGACTTGGAGAAGATCTGAAAGAGAAGTGGGACAACCATCCTCCGAGAGTGGAAACTGTGGCCAATGCTATACTCTGTTCCCGAGTTGCCATAGAGTTTTTGCCAGCAGTATTTTTGAGAGGTCAAATACTTTTTCCTCATTAAATGCAAATCATTTTATTTGCTTAGTATTTGATCCTTTTGCATGATCTGTTCATGCATAACTACCAAATGTAGGGGATGATTTTGTCTTCATGGTATAGGTACAAATAAGAGGAATCAAATTTTTAGCCATACTAGTGTTGTATTTAAGTTTTAATATAATATATATAATTATTTCAAATTATGCAATAATTATTAAAAAGGTTTTTTAATCCTAGATGCGATTGGTTGTTACAGGGATTTATTAATAATTCCCAAATACCATGATGCCATAATTCCATTTCACATATCAATGCGCATCCAATGTCCCGCAGTTCAGTTGTCCAACTCTGCATTGATACATTTACCATTGATAAATCAGGTACCAAAACTACAGACATCAGACATTTTATGGAATAGAAACATTGCCTTCATGTATCATTTCACAAACAAATCAGTGATTACCCAAGGAAAGGAGGGAGGAAAGAAATAGTTTTTGAACAGGGCCACAATGGTCGGTGAAGTCCATTGAAAATACTTTACTTCATTGCCCTCTAGTGTCGCAAATGTACGGAAGAGTATAAGGGCCAAGTGAAGACGGAATTTTTTTTACAGCGACGAGTGGTGGTACTTATTTTCAGGAGGGTCCACACTGACTCGGACGAGGTATTTCATCCAAATCCGTCTTGTTACATACTGTACATAGGTAGAGACAGGTGGGTTGTGTGTGTATGCAGGTGTGAAATGATATTATGCTAGGCTACCAACCAAGTCATGTCAGATCAGTGATTATTTATTTGTAGCCTATCATAATGTATCTGATAGGCCTATATTTAGACCAATTAATATTTCAAGAAAGGGATAATCCCACCATGAATATATTCAAACAGCGCCTCAGATTAGCTGGATTGCGCGTGCAGGAGTGGTCCTTCAGTTGCCTCCTCCCACAAGCACTTGCGTAAACCTCCTGCTTCATCGTTCATTCCTCCCACAGCCGTCGGATAGGCCTATCATTTACTTTCACTTGCTCATTGTAACGTAAAATTTGCCTACAGGTTAAGGTACTCAATCTAGTGGGCCGCTATAGGTTTATAGTGTGCTGAAAATAGCGGTGTTTGAACGAATTTGGAGAGCAGTTTGACATGGGACACATACACACGCATAGCCCCCTGTCTCCAGGATTCCAAGATCATTCGTTTTATTGGGTGTGTTAACGTAGCCTACTAGCCTATCGTAGAAGGTTAGTTGCCATAAGGGGGAAATACTACTGTTAGTAAAGCAACATGGATAAGGTCGTTAATAGTTACAATTATGCACTGATTTGTTGCAAGGTGTTCGCCTAGGCTACGCAGCAGAACGTTGTAGCGAATTCGGTGGGCAGACTGCCAGGGACTCTCTTCGCGTTCAGTGACAGCCTAAAAAGTGGTTTGTTTCTCATAACGCACCATGACCGTTAGTGTATGACTAGTCTGAAATTGCCAGGGGGAAGTTTGGTATGCGTGTGCGAGTCTATTAGATCATTAAATTGATGGCCATTTGTTTGTTTTGCCCTTACTTTTTACCGCCCACACACACCTGCATCCTTACCCAACCCGCCTGCATTTATCCAAATCCCCTACATGAATCTTGAAATATAACTGCGACTTTATTCTCGAAATATTGGCACTTTATTCTCGAAATAGTGGCACTTTATTCTCGAAATACTGCCACTTTTCTAAAAGTACTAGCTTGCAAAAAATTATAATCCATGTACCGCCAACCCTTGCTCTTTTTTTCTTCACTTGACCCTAATACTCTTCCATACAAATTAAACTTCGGCGTTGTGTCATTTCTGCTTGCATTGCATACCACAAAACTCAACATCTGGCCAGAGCAAGCAAAAGTCCTCCAACCTGACTCTACAGACTCTACTCTAAATTCCTCTCTTCTCTGATGATGTTGCGTACAACAACAGTCTAGTCCACTACTCATTCTTGAGTTCCTCCATGTGAAAAAACGCAGGGAATCACAATATCGTTTTACAAAAGGAAAACATCAAATTATGAACTGCATAAATCAAAGACTGATTTTGTTTAAAAAAAAAAAAAAACATTTCACCAACAGCTTACGTCATTACATAGCATAATGAAATGAAACGCACCTGATATAGTCCCGTTTAGTATCCGCTTGACAGGAGAGGTCTCTGAAATGACTTTATGTTTTAGTCTATTTCCTAGACAACGGGGTGTGTGGCTGCAGCGGGACAGATAGGATATGGCTATGGTGGACTTGGTGCACTCACTCATTATTCATTTTATAACCATGGGCGTGTCTCTTGACAGGTAGGCTACCTTGGCTGTAGAAATTCCTGACTATGGACTCCCTTACAGAAAAACCACATGATTTCACATTACATTTAAAGTGTGAAAACATGTCATTTTGGAACACTTCACATGTTATCACGTTTTCACATGTAGTTCACGTTGCTTTACAGTGCCTTGCAAAAGTATTCATCCCCCTTGGCGTTTTTCCTACTTTGTTGCATTACAACCTGCCATTTAAATTGATTTTTATTTGGATTTATTTGCACCACTTTTCCGTTATTTCAAAAAATTCTAAAAAATAAATAAGTTATATTTTTCATTCCACTTCACCAATTTGGACTATTCTGTGTATGTCCATTACCTACACAAAATAGTCCAAATTGTTGAAGTGGAATGAAAAAATTAACTTATTTCAAACAATTCAAAAAGAAAATTACGGAAAAGTGGTGCATGCATATGTATTCACCCCCTTTGCTATGAAGCCCCTAAATAAGATCTGGTGCAACCAATTACCTTCAAAAGTCTCATAATTAGTTAAATAAAGTCCACCTGTGTGCAATCTAAGTGTCACATGATCTGTCACATGAACTCAGTATATATACACCTGAAAGGCCCGAGAGTCTGCAACACCACTAAGCAAGCGGCACCACCAAGCAAGCGGCACCATGAAGACCAAGGAGCTCTCCACACAGGTCAGGGACAAAGTTGTGGAGTACATATCAGGGTTGGGTTATAAAAAAATATCCAACACTTTGAACATCCCATGGAGCACCATTAAATCCATTATTTAAAAAATGGAAAGAATATGGCACCACAACAAACCTGCCAAGAGAGGGCCGCCCACCAAAACTCACAGACCAGGCAATTAATCAAAGAGGCAACAAAGAGACCAAAGATAACCCTGAAGGAGCTGCAAAGCTCTACAGCAGAGATTGGAGTATCTGTCCATAGGACCACTTTAAGCCGTACACTCCACAGAGCTGGGCTTTACAGAAGAGTGGCTAGAAAAAAGCCATTGCTTAAAGAAAAAAATAAGCAAACACGTTTGGTGTTCGCCAAAAGGCATGTGGGAGTCTCCCCAAACATATGGAAGTAGGTACTCTGGTCAGATGAGACTACAATTGAGCTTTTTGGCCATCAAGGAAAACGCTATGTCTGGTGCAAACCCAACACCTCTCATCACCCCGAGAACACCATCCCCACAGTGAAGCATGGTGGTGGCAGCATCATGCTGTGGGGATGTTTTTCATCGGCAGGGACTGGTTAACTGATCAGAATTGAAGGAATGATGGATGGCGCTAAATACAGGGAAATTCTTGAGGGAAACCTGTTTCAGTCTTCCAGAGATTTGAGACTGGGACGGAGGTTCACCTTCCAGCAGGACAATGACCCTAAGCATACTGCTAAAGCAACACTTGAGTGGTTTAAATGTCTTGGAATGGCCTAGTCAAAGCCCAGACCTCATTCCAATTGAGAATCTGTGGCATGACTTTAAGATTGCTGTACACCAGCGGAACCCATCCAACTTGAAGTAGCTGGAGCAGTTTGCCTTGAAGAATGGGCAAAAATCCCAGTGGCTAAATGTGCCAAGCTTATAGAGACATACCCCAAGATACTTGCAGCTGTAATTGCTGCAAAAGGTGGCTCTACAAAGAATTGACTTTGGGGGGGTGAATAGTTATGCACGCTCAAGTTCTGTTTTTTTTGTCTTAATTCTTGTTTGTTTCACCCCAAAAAATATTTTGCATCTTCAAAGTGGTAGGCATGTTGTGTAAATCAAATGATACAAACCCCCCAAAAAATCCATTTTAATTCCAGGTTGTAGGCAACAAAATAGGAAAAATGCCAAGGGGGGTGAATATTTTCGCAAGCCACTGTACATGTTGTCATGTGTTATCACATTAACTTCACATAAGATCACATGAAAGCATGTGTTTTTGGAACACTTCACGTGTTCGCGTGTGAAATTCATGTGGTTTTTCCATAATGGCTATAAGCCTATCCGGCCGTTAGTTCAGTTCACCAATCTGATATGAAATGGATGAAACCTACAGTAAAACCAATACATGGTGAGATAGATGTAGCTATAATAAAATCCCTGACATATCCAGTATTTTCATGTGGAAAGTTGGATATCAGACACACTGTCACACACACACAGAATTGTGCACACCTGTCAGTGGGCGACCCCCTCCCAACACACGCACATGCGCCTGCCAATAACAGCATCCAAGAAACTCTAGATTTCTGTAAGATTTATAAACAGCACACAAAATGAACAATAATTGTAAGTCAAATAAAAATAATAAGACAAAATTACAACATTAACATTAAAAAGTCATTTTCTTTTTTCAGAACAGATCAAATATTTATACAGACAAAAACTTCTTATAGAATATATGTAGCCTATAAAGAAAAACACTTTTTTTTTATGTAGTTCAAACAAGGAAACACCCTTTGAATCCAGTCAAATAATTTCCATTCCTACATAATACAGTCGCTTCAGGGTCAAGGGGTGAGCTCAAAAACAGTCAAACATTTTGACTTTTTGTTAAAGGAGGTTTTGGTTGGTGTCAGTGTTGCTGGTGGAGTTGGCTGGTAGCAACAGTTTATCATCCTAAAAACCATAAGGGTGAAATACATTAGAGAACATCAAAGTCAATTCCACCGGCAAATCTGAACTCATGATTAAGTGCAGTGTAAACCACGTTTTAGTAGTTCAATTTAGTAGTTCATGAATGAAACATACAACTGTAGATTAGATATAAGGTCAAAATATTCCAGATACAGTCAGTCAGATTAGTCAATTCTAAGGATGCAATTCTTTATCCTAATTCATATATCAATGTTGTTGTTTTTCAATTAAAAAACAACAACTTCGGTTCAGTATGGTCCTTCTGTGTGTATCCTCCAAAAGTCAGAACAGTTCATTGTAAACCCCCCCCCTTCCCCATTTTTATAAAATATTCAGTATAAAGCCCCTCATGGTGGCTCACTACTGTTGTCTTTCTAGAAAAAAGAAACAATTTGGTTTATGAAAAGCACAAGAGGTTTCAAGTGTTTGTGTTCAAGAATGAGTGGGGTTGGGGGGTGAGAGTTGATTAATACCCACACATTCTTTTAAACAATTATATACAGTGTGTGTGTGTGTATATATATATATATATATATATATATATATATATATATATATATATATATATATTCCTTTCCTGTCCCGCCCTCCCCCTTTCCTGTCCCGCCATCCTTTACTGGTCTAAATTTACAACAATGACAGGCAGTTACAGTACAGAATAGTTCCTACTGGTATCAACAGACACCTATAGATATACAGTCCACCATTAGAATTCCATTGGTGTTACGAACCCGATCCTCCTCTTCACCCCCAATCCCTCTTCCTTGTTTTGAAAAGGGAAATAAGAAACGAAGAGTGGGATTGGAAAAGGGATTCAATCCCGAGGATGAAGCTTTTAACATAACATTAGAAAAACATGTAAAAAACCTGCATACAACATCTCAGAACTATCTTATACCATGATACAATACACAATTCCTGGGTAGGCTTTCTATGCCAAAGAAAGACGAATAGATGGAATCACTGAAGATAAGTTCTATCAGGTCTGGTTGGTTGGAGGTTGAGAATATGTTGGTCCAGCTCTCAAGTCCTGTTTTCTGGTTTGCGTATCCAGTGTGAGGTCAATGTTAACTCGGAACAATCTCAGAATCAGCCTTGGATTCCTGCGCTTCCGGTCCGCACTCGCTCTCCTCTGGGATATCCTGGAGATCTGCGGAGATCATTGAAGGTTATTCATATGAATAAACATGTTATTAATACGTTTAATAATGGTTGAATAATGTGTTGATCAAAACAGGACTAGCTAGCTCAGTAATGTAAATAGAGGTTCCAATCGAGATGCGACTGGAGGAGTACTGTTATTTACACTGAGTTACCAGACATTGACTGATACAATAAGGACTGTGGACAGAGGGAGTTAAATATTGTCAGAGGTATCCACCCTTTAAGCACACAGAAAGAAAGAATGGGGAGAGGTGCATTGATTAAGTAAGAAGGGCATAAAAAACAGTGACTGTCTATCAATACTCTAAATGTTGCCTCTAAACCTACCATATACTGTATGATCAAAGTTGAATGAAAATGTATGAAAAGGGTGGAAAAGTAAAGAGTGGAGAGGACAGAGAGCTATTATTGACTATCAACAAGCAGCCATTAAGAGAGGGCAGAGAGATAGTACACAAAACTCTGCCTACTCATTAAACAGCTGAGAAATCGGTGCCAAACAGATAGCTAGAGATATGACGTGCTGACACACCTTCAATATGCAGAGGTAGAGAGTGAGAAATGTGTGTGTGTGACCAGGTAAACTAGGTGTGATACGGTTAAAGGTCAGAAATGTGTAAAGATCAGTTGTCATGGACACCATAGGGATTCTTTTGGGATTCCATAGATTTGGCCAATCCCAAAGTGATCGAGTCATAGACCTCTTTATCTCACTGATTACACCCTACCAATGACTAATACTTTAGTGCCGTAGATATTCCTTCTATTTTCATTTTTTACTCCACATACAAACGTATACATATAAACAACAACTTACAGACGCACACAAACAATGACCACATCTCATCTGCCCAGACCCGCATGCTCACACCCCCATCCCTAGTGCCTGCATTACTGTTTGCCCCTAGATATTCCAATTACACTCAATACAGGAAAGACAGACACTGTGGGTTAATTACTCACCTCTTGGACTGTCGGAGCGTGGTGAAACCTTCACTACATCCGCCTCTTCCTCTGACTCCTCCTCTTCCTCACTGCCTTCCTGTACGCCGTCCAATTGGTCCACTGGTTCCTGACAGGCCAATGGGGCGACAGGGCTGGGCTCGCCATCACCACTTCCTCTTCTTTTAGCAGGAGCCTAGTAAAGGAGAAAAGTAATGTCATCATATCCTCTTTGAGCTCACCTACAGATCAACCACTAGTGCATCTTGAATGGCTTAGTGATTCAGCCAGTTGGGGTGAGGACTGTAAGTCTACCTAAACCCAAACACACTTGACCCCAAACTCCCACACTTGACATTCACACACCTCTGCCAGAGGTTACTTTGCTCACCTGCTCTAAGGCTGTAACATCCACCACGATGTCTCCGTTACTGCCTCTGCTGCCTCTGCTTCCCCTTCTGCCCTTCATGTCCCTGAGCTGCTGCTCCATCTGAGCCTGGGCCTTCTCGCTCTCCCTCAGCCTGGCCTCCAGGGGGCGCAGCCTCCCCACCTCCTCCTGCAGCAGAACATGCTGCCTCTGGAGCATGGCCATGTCCCCCATGACTGCCACTGTGCCCGCATCCAGACCCGTGTCACGTGACATGGAACGGCACAGCCTGGGGAAGGTGTTTGGAAGAGTGGGGGTGGGAGTGGAGGAACCTGAGGAGGCAGGGCCAGTGCCCTCACGGAGGCGGAGCTCGAGGACAGAGTCCTGGTGAATGACGGCGGCCTGGGAGAGAGAGGAAGGAGAGAGAGTGAGTTTTGAATCTAGGTTGGAACTGGGGTGTAGGGAAGGACCCCTATGAAATAAACTGCCTCAAATGCATTCCAGTGTGTCATTCAGCCTCACCTGTAGAGCGTGGAGCTGAGCATTGAGGTTCACCAGCCTCTGACACACCTCCTCATTTAGTGGTCTGTCCTGTAGCTGGTTACCATTTCTGTCCTGAAAGGATAAAGAACACCCACAAAACATGAAGTCATTATAACTGATTATGTATTACAGTCACAGTTGTGGCTTATGTATATGTTATCCAACCCTAAGGCACAGTCATCCTCTCTCACCTTGGACGCTGGACTTCCTTTGAATTCATGAGTTCCGTTGACGGAGATCGAATCTCCATCTGTAAATGGGTGGGATAGAAGGAGAGAGAAAGTGATCTGATTGGTAAGTGAGAGATGAAACACTGTAGAGACAACCCTCCACCATCTCCCAGTGGTAAAAGACTAAGCAAAACCACTCACTGCTCACTGGCGCCCCTTTGTGGTTCTGGTCACCATTGGTACCGTTGGTGCTACCGTTGGACTTGGGAAGCTCTATGTTAGAACCCAGCAGCAACTCACTCAGCCTGTCAACTGATGAAAGGAGGGAAGGAGAGGGAATTAAAAACTAAAGAAGAGGCATAGCAACATTAACACCACAATGTAACATCGTCCTACTCACTGCATAACACTACACTCAGGGGTTAATAACTGAGGTTTTGTTGGTGATCTCAGATTGACTCCTGAGAGGCTATGACTAGCTGATACTTATACTCTTATAGGGTGCTCATTATTTAATTCTACCTCTCCATCTGCAGTGCTAAGCTCGGGGTTAGGCCTCATTTAATACCTGCCTCTCATAAGACTGCATTAACCCTCACATTACCCTCTATGGCACTGACCTAGGATGACCCAGCCCTACACCAGCCTCTCGCCTCACTATTAGGTGGTGAAAAGTCAAACTGACCATAGATCAGGAATTAGAATCAAGGTAAATTCTAAATTCGCTTACCCTCTGAGATGGCGTCGGTGAGTAGGTATTCCGCCTGGGGTGCATAGGGGGTGTCGGCCCGGAAGATGTTCCTAGAGTTGGTGAGGGGCATGACCTCCTGACCCCCACCGGTGATCTCAGCCAGGTCAGAGAACAGAGTCACTCTCTCCTGGAGGAGCTCCAGCACCTCCCTGTCCTTCTGCTGGATGTCAGCTAGAAACACATTCAAGTCAGTAAGATGCATCTTCAGGTCTAAAACAACTGAATGTTCAGAATGATGTGGATGTTGTCTATTAAGGGACGATAAATAGACAAGTGTAACACAGGAATGATAGAGAAAGAGAAAGGTGGAGGAGTGTGAGGAGAGGAGAAGAGGTTGTACCTCTGAGTCTGCGCAGTAAAGCCTTGTCCTCTGTCTCTATCAGGGGGAAGTCCTCTCTGGACGGACAGCTGGAGGGAGGGAGAGAGAGAGCGAGAGAGAGTGAGGAGAAGGTGAGGTATGGTCGGGTTAAGGATAGTGCCAGGGCATATGGAAGGACCCCTAGGATTCCATTAAGGATGATAGAGAATTCTCAAAATTGAAACCGGCAATGCTCTGAATGAGTTGAGTAGGTGTGTGTGTATGTGTGTATTACAGTAGCTGACCTGCTGACGGTCTGCTGTATGAGTCTCATCCAGTTGTTCCTGTCGTCTCGTGAGGCGCCGTGCAGCTCGTACATCTCTGGGGGGGAGGAGTCACTGATCAGGAACATCCCTCGCTCCTGATTGGCTATGTCCCTCACAATCAGGTTCTTCAGAGACAACACTGCAGGCTTGTCCTAAGAGAGAGAGCGATAGAGAGGGAGAGAGAGAGACAGAAAGGGGGGAGATGTTAGCTCTGTGATATAACATTTATACTAAATAAAGTTAGATGTGTGGAAAGGCAAAGACAGAAGCAATGTAGGACCTGCTGAACAAAAGTCGGAAAGCAGAAGAGATGAGTAGAGAGGAGAGGAGGATGAGTCAGATGAGTGGAAAGGAGAGGGGCAGACTTACTATGCAGGGGAAGAAATACTTCTGGTCCTTCTCCTGCATGAACACCAGGATGTCTGTCATCAGCAGGACCTGCACATCTACATACACACACAGAGTGGAACATTGTTAAAGATACATAGAGTATGCAACCTTGTTTCTCCACACTTATTCTGTAAAGATACACGAACAATCATATCCCCTTTATCTCTCTCTCTCTACCTCTTTCTCTCTCAGATACACACTCCCTCCCTACCTTTGAGTCTGGATCCTTGTGTCTTCCACAGCAGCGTGCCCTCGTGGAGGAGCGTCCTGCGGAGCAGCTCCCCTCCCCTGAACACCCCTCCTCCCCTGACCTCTGCCTGGGCCCGGGGGTCCAATCTGGCCCTGATCTCCTGGAGCCTCTGGGTCCGCTCCAGCTCTGCCACCTGCTGGTCCACAGAGCTCAACAAGTCCCGGATCAGGGACAGGGACTGGGCTAGGGACTTGGCCTCCTCTTCACTGCCTGTTGGGGGGGAGAGATAATGATGATGATGAGAGTGTTTTGAGGTCAGTTGTATTCAAAAGCATTTCAGTTGTGTATGGGTATTCTACTGCTGTGTATGTAGAGATTATTCAGTTCTTATATGTTTTTGTCTACTCCCTGAGCTGTAGTGGCTGTTCTGTGTTCAGCTTTTATGCTGTGTGAGTCTACTCACTAAGCTGCTATAGCTGTTCTGGAGTCAGGTCTTACCCTTGGTGTTGTCCAGGATGCGCTGGATGAGGACAGGGTATTTGGTGATGCGTTGAGTCACCAGCAGGATGCACTCCTGGATGCCATGGCGACGCAGCAGGGGCCCCCGGCTTACCCTCTGATTATGGGATAGATCAGATTTAATACCACTTATTATATATTTACGCAATAAGGCCCGAGGTGGTGTGGTATATTGGCCATTATAAACTGGGTGGTTTGAGTCCTGAATTGTGATTGGCTGAAAGCCATGGTATATCAGACCATATACCACAGGTAAAACAAAACATTTAGTTTTACTGCTCTAATTACGTTGGTAACCAGTTTATAATAGCAATAAGGCTCCTCAGGAGTTTTGATATATTGCCAATATACCACGACTAAGGGCTGGTATATTGGCCATATACCACAAACCCCAGAGTTGCCTTATTGATATAATAAACTGGTTACCAACATAAATAGAACACTAAACAAGTATGTGTGCGCCATACCCATGTTATATTCTGATATACACACAGCTAAAATGCTGTTTCAGCCAATCAGCATCTAGGACCCTAACTACCCAGTTTTATAATATACTATAATGACCACTTATGCATAAAATGTAATACGACTACTAATTTCAATGTGTAAATTAAAATAAAGGTATAGATCCATCTTTAGGGGCCCATTTTATCTAATATAGATAGCAGTAAAGATATGTACATTTTTTGGGCATTCCATAAGAGTGTGATTGGACCACAAAGCTAGGACACTTATGAAGAATTTGAGACCAGAACACATCCTTGTGACTACTGTTAGTTAGGTAATAAAGCAGAAATAACTTGTTCATGACTCTTTATTGAATAGAACATCTACAATGTGATAGTTGTTTCATGAGTGAACTAAAGTGGCCCTCTATTCAGTGTTATCTATCCAGCACTCCTCCTAGCTAAGACATATGAAACACCCCTCAGCTGGCACCTCCTGACACGGACTGCTGAGCTCACACACATACCACGAGCACACACACATGCGCAGGCACACACACACACACAGACACACTCTCACATTGCACACATTTTAATCATGCTCTTGGGCCTTCCCATTCCGCCGTTCTCTGTACCTCTAACCCTTCCCCCCCCCCCCCCTCACTCCATCCACCTCTCTCTCTCTTACCCGTATGAAGTGCTGAAACCTCTTGTCTCTGGCCAGCAGTTCCTTGTACAGTTTCACAGCTTTGGGGTGGCGGCTGCAGAACTCAGCATAGGCCTTCCTCATCTCATCTGCACACTGGCCTGAGAACTGAAAACACACAATGGGTATCATCTGAGTCAGTGTGTGTGTGCATGTGAGTATTATTTGTTTAGATTATGCATATGTTCGTTGGGTCTTTTGTATGAGTGCATTCTAATGTTAATGAACGGCAAAATTGGTACATGCGTCTAGGACTGTATGTATTTCAGGGTTGTGTGTGTGTGTGTGATTGTGGATGTGTGTGTGTGGATGTCTGTCGTAACTTCGGAGTGTGTGTGTGTGTTTCCTACCTGTTCAGTGAGTATATCCCCCAGTTGGTTGATAGTAAAGTTAGTACAGCTCCCAGGAGCCAGGCTGTGAGTGCGTCGTGTCATAAGCTGGGAAAGGAAACGTGTGTGTAGCGCCATCAGCTGCTCCAGACAGGGGAAGACGGCGTGCGCCACGCCCGGCTCCAGCAGCACCTCGTCCAGCATGCCCTGCCGGAACACCCCCTCCATGATCCGCAGGGTCCTCACGTGGTGGAACTCTGTCTGGATCAGCTCTGAGAGGGGCATGGAGGGGAGAACAGACAGAGTTAGGAACATACAATACCTTTACATACCACAGGGAGCGAGAGAGAGGACTAGAGGTGAGAGAGAAGAATAAAGTGATAGAGAGAGAGAAAGAAAGAGATAGCAATAGAGAGGAATATAGCGAGGGAGAGAGAGAGAAAGAGTGAGGAATATAGCGAGAGAGGGAGAGAGAGAGAGAGAGTGAGGAAGAGCGATGTTCTCACCATAGATGACGTCCTGTCTCTTGATGACGTCTTTGCGGTGCGTCTGCAGGTAGGAGGGGTCTACAGCCCGACTCCACGAGTCAGCCTCAAAGTCCTTCCCCTCCCTCTCCAGCTCCTCCAACATGGCAGCATAGTACACCTCCCCTTCGTCGTTGAGGGACTCCATGGACATGGCTCTGTTTCTGAAGTTCAGGGAGTCTGTAGACTGAGACAGGATCCTCCGCAGCCCCAATGGTGAGTCGTCATTCAGATTCCTGGAAACACAAAACAGTTACACAACGTTTCAAACGACTTCATATCAGTGCCCTACTCACATAGGTAAATCAATTGATGACTCTACACAGCAGCCTGCTCACCCTGCGAGGTTCTGTGTGGAGACACTCTTGGAGAGGGAGAGGCCGGAGCGGACACGGCGGGAGCCCAGCAGGGACTGACGGAGACTGTCGGACGGATAGATGGCTGAGCTGGGTCGCTCCTTCATCATAGGGGCTGGAGAAAGAGAGAGAGAGACAGAGAGAGTGAGAGCAAGTGGTGGGGGGGGGGTTCAATTGAGCTCTTCCTGTCCAAAAGGATTTAAATCCTAATGATGTAGTCAGCGCTACATCCATACTGCAGTGGAATAGATCAGCCAACAGGTGGCAGCACCACTATATTCACATGCAGAGAGGAGGCATTCATTGCGAAAGAAGGAGAGGAAATAGGCTGGAAGTTGTTGAGGAAACGAGATACTCACTTTTGGTCCTTAGAGCCACGTTCTGCAGCGCGGAGCTGTTCCTCACCAGGGCTAGCTTCTGTTGCTGCAAAACACAGTAGACCAATGTCTCATCCAACAGTCAACTTTTCAAAGAATAGAGGCCCAACTCTTGCTTTTCATACATCAAAAACCTTTCCTTTCCCCTCTCGCCCCTCTCTTACCCTTTGTTTCATCTTGGCACAGTTGGCCAGTGTGTCTCGACAGCGGTTGTGGATGGTGACATTGCAGGCTGCAACACAGAAACACAAAGATCAATTTCCCTGACACTCCACAATATCTGCATATGCACTGTTGATAAGAATGGCAACTAACTTCATGACATCATGAGACCATTTCTGAGGCGCTTGTCATTACAGTCAAGATGCATTTCTTACAGAGAGATACCCATGACTTGTGAATACCGCTATCAAGTGAAGTTGTGACAGGTGCCAACTCTTCCTGTTCCAGATAGGGTTATCAATGACACGTTGTACATTTGATCCTGGCACTGACTAATTTCGTAGGTTTTCTTTACCATTATTTTTTTATTAGTTATAGTATTTTGATATTGAATACTGCACTGTTGGGTAGGGCTTGCAAGTGAAGAATTTCACTGTACTTGTGCATGTGACAAATAAAACTTTTAACCTATGCTTTCCGACACCAAGTAAAATGTTATCAATGTTATTAAATCACTCCTATGCTTCAAAACACCCCTTCTCCCCTCCTCTCTTCCCTCAGCTTTACTCTCTCTTCATTGTTAGAGGGGCTCCACTTCCTGATACATGTTTTCTAGACAGGAAGTTCTCCTGGAATGGCGGTGGGAGGTTGAAGGGATGTCTGAGGCAGGTTATTGGTGCGTAAGTGTGTGTGTTCTGAGTCCTGGGAGTGTTGTTGCGTCCATATGAAACTGCCCAAAAGTGTTTATGGGAGTTCTTCCCTACTACTCAGGGTTGTCTTTGTTCTAAGAGCAGCCCAAGGATGGACACACCCACACCCACAAACACACACACCCCCACACCCACACCGAAAACAGAATCTCCATTCTAAAACTCTACATATTCCTTTACTTTAGTCTTTCCAATGTCTCTGCCAAGATTACACATTTTCTACCAAAGCAGGCTAAATAATACTTGTCAGAAGTATGCTTTGGTGGGGTGCATTTCTTTGGTGGCGTTCCTATTTTCAACCAATAGTTTCGACTCACATGAGAGGGAACACAGGGCTAAAAATACACTCTTTTCAGGGTGTGTTCTCCATAAAAGCCAACATTTTACAGAGCATGGACTCAGCTAACACGTTTCCACTTAAAACGCATAATGAAAGGCACACTGTGACCCATTCATCGCTCAAACTCTCACAACACATACAGACCCTTAAAACTCACACACAGTATATATACACAAACAAACAAACACACACACACACACACACAGGCTACAAACGATTTAAACATACTCAAAGCCCCTCACAAAAACACACACAGCCCCTCACAAACACTCACACACCACTCCTTACACAACGACAAACACATCCAGTAGATATTGGCCCCGATGCTAAAACAAACAGACTATGCCCCTTGCTCACTAAACCAACATGCCAGTGTTGGACCAACACTGTTGGTGCTGAAACGATGGCTGCCTTCTCCAAGGCTTGGTCTGTACTGTTAGAACCTTTCTCTAAAGCTCAACATCGTTGCAATGCTTGGTCTGAAACTAGACTGGAAAGTGGAGAATCGACAAGTCATGACATACTATTATAGATGTGTCCATGTAGGGCGGATCTACAACCTAGAAATGCTTTGGGATTTCAAATAGTGCCTAGAACCCCCCTTCCATATGACACTATATTATTTACAGCTCACTTGTCTTTAGCTTATTATCATATCATATATATTTGTATGATAATACTGTACACTGAGTGTACAAAACATTATGAACACCTGCTCTTTCCATGACATAGACTGACCAGGTGAATCCAGGTGAAAGCTTTGATCCCTTATTGATGTCACTTGTTAAATCCACTTCAATCAATGTAGATAAAGGGGAGGAGAAAGGTTAAAGAAGGATTTTTAAGCCTTGAGACAATTGTGATATGGATTGTGTATGTGTGCCATTCAGAGGGTGAATGGGCAAGACAAAATATTTAAGTGCCTTTGAATGGGGTATGGTAGTAGGTTCGTGTCAAGAACTGCAAAGCTGTTGGGTTTTTCACGCTCAACTGTTTCCCGTCTGCATCAAGAATGGTCCACCACCCAAAGGACATCCAGCCAACTTGACACAGCTGTGGGAAGCATTGGAGTCAACAGCATCACTGTGGAACACTTCGACACTTTGTAGAGTCCATGACCTGACGAATTGAGGCTGTTCTGAGGGCAAAAGGGCAGGGTGGGGGGAGATGCAATTCAATATTATGAAGGTTCTTAATGTTTTGTACACTCAGTGTATATCCCCCTTATTGTAATCTGTGTGTGAGTGTAATCTAGGGCCCTCAGATTAGGTCTAAAGGAGCCAAACAACAATGGCCCTGTCGTCTTAATCTGTGTCTGAGGAAGTAATCTCACACATACTGACACAGCGCTACACTGAGGCTATAGGTCCCGTGTAGCTCAGTTGGTAGAGCATGGCGTTTGCAACACCAGGGTTGTGGGTTCGATTCCCACGGGGGGCCAGTATGAAAAGGTATGAAATGTATGTACTCACTAACTGTAAGTCGCTCTGGATAAGAGCGTCTGCTAAATGACTAAAATGTAAATACACATTAAGACACCCTGCTGGACACCCAGGGGCCCTATTGGTCAGTTATCTGTGTATGCAGAGGCATACATGAGTTCAAATGTTGATGAAAACAAAAACAAAATGTCTTTCTCTGCACTATTGGAGTAAAGGGTCCCTGAAATGAATTTGAAATAAATAATAATAAATAAAAGATAGCTGTGGACTTTATTCAAATTCAAACCAAACATTGATGTACAACATGAACACGTACTTAATTGATTGGATACATAGACAACATTGTAAAAGTATTGACGAGAAATCCTCCCTGGTGACGCCAAACCGGAAACATCCCCTCAGACATGACAGGGGGTGCTACATACCCATACACACACACACACACACACACGCTCCCCCGCACCCAGCCTAAACATATGTCTCCCTTGTCCCAATTCACAGGGGCCCACAGATACCAATCCCGATGTAGGACAATGTCATGATCCCGTATTAAAGCATCTCTGGGTCTCTGAGGCAATATGGCTCCATATCAGACCACTGTGTTAAACGAGAGAGGGTTAACTGTGTTACCCTCAGCTCATCTATCATTCATTACTGTTAGGGACCACTAATGTCTGTGGACGAAGAGGGATTGGGAGTGTGTGTGTGTGTCTGTTCGTGCAGACCTGCCTGCCTATGTGTGTTTGTGTATGTGTGTGTGCACACGTCAGTGTGGCAGACTGCTTGTTAATCTCCCACACTCCAACTACCAGATGCACTATTTCCAGATTACAGTCGGGGAGGGAGGTAGCAGCTGTGTATTGGGGCAAGAGGGGGAGAGAGGGGGGCTGTTTCGGATCCACCAAACAAAGAGAAAAGCCCCTCTCTCAACAGACAGTGAGCTTCATCATAGACCTACTGTATAATCTCCTAAACCTGCAGTCTGTACTGTAGTTCCACTGCAGCTACTGTGTCATTCTCCATCTCTATATTGGGTCTTACAGGTGGAATGGTTGTGTTGCACCTGATTATAACATATTAGCAAACTGAGTTGACGGTGACATAACACAATAATTAATAAATAGTAAAACCTGTGAAAAATATTTGTTTAGTTTCACATCAACCTCCAGACAAAGCATGCTGCCTAAACCAATTTAGATTCTTAACTAATCTAAATCTAATCTAAATCAAATTGTCTCTAGACTAAAAATATCTCCTGAGTGGCGCATTGGTCTAAGGCACTGCATCGCAGTGCTAACTGTGCCACTAGAGATCCTGGTTCGAATCCAGGCTCTGTCGCAGCCGGCCGCGACCGGAGACTCATGGGCGGCGCACAATTGGCCAGCGTCGTCCAGGGTAGGGGAGGGAATGGCCGGCAGGATGCAGCTCAGTTGATAGAGCATGGCGTTTGCAACACCAGGGTTGTGGGTTTGATTCCCACGGGGTGCCAGTATAAAAAATGTATTCACTAACTGTAAGTCGCTCTGGATAAGAGCGTCTGCTAAATGACTAAAATGTAAATGTAAAAATATCTTAACTGGTTCAGTTTTAAAATACATGAACAGAGAAGCCAAACACAAAAGGGAATTCTCACAGCCGGCTCACACCTCAGTCCTCTCTCCTACTCACACATCCTCTCTCTTTCTTTTTCCCATTCTCTCCAGTGTATCTCGCCCCCTCTCTCACCTCCGGTGTAATTTGCAATGATAATGTATTCATGCCCCCTTCAGCCCAATACACACACCCAGACGTGAATATAATTATGCCCCCAACCCAAATCAATAGCCTATGACCAGTGTTCTATCTGAGCTACAGCTGTTGTACCTCTTACCCCCAACTGCAATCTCTGTGCCCACCGTCTCTCTCTGAAGTACCGGAACTCACACACAATACTCATAATCACTCACACACACACCACACACCACACCACACAGTCACACACACACCACACACCACACACAACACACACACACCACCACATCACTCCACCACACCTCCCCCTTTGGCAGCAGACGTGTAATCACACCCCATGCCAAGAGTCCTCCCTCTCCCTCTCCCACCCCCATGCACCTCTGTACCCCCTCCCTCCCTCTGTGCTCCCCTTCTCTGTCTGTCTGTCTGTCTGTCTCTCTCTCGCTCTTCTCTTTTATCTCTCTCTCTCTTTGAACCTCGTCTTCAGAGCCATAGGGGTCATGGTAACGAGGTCGAAGATAGAACCGCTATTTCCTCATCTTGAAGGACAACAAACGTCATCCATACATCAATATTCAATCAAAATAGGTAATTGGGTTTGATAATAAGACAAAAAGCATCCCTCTTTCCCTATGGGAATGTACGTTTGGATTGATTTCATGATAAATACAAATGTCAATTGACTATGACTGTCAATTGAATTGTCTTTGCTGTTGCTGTAGTGTAATGTTTTTTTTTTTGTCATTTAGCAGACGCTCTTATCCAAGCGACTTACAGAGCATTAGGGTAAGTGCCTTGCTCAGGGCAATCACAGATTTTTCACCTAGCGGCTCGGGGATTAAACCGCGACCTTTCGTTACTGGCACACGCTCTTACCCACTAAGCTACCTGCCGTGTTGCATGCTATAACGCTTGTTTCAAATGGGTAACAAACAAATATACAATTCTCAGTATGGACTTCCTCTTTCTATCTCAGGCAAACTCCTCTCTGTCTTTAGTCTCTGAGCTGGAGACTCTTACTCCTCACTAACTTTAAGCATCAGTTTCAGAGCACCTTACCCATCAATGCACTGTACAGCCTCTCTGAATTAGCCACACAACTACCTCATCCCCATATTGTTATTATTTGCTCATTTGCACCCCAGTATCTCTATTTGCACATCATTTGCATATCATTCCAGTCTTAATACTAATTGTAATTATTTTGCACTATGGCCTATTTATTGCCATACCTCCATAACTTGCTACATTTGCACACACTGTATTTATATTTTCTGTTGTATTTTTGACTTTGTTTGTTTTACCCCATATGTAACTCTGTGTTGTTGTTTTTATCGCACTGCTTTGCTTTATCTTGGCCAGGTCGCAGTTGTAAATGAGAACTTGTTCTCAACTGGCTTACCTGGTTAAATAAAGGTGAAATAAAAAATAGTGTCAGCCTTCATCATCCATATGGCTTTGTCTCCTATTCTGTCTTTCTGGCTCACTTGTTTGTTAAATAATATCTCTCTCTCCCTACCCCTCTCTCTCTCTCGACCTGAGAACTGATAACCCCTGAGGAGTCTTTTCACTCAATATGTTCTCCTCTACCTCCACCTCTTCCTTCCCCCCTCTTTCTGCGCTCTATCTGTCTACCTTTCTCTCTGGATCTTCCTCTATTTGCTTGCCCCATTTGCCCTGGAGTCTGCCTTCTCCCACTCCACCCTCTCTCTCTCTCTCTCTTTCTTTCTCTCTTTCTCCCTCTCTCTCCCCCAGCTGTTCCTCCAGGCCAGTGGAGAGAGAGCCAGGCCGTCTGATCTGTGCTCCCCACACACTAACGCCATTGTCTGGGCCGGGCAGGGGAAGGGAGACGGTTCTCCTAGAAGTCAGCAGCTGATTGATTCTCAAAGGGAGGGAGGGAAGGAAGGAGAGAAAGAAGGGAAGAAGGGAGAGCAAAGAAAAACATTGAGAGAGTGCAGGAGGAATCCCCTCTCCTTTTTGAGCTCCCCTGCTATTCACTCTCTGTTTCCTTCCCTCTTATAATATAATTCTCGGTTATTTCCTTCTCTTTGGCTCATATGTCTCTTCTACCTCTATCTTTATTGACCCACACGTCCTACCACATCTCTCTCTCTTACACTTATTGTTTGAATCTTCTTTTTCTAGCCCCAAGCTCTCTCTCCTGCTGTTCTTTTGATCACCCTTTCTCTTCCCAAAGCAATTTTGTTCCACAGGGCAGCCCCCTCTCCCCATGTTCACCCCCCCCCCCCCCCTTACACTGGACAGTCACTACCTCTCTCTCACACAACACACACACACACACACACACACACAAAGAAGACAAGAAGGTCATCTTCCTAACAGTCCAATATGACAACCCTGAGGCAAGATGTCTGTTGGTCCACTGTTCTGGTGACGCATCAATACATCAATACCCCGATAATGTTGTTGGTAATGACATTAGGCTTTTGTCTGGGCCTTGTGAGTGTATGCACTGCGTACAAGTGTGTGCGTGTGTGGTACTCACTGGGGCAGCTGAGGGCCTCTTTAGCGGTGATGCTCTTGTTGCAGGCAGAGCAGAGGGTGGTGGCAGACACGGTGAGGGAAGTGAAGAGGTGGCCGTTGCTGTAACGCGCCTCCCGCTCCCGCGCCTCCTTCTCCCTCTCCTTCATCCGCTCCTTCTCTTTGTTCTGTAAAGAAAGAAAAATCAGCACCAACCTATGCAATCTGTTGATATTAACTGTTTAAAAGGCACTCTCACTCATCTCACACGGTCAACCGTTCTGGATATTTCCACAGCTGTGAGATGCTTGTCTGTTGCTCAGTTCTCCTTATAGTGTCTATGCAGCATGTACTTGGTTTCAAATAGTACATTTCACTGGATGAGGACAGCTGGTGCATGAGGAATTGTAAATGTGATGTTTTCAGGAAAAGAGCAATAGGCTCTCTCTCCCTCCCACACACAGAGATTGACAGCCTGAGGACAGAGGGACGGTACTGTATTATACACTGTCTTTAATCTCATTATTACACTACAGGGCTCTCCATGCTGCCTCAGCATAACTCAAGTGCATTCAGCGTGAGAGTGTATTCAGTGTGTGTGTGTGCGCAATTGCGCATGCATGTGTCCTTGTACATCTAAGAATGTGTGTGTGCACTATGCTAATTAGTGTAAGTGTGTGTGCAATTGTGTAGGTGTGACTAAAATGTGAATGCTCTGGTGTTACTTTGCCTCTGTAATATCCAGCTGTTCCTAGCACGGTGCCTTATTTTATCCCAGTCTATGCTGCTGGCTGTGACTCTGGCTGTGCTGCTAAGTCAGGTACCAAACTGCTTCTCACAGCCGGTGGCCTTTTAGTCCCAAACTAATCTCCTGATGTTGTGACCACAGACAAAGTAGTCAATCTTCAGTGGCTTTGTCAGGGCTCTCTGTTTTCCTTAATGCTCTCAGCTAATTATCAACTCAACACGTGATGTTACGGTGATGTTGTATATCTACTGTAGCTACATTATAGGATTTGGCAGGTGCTTCCAGTAAGCTCTCAGTAAGCACTTTAAGCAATTATTTATGTTCAAGAGGATAACTCCCCCATCAAATTTGTTTTGGAAATTACTCAAAATGGTATTCTATGTCATATAAGCCTTGTGCATCACCACAACTGCTAATGCTACCAAAACAAACAGAACAAAAGCTGTTTTCAAATACACAACAGGTCTATTATCTGAAATGATGCCCTTTGATACCAGGTTGAACTGTATTTTCTAAAATATTGAGATGACATGATCAACAAAGCACTTTGTCAGAGTTTGTAGTAGTAGGGTAGTATTAACAGTAGTACTACACTTTTAGAAAAAAAGGTGCTATCTAGAACCTAAAAAGGTTATTTTCCTGTCCCCATAGGAGAACCCTTTGAATAACACTTTTTTGGTTCCAGGTAGAACCCTTTTGGGTTCTATGTAGAACCTTTTCCACATAGAGGGTTCTACATGGAAACCAAAAGGGTTATCCTATGAGGACAGCCGAAGAACCCTTTTGGAACCCTTTTGTCTAAGAGTGTAGACTCCAGACCCTTGACGTACACATAAGGAAAGCTAAACCTGTTGGTTTATCATGATGGGCAGCAAGGGGTTAAACCCCCTCACCGGAACATGCCACACAGCTATAATGTTATCGGAAAGACGGAGAGAAAATAACTAAAGAGGGATTTGTCAGGGGTTCCTTTGAGAACGTAAACAAAACGCCTGGGGCCCCCATTGTGTGGAGCTCATTCAGGACATGTCCTCCATGGCATCTCAGGGGTATATGTAAAACACACCCAAAGGAAAGAAAGCAGATAGGTATGGAGGGATGGAGTGGAAGAAGAAGGGAGGGGAGTTCAAACCCATCCATTTACATTAGCTAATTAAAAAGGCAACCCACCAAGATTTTTATCTGAGGTGAAAATGGTGGAAAGAGACTCAAGGTTAAGGACATATAGGACACATTGACACATGCAACATGATGGTGTGATGACTAGCTACAGTTGTGACGTTGTAATGATGGTAGAATGAGGTGAGATGGGCAGGGAGACAGTTTAGGTCCAGGACACTGGGTCCACTTACAGACCCTCATGTCTAAACACACTAAGCCACATTTACATTCACTCTGTTTTGAAGAGGAAGAAAACAGGTGCACAATTTGGCACTGGGCACCAAGCCAATGCTTGGTAAATCTTTCTAAGCTTCTCGGTAGAATTAATCCATAGAGTTTAACTGCATCCATGTAGGGTCCATCATCTAGCAACTCCTATTGTACAGCATGTCTGAGGCGTGCTGGCTTTAATGGCGGTAGGATGAGCACTGCAGCAGCATGCTCTAATCCACTCTGTCCCCCGCAGAGCAGAGGTAGGTTATTAGACTGTTACCAGACTGGGTCCCTCACTCGATTATTAATGCACAGTCAGCTCCATCAGTCAAGACCACCTTATTAAGACCTTTTTCTATAGAACTGACTCTTATGCTAGATATCTGGCACACTGACTGAATTTCTCTGAATTTCCCCCTCCCCCTATCCATCGCTCTCACACACTTGCTCCATCTCTCTCCCTCTCCCGCTTTCTCTCTCGATTCCTCTCTTCTTGTCTCTCTCAATCCTTCTCTCCTTATCACTCTCCTCTATAGTGGATTAACAGACTGGATTAGAATCATCTGACTCAGGGCCGATAGGGGGATGGTGTGAAAGACGAGAAAGAAAGATAGTGAGCAATAGTAAGAGAGAGCGAAAGCGAGAGAGAGAGAGAAGAGCGAGTGAGATTGCTAGGAGCATTTAATTGAGGGAAAGAATGCCACAATGCAGTTTTTGAAGAGCGGCGCTGCTGGTAAATTGTTACCAAATGGATGTAATGACTTTTTAATGAAAAGAGGGCGAGGCAGTGGGGAGGAAGAGAGAAGCTGCTGTTACAGACCAGGGATTAGTAGATACTATTAAGGGGCGGATTAGGCCACAGACTTAACCTCTGCCCAAGCTTTCCAGATATCTAACCTTACTCCACTGAGGAATTTACACTGTTTGGTGGATGAGCAGAGGATAAGGCCTTCTTACCCTCTCTCTCCCCCTCTACTCAATTCAAATGTATTTATTGGCATGACAATAGCCATATCACAATTAAAATGCTAAAAAAGAACACATAAGTAAGACTTGGAAATGATGTACTATTGAGAAATGAAGTTTATTTCCAAAACGCTATATCCACAAATTTTACATGTGTTTTTTCATCATAAATGATTGCATCTGGGTACTGTCATCTGTGTGTAAAATATTACTGTTCTCAGATTTTTGATTCATAGATTTTAGATGTGTATGAAAATGTGTTTAGCTGGAATGGAATGTTTGTATCCTGTATATTTGACTGTGATATGTGGTTGTCTCATCTAGCTATCTTAAGATGAATGCGATTAAGAGCACCTGCTAAACCACTAAAATGTCAAATGTAAATGTTTTACATACAGATCTCATATTACTGTATTGAATAAATGTTTTAATTCATTTTTTTATATTGATGCCACAAATGTATCATTTGTACAATTCTTTACATTTGACTGTGTAAAACCTAGCAGTGCTACTTATTTCTCTGAGAGTGAGGTGGATATATAGCATTTTGCACAAAAAATTTTTTTTATTTGTGTTAGATTTAAACAAATACATGTCTATCATTGAACAACCCCGTACCATGATTAGATAGTGGAAAAAACACACCAATCTCTTTCATCATTTCTTTAAACAATAAAAGCTAATTTACCAACATTTACAAAATGTACAAAACATTAGGAACACCTTCCTAATATTGAGTTGAACCCCCTTTTGCCCTCACAACTGCCTGAAGTCTGGACATGGACTCTACAAGGTGTCGAAAACGTTCCACAGGGTTGTGAGGGCAAAAGTTGTTTCAAGCTGGCTGGATGTCCTTTGGGTGGTGGACCATTCTTGATACACATGGGAAACTGTTAAGCATGAAAAACCCAGCAGTGTTGCAATTCTTGACACACTCAAACCGGTGCGCCTGGCACCTACTACCATATGCCTTTCAAAGGCACTTCAATATTTTGTCTTGCCCATTCACCCTCTGAATGGCACACATACACAATCCATGTCTCAAGGCTTAAACATCCTTTAACCTGTCTCCTGGATTTAACAGGTGACATCAATAAGGGATCATAGCTTTCACCTGTTCAGTCTATGTCATGGAAAGAGCAGGTGTTCCTAATGTTTTGTACACTCAGTGTATAGTGTTTTGGAATGAAACTCTATCAAAGGTATCACCCTCTCCCCTGCACCAACTCCTCCTCCTCTTTCATAGGATTCCCCTGTGTCAGATACAGTGGGGAAAAAAAGTATTTAGTCAGCCACCAATTGTGCAAGTTCTCCCACTTAAAAAGATGAGAGGCCTGTAATTTTCATCATAGGTACACGTCAACTATGACAGACAGAATGAGGGAAAAAAAATCCAGAAAATCACATTGTAGGATTTTTTATGAATTTATTTGCAAATTATGGTGGAAAATAAGTATTTGGTCACCTACAAACAAGCAAGATTTCTGGCTCTCACAGACCTGTAACTTCTTCTTTAAGAGGCTCCTCTGTCCTCCACTCGTTACCTGTATTAATGGCACCTGTTTGAACTTGTTATCAGTATAAAAGACACCTGTCCACAACCTCAAACAGTCACACTCCAAACTCCACTATGGCCAAGACCAAAGAGCTGTCAAAGGACACCATAAACAAAATTGTAGACCTGCACCAGGCTGGGAAGACTGAATCTGCAATAGGTAAGCAGCTTGGTTTGAAGAAATTAACTCTGTAGCAATTATTAGGAAATGGAAGACATACAAGACCACTGATAATCTCCCTCTATCTGGGGCTCCACGCAAGATCTCACCCCGTGGGCTCAAAATGATCACAAGAACGGTGAGCAAAAATCCCAGAACCACACGGGGGGACCTAGTGAATGACCTGCAGAGAGCTGGGACCAAAGTAACAAAGCCTACCATCAGTAACACACTACGCCGCCAGGGACTCAAATCCTGCAGTGGCAGACGTGTCCCCCTGCTTAAGCCAGTACATGTTCAGGCCCGTCTGAAGTTTGCTAGAGTGCATTTGGATGATCCAGAAGAGGATTGGGAGAATGTCATATGGTCAGATGAAACCAAAATATAACTTTTTGGTAAAAACTCAACTCGTCGTGTTTGGAGGACAAAGAATGCTGAGTTGAATCCAAAGAACACCATACCTACTGTGAAGCATGGGGGTGGAAACATCATGCTTTGGGGCTGTTTTTCTGCAAAGGGACCAGGATGACTGATCCGTGTAAAGGAAAGAATGAATGGGGCCATGTATCGTGAGATTTTGAGTGAAAACCTCCTTCCATCAGCAAGGGCATTGAAGATGAAACGTGGCTGGGTCTTTCAGCATGACAATGATCCCAAACACACCGCCCGGGCAACGAAGGAGTGGCTTCGTAAGAAGCATTTCAAGGTCCTGGAGTGGCCTAGCCAGTCTCCAGATCTCAACCCCATAGAAAATCTTTGGAGGGAGTTGAAAGTCCGTGTTGCCCAGCGACAGCCCCAAAACATCACTGATCTAGAGGAGATCTGCATGGAGGAATGGGCCAAAATACCAGCAACAGTGTGTGAAAACCTTGTGAAGACTTACAGAAAACGTTTTACCTGTGTCATTGCCAACAAAGGGTATATAACACAGTATTGAGAAACTTTTGTTATTGACCAAATACTTATTTTCCACCATAATTTGCAAATAAATTCATTAAAAATCCTACAATGTGATTTTCTGGATTTTTTTTCTCATTTTGTCTGTCATAGTTGACGTGTACCTATGATGAAAATTACAGGCCTCTCTCATCTTTTTAAGTGGGAGAACTTGCACAATTGGTGGCTGACTAAATACTTTTTTCCCCCACTGTATCTGTCCTTGGCTGACCCTCAGACTATCTGGAAGCCAGAGGAGAGCTAATGCTAAAAATCTGTTGTCGACTTGTTTATTAAACTGCCTCTCCCGTGCTCCTGGCCAGTCTGAGAGGAGACCACATCACAGTGTGTTGAGTTAATCAGCCTAAGGCCTATAGGATCCATGACCCCACCACAGTCAGACGTCATCCCCCCACCACAAGACCACTAAATCTCCTGAGACAACACCCTGTCTGGCTGTACAAGCTTTATAGGATCAACTTCTCAGCGATGTTTAGACGAAGGGCGAGGGATTCAATCAAACATGTACTACGGAATGTTTGATTGTACTACGGAAACCCGCACTGGGGGAAATATCACTTTGAACTTTGTACACTGCAAAAAAGGCTATCATCACCAAACAGGATGTTGAACCAAGATTACATCGTAATACCTGTATTTTTACATCCATGTTTCAATCTAAAGCAAGCTACTTTAGACACCTGGGTCAGGTGCATCTACAGAGGCTGAGTTTCCTGCTCAAGGCCATAACAGCAGTATAACAGCAGTATGTAAATCCCACCTGGGGATTACGAACCAGTATCCCTTCAGGTCACAAGCCTCTACCCTAACCTCTGACCCCAGACAGATAAGACACAGAGATAAAGAAGCTGTTAACATGCTGCTGTGGTGAACAACACAAACAACCAGCAGGTCAATAAACCTGCTATAGAGGAGTGATCAGAAAAATTCCATTAGGGCAAAGTTCCTTGTTATTTTGGATGGGGGGAGTCTAAAATGTACTCCAGGGGAGGAATTGTAGCCTTTGTCTCTTAGTGGTTGAAGAGCACCTTTGGCCAAAGTCATCCAGCCAGCCAGTGTGTAGCATAACTAATCCTTTGTTTAGTAAATTCTTATTAGACTGGCACTGGTGTCTATATAAGGTTGCATGTATTATTTTTTTTAGCTGGAAGGAAGTGACCTAATTGGTTTACTGTAAGCAATGAAGCTTGGGTATGCTGCTGGGATCTGGCTTTATTGACGCTAATGGTTAACCAAGAGGTTGGCATGACCAATAATCTAGCCAAATAGATACAGATACACAGTGCTAGGCAGTTAACATTGAGTTCTGTGTGTATGCAAAGACATATACTGAACAAAAATATAAACGCAACATGCAACAATTTCAAAGATTTTACTGGGTTACAGTTCATAGAAGGAAATCAGTCAATTGACAATTCATTAGGCCCTAATTTATGGGGAACAGCCATGGGTGGGCCTTGGAGGGCATAGGCCCACCCACTTGGGAGCCAGGCCCAGACAATCAGAATGAGTTTTTCCCCCCAAAACAGCTTTATTACAGACAGAAATACTCCTCAGCACCCCCCCCCCCCCCCAGACGATCCCGCAGGTGAAGAAGCCGGATGTGGAGGTCCTGGCCTGGCATGGTTACAGGTGGTCTGCGGTTGTGAGGCCGGTTGGACGTACTGCCAAATTCTCTAAAATGATGTTGGAGGCAGCTTATGGTAGAGAAACTAACATTACATTCTCTGGCAACAGCTCTGTTGTACATTCCTGCAGTCAGCATGCCAAGCTCCCTCAAAACTTGAGACATCTGTGGCATTGTATTGTGTGACAAAACTGCACATTTTAGAGTGGCCTTTTATTGTCCCGGGCACAAGGTGCACCTGTGTAATGATCATGCTGTTTAATCAGCTTGATCATGCTGTCTAATCAATGTTGATATGCCACACCTGTCAGGGTAAAAGCATCTGCTAAATGGCATATTATATATATATTATTATTATTATCTTGGCAAAGGAGAAATGCTCACTAACAGGGATGTAAACAAATTTGTGCACAACATTAGAGAGAAATAAGCTTTTTGTGCGAATGGAACATTTCTGGGATATTTTATTTCCGCTCATGAAACATGGGACCAACACTTTTCATGTTGCGCTTATATTTTTGTTCAGTATATAATAAATAGAATGGACATTACTATTTAAAGCAAATGTCTAAATGTTTTTATGCCACACATCCATTTCTGATGAGTCAGTTTTCCTGCTTCAACAATAACACTTCATATCTATCATGACACTTCTACAAAGCCTAGCATGCACTTTACTGGGCTGCCCATGACAGATGAGGTCAGAGGAGTTTCAGATGAGGTGGACAGAGAGCCATATATATTCTTCCCTTTCTAATTCTATGAAGGGTGCTATCTGAAAGCGACAGGACTCAGGAAGTCTCTGTTCCCCTTCAGACTGTGATATTGGCATCTGTTGTTTTCAGGGGACTGAACTCATGTGCAGATGCCCGAGCCATAGAGAATGTGCTCACTTTTAAAAGCTTCTATGAATACATGTCATTCACTCCCCAACACTCCCCTTCCTGCAACCAAACAGCCTCAGAGACTCAGACACAACAAAACTAAACAGGAAAGGGAGAAACAAAACTCACATTGTGCCGAAAAACGTAGTTTGGAAATGGGTTTGTATACACAGTCCAGCCATTTTTGTAGACACTTAACTTTTTATTAAAGCAGTTTTTGTCTCAGTAATCTGTTCTCTGCCAAAATGTCTATGCTAGTGCTTCAGTGTTGACGTCACACACAGGAAGTTCATTAAACTGATAAGGCAGTGGAGCCAGAGGAGAGCATGGAGACTGGGGGAGGTGAGTTGGGAGCGTAGCAACACTAGAGTTGGAGGGGAAGGATAAGGTTGTTCATAATCTTAGCTCCAGGGTTCTCAGACGGGCTTGTAGGCTTGTTTGACTCAGATCAACACCATGGCTTTACGTAGCAAACCATTTTGTCCAGTCTGACTGACATAGCAGACATTTTTTCTATCATATAGCTGGATATGTAGTGAATGTAGGTTAAATAAAAGAACAGTGACAACCCACTGGGCAAAAACTGGTTGAATCAACATTGTTTCCACATCATTTTAACACCAACATTCAATGTGATGACATTTAATCAATGTGGAAAACTGATTGGATTTGCAAAAAGTCATCAACTTAAGGGAATTTCATATTTTTTCCACCCAACTTTTAATCTAAATCCAATGACATGGTTACATTTTTTGTTGATTTCATGTTGATTTCATGTTAGTTGACAACTCAACCAAACGTAAATCAAAACTTGACATTGAAATGACGTCTGTGCCCAGTGGGGAGTTCTGATCAACTAGGAATTTGAACCATAGGCCTTCTAGTAACTATAGGAGTGGTAACTATAGCATGGATGCTGTAAACATAAATGTTGATTAACCTATAACAAATAAGGGTTCATTAAAACAATGTTTATAAATGCATTAAGACTATAAATGCATTCATCATGTATTGCACATAATGTAGCTCTTAACACTGATTCAATGCTGAAATAAATGATATTGCTTTGTTGTGTTGTGTAGGCCCATTATTACTCTCCCTTAAGTAACTCATTATCCACAAGTTATTACAGCCAGACACTAACAAGCTTGGCTGATCCTTGTTCCAGTTGACTGAATAGCTGGGTGTGTCCTCTCCTCTGTTTAGGTTTCATGTATTCTTTTAGCAGACCCTCTTTCAATCCAGGGTATATTGAGAGCATACAACCTGCGTTCAGCTGTTTGATGTCAGCTCACTGAAGCGAGATCAGCGCAGTCTAATCTGAGGGTGAATAAGTGGTCAAATAACCTCAGAATGACAACACTAACTAATTATGAGATAGAAAGTCATTAGTGCACAATGGAACAGAAACACATACAGCAGATTCACAGAATATCACACAAGAATGCACTGCATACAGAAACTTAAGTTAAATCTGGAAAAAAAATGTAAACGTGACGCTATTGATATAGATAGAAATTTAGGGGGACATATGCCAGTGGTCCCCAATGAGAATATGTAAACAATCAAAAACCATTGCGCAGTCGGCCTCTATTTGAGTTGAGCCAACTAAACCAAGATGTGTCAGGCAGGAAGGACTGTCCTGTGTGTTTTGCGACATCACAGGAAAGTCCCTTTGGACTGCCATAACAGAATTAGTGGTAGTCAGCACGTGGACATACACTGGGAGAACAAAGCCCTTTTGCCTTTGCTTGCTACACAATCGGTCTGCGGCAGCCCAGGATCTCGTTCAAGTTAACCCTGTGTCGTGCGTGAAGAGCGGAGGCTTAATGGCAGTCCCTCTGTTCTAGGAGAGGAGGAAAAGGGGGGCGGATCTTATTATGGGAGAGCGTGTGCTTGCTACTGTCCCCTGTAGCAGAGAGAGAGAGGCTGAGAGAGACAGAGCCCTGGTTAATAGGCCATAAACGATGCGCGTGTCTGTTGTCTCTCTCATTTCAGATGACATCAGCCTCATAGAATGCCAAAAAACGATATCTAATGGTTAATTAAATATCCTCAGAACGACCTTTGTGAACAAGCACAGTCACCAATCGCCATAGCACGTATGAGTGACAGTAAAAAGAGTGATGGAATAGCTACACTATGAAGTGTCGCAGCTTGATGAGATCATCAGTAGCAAGTAGCAACATGGACAGTCTCTGCCTAAACCTAACAAAAAGGAGTGAAGTTATAAAGGTATACACTGTCTAGACAAATATATGTCCTAAGAGGAGATGGAGGATTACTAACAGAGATACCTAGGAAAGAGGGAGAGGCCTGGAGGGGAAGACCCACGAGAGCAGGAGGCTGAAACGAGTGAGGGAGAAAAAGAGAGACCTAAGCAAGAAATAAATGGGCCTGGGATGAAGGGGGAGGGGGGATGGAAAGAAAAGGCAGACAGATGGAGAAACGGATACAGGGGGAAGAGAGAGAACCCCAGAGAGAGGTAGAGAGATAGAGAGTGATGTGGCGAGGAAACAAAAGAGGAGAAAGAGAATACCTGACACAGCGAGAGAGCCTAGCAGGTAACTGGATTTCAGCGTGTATTGATGGAGGAACAAAGAAACAGAGACCAGACAAAGAACACAAAGAGAGATGGAGAAACTGGAGACACTGGGGAAGAGAACTACTGGATGTGTTTAGAACGCTATCCTAAGGGTTATTAAATGTATCGGGAAAATACATTGAGTGAGTGGATCCATAGTTCTCATCTTAGTGTGTATGTGTGCATTCAGTACGTGCATGCATGTGTTTGTGTGGCAGCAAAGGGGAGGTAGGGCTATAGTATCTTTGTGCTGTATGTGTGTGGTAGCGGAGGAAGGTGGTCATTATAATAGCTTGAATGTGTCCATCCTTTGCATGTTCCTGTGGGTGAGGAGACTACAGATGTATGATCTTAATTTGAGCCAGTTTGCTACACCAGGAAAATAATCCTGCAGCAACAGGAAATGTGAATTATAATGTGGATTATAATTAATGGAAATATTTTGTAGGGGTTGATACATTTTTCATTAGGGCAAATCAAGTCTGACATTTTAAAGTGGAAATTACAAACTTTAGAAGCCTTTTTAAACCTTGAATAACGTACAAGTTTATTCTCAGCACCAAAAGAGTGATCAAATTAAGATCATGCATCTGTATCAGAGACAGATGGCATCCATCATGAGGCTTAGTACACTATGACCTTGATGTGAGGCGCGCCCACACAGCTCTGTGGGAAAGCTAATGTTTGCCCCCTAGTTAGCACCAGGCTGTCCCAGGGGCACATTAATTAATAACGAGTACAGCTACACGCCCACACACACACATACAGACTTAGGATCATAATTTGATCACCCTGTTGCAGGAGAACTTTCCTGCAATGCAGGACATTTAAAACGTGTAATGTATTTGAGGTTTAAAAGGCTTCTGAAGTTTGTAATTTCCAATTAGAAATTTCAGACTTGATTTTCCCTTTGCGAAAAACATATCAACCCCTACAAAAATGTATATTCATTATAATCCACATAATAATTCACATTTCCTGTTGCTGTAGGATTATTTTCCTGCTGTAGCAAACTGGCTCAAATTAAGATCCTCCATCTGTACACACACACACTATACACACACAAAAATACTTATGGTACAATTCCTTGCACACAGAAACAGTAGAGAGAGAGTTGTTGCACAATAGGAGTCCAGTGTTTTATGGTTACAACTATTTCCCCTAGACCTTATTTCTACCACTACACCATAAAATAACAGAGGCATCTTCAGCGGAAATCAGTTTTTCATAATCAATAAACATATTTAATCCTATCTAAACTAATTTAAAGAGCATTGCTAACTATCAACTACAACTACAGGTCATAACATAAAATGGAACACTCTTGGTTTGTGTTAGCCTACTAAACAGAGGAATCTGGGTATTTAGGGTTACTACTGTTTTCACTGAAGTATATTCCAGTTTAGTGCACCTCTTCAATTCAAAATGATGATCCCTGAAATAAGAGTGCCTCTTTGGCCGTCTGTGATGAGGATGGAGAAGAGAGGAGAGCGAGCTCAGATGGTAGGCCAGGTCCTTTCAGCTCCAGCTGTGATAACTATCTATGCCCAGACAGTCATTTGAGCATGGTCAGAGACAGCCATCACAGGCTATGTGCTAATATTCATTTATAGTAGTGACGGGGAAAAAATCTATACAGTTACATATCGCAAAATACATTTTGGACAACATTATATTTGACTCCAGCCCTAATTTATAGTCTCCTTTTATGTATTTTCCACTGATAGGTATGACTAGATAGGTTTTCACTAGGAATCCTTATTTTCAGATCAGTGCTTATGAAAGCCAGGATAATGTGATGAAGCTACAGTATTTCAGTCTGTTGGGTGGTTACTGTAGCAGAGTCAACCCAGTAGCAGCCAGACTCAGGGAGAGTGTGAGGGGGGAACTGGGGATATTGACTGGGTCATCAGGTTCACACAGGGTGCTGTTTGTTTTAAGGATCTCTCTGATGAGTTCACTTCCTGTGACTCTGGCTTTAGTTAGTTTGGGATCCCCACCGACCCCCACTCAGTCACCTCTAGTGGGGGTTTCACAAAGGCAATGCTAAGACTCCAAAGAAAACACCTGTAATAGAATGCTGGCTATTGCAACACCCGAACCCCCTATACAATGTACTTTACCTACAGACTACTAAGCACCCCTCCACCTGTCCTTATTTCTCCTAAATGTTTTCTTTCCTCCCTCTCTTTTTTTCCTCCTTTGTAACCACTCGCTAGCCTGACAACTCAAACTGAATTATTTTGCTGCTCTATGATCGGAGAAGAAACGTTAGTGGGGCCATGGCGTTTGGCTGGAGCTATGTGGCTGAGTAACCAGGCAAACCTGTCCCTCTCCTCTTCCTCAATCTCTAATCCTCCTTCTCTCCTGCTCTCTCACTTTATCTCCTCCCTCCCCATGTGATCTGTCCATTCCCCTACCAGTCTAGTGAGCTGCTATGAGGTGAACCCATTGTCTGTTACCAGGCTGACTGGGAGAACGCTTTTACAGCCCCCTAAAGCAACACTGTTTATACAGGTGCAGTCACACACTGGTGACCACAATGCCAGTGTGTGTCTGTGTGTGTGTGTGTGTGTGTACGTGTGAGCTGTTGACAGAAGGTGAGATGGTGTGTCCGTGTGTGTGTGATTACGTCTCTGTTGGGTGTTAAAGTGTGTATGGGGGCACCCTTTTAAGTGTTTAAACAGGCCTTAGCCTCATGGGAAGAACTTTCCATGTGTAGCAGTAACCCATGAACACAAGTGTTTGTGTGCGTGCATGTATTGTGTTGTACAGTGTATGGTCTGTCTGTCTGGCTTTTCAGAGCTCTAGGGACAGGAAGGATCCTGTTACAGGCTAGTGTGTGACTGATGCTGACAAAGCGCCTCACCTCTCCCTCTCTCCGTTCCTCTTTCTAATTTACTTCTCATTCCTCTCATATTACAACCTTGGAGAAAGCCATTGTGGAGATGTGTGTGTTGGTGAGGTGGGCAGAGAGGGAGGTACTGTATGTATGTGTGTATGTATGGAGAGAGGGAGAGAGAAAAAGAGAGAGGCAGATGGGACAGGTGAAGCGCTTTGTCAGCATCAGTCACACACTAGCCTGTAACCGGATCCTTACTGTCCCTAGAGCTCTGAAAGCACAGCAGTTATTATATCACTCTATTCGCACAAATACAGTGAAAAAACATGCTACATTTACCTACATATCCCTGAACCTCATTGGTCTGTAAAAACTTAAAATGTAAGAGTTGAAACCAAGTATGTTCCCCACCAAACAAAGAAAGCCCTTGTTCATTGATACAGGCCAATTGTCTTCTTGATGAGGTAAATCAGGTTATAGGATTTGAACTAGTAAATCGGATAACCAGTCAATAACCTTCAGCTGCTCCTTTCTACTCAGACCTCGCTTGGCCTACAGTCTATCTTTCATCCCAAACACACCTTTGCCCAATCCGAACCTTAACCATTATCCAGTAAGCCCTGGACCAGCTCTCAGTCTCTTTTCTCTCTATCTCCTCTCAATGACTTTAACACCACTTCTCACTCTCACTAGGGAGCAAGGGAACCTGTCCCGTGATGTTGATGTTCATTTCCCATTTTCTCTCCCTTTCCCTTTCTTCTCTCTTCCTCTGCCCTTAACCTTCCCTCTCTATTTTTCACATGGCTGAGCGGTTCAGGCCCATTAACTGAGCACTCCTTATCCCTGGGCCTGCAGACATATGACGCATGTCCACTGTATGAGTCTGCACTGAAGAATGGCCTCTACGGCACTGTCTGAAATGGAAGCTGAGCTAGGACTGGGCCCATATAAAATACCATGAATGGAACCAACAGGTCACCATTTAACCTTAATGAATAACGATTTGGAAGCCTACATGCCACTTTGACTAGGTAGAACATCATTGTTTATATCTTTTTGGTTTTAAGAGTACATAATGACATCCGCTCACTTGTGTTTCCCCACTTGTGTTGTTGTCTGTCAGCATGTCACATACAGATGTAGGATCTTAATTTGATCATTATTAAGTTGCTGAGAATTGTCCTGCACAACAGGAAATGCAAACTTGTAGTGTATTCGAGGTTTTAAAAAAAGGGGGGGGGGGGGGGGTCAGAGTGCAGTTTTCTGAGGTCACGTGATCAGGAAAAGGCTGTTTTGAAATGATGGAGTTTAAGGCCTTGGGTTTAAGGACAGAGCGCAGTGTGTCAGTCTGAGAACTGGTGTGTGTGCGTACATGCATTTCTGTGTGCGAGAGTGAGTGTAGGTCTTCCATTTAGACTCCTAGCTATTGTTCGTGTAGGCACCAACCACTGGAGCACATAATGAGAACACAAAAGGCTGATCAAACAGACACGCTAGCACTCCCCTCCTGTCTCAAAACAGATCTACGACATCACAATGCCCAATACCCACCTACCCATTGAGCAACCCACACAAATGAAATGTGATTACCAAAAAGTTACCGACTGACTCACCTCCTGTCTTTCTGACTCACCCAGACACTTTCAGCCTACGCCAACTACACATTTCATAATATTAGTCTTCCAGCTAAATGTAAAACTCTAATTTATGATTCGGCAATAACAAAGCCCTAAATATATAGAATATATCTAAAGCAATTTAGGTGTGCAGTGAGTTAGTGGCACAGCAATGAGGGAGATATGATGTGAGAAAAGACCCCCAGTCAGAGTCATTCCCCAACTGGTACAATGGAGACCCTGTGACTAGGGCTGAACGATTAATTGCATTCGCGATAATATCGCGATTTGACTGAACGCGATTTTCTAATCGCAACGTGCGCGATTTGAGGTGGTCACGTGACGCGACTTTTCATGCTGTCCAGCGCAATGGCCTCTTGCTCGACGGAACAGTCAGAAACTGACACAGCTGATACTTTAATATCGAAGAGGAACAGCACGTCGGTGGTGTGGAACTATTTTGGTTTTAAAAAAGAAGATGCTGAGCAGCGTCAGGTGTTGTGCAGAGCATGCCGTGCTCCGATTGCTACTTCACGGGGTAACACTACAAACCTGTTTCAGCACTTAAAAAAATACCACAAATCAATGCATGACAGTTGTATGACCAAAATGCCGAGCATCAGTGCGCGAGACAAGCCAAATACCTCAAGACAGGGATCACTGACAGAAATGTTCGAAAGTGTCACTCCGTATGAACGTAATTCAAAACGGCACGGAGAAATCACTCGGACAATAACCGAGTTCATAGCCAAAGATATGATGCCTCTCAGCACGGTGACCAAGCCTGGGTTCATGGCATTAATACATACGCTTGATAAACGTTACAGTATACCCTCCCGCACATACTTCAGTCAGACTGCCATACCGGAGCTGTACAAAAAGTGCAAAGAGAAAGTCGCCGCGGAACTTAAAACGGTGGAGTTTTTTGCTAGCACTACTGATATGTGGTCAAGCCGCACAGCTGAGCCGTACCAGAGTCTTACAGTCCATTTTATTGATGAAGATTTCAACCTCCGAGCTCGCTGCCTACAAACTACCTACTTCCCAGACGATCACACAGGGGAAAATATTGCAGCCGGCCTGAGAGAAGGGCTTGTCAGCTGGGATCTCCACGAGGAGAATCACGTCTGCATCACGACGGACAACGCGTCGAATATGGTGCTTGCTGCGCGGCTTAATGAATGGACGAGGCTCCAATGTTTTGGCCACAGATTACATCTTGCCATTGGTAAGTTATCGTGTGTGTGTGTGTGTGTGTGTGTGTGTGTGTGTGTGTGTGTGTGTGTGTGTGTGTGTGTGTGTGTTTGTGTGTGTGTGTGTGTGTGTGTGTGCGCGAGTGCGAGAGAGAGAGATGCGTCGATTAGTAAAGCTGAATATACAAATATATATAAATGATATTATATAAATCGGATGGGATTAAATAAATTCATACTTCCACTCCTTTTCTAATATGTAAATTCATTTTACTTGCTTATATCATATGTCTGTCTGTGGTGGAATGCCCACCTGCATTTTTTTTCTTTTCTTGTTTTTGTTTTTTACATGTTTTTTTAGTGTTTATGAGAGAGAGAGAGAGAGAAAGAGAGAGAGAATTGACATGCAAATAAAGACCCTTTGAATTGAGAGAGAGAGAGAGGATGTGTTGTGGATGTGTGTATTTCAGAATTACAGCTAATTTGAGTGTGTAATAGTGAGAGCCTTGTATCAAAACTCAAATTGTGTGTAATACACTACTTTTTATTTCTTTTAGAAAATGCACTCAAAGATGACTGAGTGTCAAGGGCAACAGCACTGTGCAGGAAGCTGGTGGGGCACTTTTCCCACAGTTGGAAGAAGAAAGCAGCCCTGACGGAGGCACAGAGAGAGCTCAAACTCCCTGAGCACAACCTCATAACGGAGTGCCCAACAAGATGGGGTTCTAAAGAAATGATGATTGCCAGAGTGCTTGAACAGGCCAAAGCCATTTCTCAGGTATTGTCTGGAGATCGATATGCACGCTCCCTTATCCCAACCTGGCAGGATATTGACGTGTTGGAGTCGATTCACAAGGCACTGCATCCTCTACTGGAGTTTACTGATGCTCTTTCTGGAGAGGAGTATGTAAGCATCTCCTACCTCAAGCCAGTTCTCCACCTTTTTGCCACATCAGTCCTGGCTGAAGATGCTGAGGACACTGACCTGACTAAATCAATAAAAACCAAAGTCCTAGCATACCTCAATAACAAATATGGAGACCCAAACATCCAGGAGCTTTTGGATGTTGCCTGTTTCCTGGACCCTAGGTTCAAAATACAGTACATCAGTACAGACAACATCCCTGCTATCAAGACTCGTCTGAAGACAGAGATAGTAGACTTGGCACAACGTACATATCATTGGGTAAATAATTATGTATTTCACAAAAACAAAAATTTTCTGTAAAATCTAACTGGAAAACTAATGGCTGTTGTTTTCATCTAATAGGAGAAGAGGTCTCGTACTGAAACTGTTCAGATGCCTCAAAGTGCACAGTCCTTGGGGGAAAAGACGAAGAGGTCTCTTGGCAGTTTTTTCAAGACCAGTTCAGCCTCTCCTTCTTTGCCTGTAAATCTTGAAGATGTCGCAGAGGCAGAGATAAACAATTACCTGATGACTCCTACCATTGATGGAGAAGATGATCCATTGGCTTGGTGGAGGGTGCACAAGATCAGCTACCCACAGTTGTGCACCATGGCACGCAAGTATCTTTGTGTACCTGCTACAAGCGCTCCCTCAGAGCGTCTTTTTAGCACAGGAGGGAATATTGTGACTTGCACTCGCTCAGCCTTGAAGCCAGAAAAAGTCAATATTCTGGTTTTCTTAGCAAAAAACCTGTGAGCCACTGAGAACAGAACTGTTGGATAAGTATGGCTGGCAGTGCCATACTCGTAGTGAACTTTAGTCTGTGTGGTGTGTTATTGTTGTGTACTTGAGATAAGTGAGGCTCATCTATTTTATATTATAATATTCAAATCGTTTATAAAAAATAGTTTGTCTAAATTAAAAGTGCATTTCTCATTTTTTATTTATAACTTTATTTACTTTGATTTTACAAAATATTTTCAAAGCAAATTCCTTGTTTCAGTTGTGTGAAATGTTACTGACTTGGGAGCAGTAAGATACATACAATTTAAAATTATTTTTTTCTTAAGACTGTACCTTTTGCACACAGTGTTTACAAAGTTCATGCCTTTGTTTAAATTATTTAAATGCACAGTGGCAAAGCCACAGATGTTTCTGTAATGAGCAGTTCAATAAAAATGTCATTTATTTCAAGTCATACATGTTTGAATTTAATTCTAACAAATAGACCCAGCCTATGGGAAAGAACATTTCACACTAAATGTATATACTATTGTGTTGGTCATATTTAAATCATTCATTATGTTTTGTAGGGGAAAAAGGATAAATAAATTAAATCGCATATTAAATCGCAATCGCAATATTGGGGGCAAAAAATCGCAATTAGATTATTTTCCAAAATCGTTCAGCCTTACCTGTGACAACAGACAAGAGCGCTTCCTCCCTCTTTCTCACACGCACAATATCCTGCTCTATCATCCGCTATCCCTTCCCAACCTCTCCAATTCTCCCTCTCATTCCATCTCTTTCACTCAAACCCCTCTCTCTCTCTCATCTTCCCCCAGGGCTGTATATGTCACAATCCCTGCTCTGTCCTGCCCCACATTCTACCCAATGATGTGCAACTTTGCTGGGGTGCATAGGGTCCAATGAACAGCAATGGAACCCCCAAGAGAAAATAAAAGAGGGCTCAGTTAAGGGTTGGGTTGTGAAATGCATGAAACATGGGACTTTTTGGCTGATCTGAATGTATGCCAATGCCAAATCTCTTTCTTTCACACATACACACAGTCCAGAAGTGTGTGTATGTGTGTGCATTTGTCTGTGTATGTGTAGACATTGAGCCCTGGAGTATTTAATATGTGACTGTCTGGCGCTGGGAGTTTGTATTGGCATGTGGCTCTGTGTGACTATGCATGCCAGCCCTCATGCCTTTCCACCAGTGTCTGCTTGTTCTAGTGGGGGTGGGGGTCACGACACTGGGATGCTAAATTAGCTTTGGCCAAAAGGCTGAAATCCCACAGTCAGACGCAGAACACACACACACACGTGTTCACATTCAAACAAATAAGTATGCATGCGCACACAGAAATCCCACACTCACTGACTCAGTGGGCATCATCAACCAACATTTCCCCTGAACACAATGACACACACACACAAACACTGGAATTTAAGTTAGTAATGTTGCCATTGCTGAATAAGTTTTTCTACATTTGGATTTCTGGGTCTTAAAATCTATGCTCACAACAGCCCGACTTTCTCCACTATCCTGCTCTAACAACACCTTCTCTTGTGGCCTTCTCCATTAAAGGTGTAACAAGCAATAGGCTACACAACACACTGACACTTGTGTTTTCATAGGAACTGTACACTTCCCTGTAAACATCTGAGCTCTGACTTCAACCACACACAACACACAAAGCAGTGAGATAAGTTATCATAGTATACACACAGACCAACCTCACAGTACACATGACACAGAGATAGTAACACACATTCACTGTACACACACACGTACAGTGAGGGAAAAAAGTATTTGATCCCCTGCTGATTTTGTACGTTTGCCCACTGACAAAGACATCATCAGTCTATGATTTTAATGGTAGGTTTATTTGAACAGTGAGAGACAGAATAACAACAAAATAATCCATAAAAACGCATGTCAAAAATTGTATACATTGATTTGCATTTTAATGAGGGAAATAAGTATTTGACCCCTCTGCAAAACATGATTTAATACTTGGTGGCAAAACCCTTGTTGGCAATCACAGAGATCAGACGTTTCTTGTAGTTGGCCACCACGTTTGCACACATCTCAGGAGGGATTTTGTCCCACTCCTCTTTGCAGATCTTCTCCAAGTCATTAAGGTTTCGAGGCTGACGTTTGGCAACTCGAACCTTCAGCTCCCTCCATAGGTTTTCTATGGGATTAAGGTCTGGAGACTGGCTAGGCCACTCCAGGACCTTAATGTGCTTCTTCTTGAGCCACTCCTTTGTTGCCTTGGCCGTGTGTTTTGGGTCATTGTCATGCTGGAATACCCATCTACGACCCATTTTCAATGCCCTGGCCGAGGGACGGAGGTTCTCACCCAAGATTTGACGGTACATGGCCCCGTCCATCGTCCCTTTGATGCGGTGAAGTTGTCCTGTCCCCTTAGCAGAAAAACACCCCCAAAACATAATGTTTCCACCTCCATGTTTGACAGTGGGGATGGTGTTCTTGGGGTCATAGGCAGCATTCCTCCTCCTCCAAACACGGCGAGTTGAGTAAATGCCAAAGAGCTCGGTTTTGGTCTCATCTGACCACAACACTTTCACCCAGTTCTCCTCTGAATCATTCAGATGTTCATTGGCAAACTTGAGACGGCCCTGTATATGTGCTTTCTTGAGCAGGGGGACCTTGCGGGCGCTGCAGGATTTCAGTCCTTCACGGCGTAGTGTGTTACCAATTGTTTTCTTGGGGACTATGGTCCCAGCTGCCTTGAGATCATTGACAAGATCCTCTCGTGTAGTTCTGGGCTGATTCCTCACCGTTCTCATGATCATTGCAACTCCACGAGGTGAGATCTTGCATGGAGCCCCAGGCCGAGGGAGATTGACAGTTATTTTGTTTCTTCCATTTGCGAATAATCGCACCAACTGTTGTCACCTTCTCACCAAGCTGCTTGGCGATGGTCTTGTAGCCCATTCCAGCCTTGTGTAGGTCTACAATCTTGTCCCTGACATCCTTGGAGAGCTCTTTGGTCTTGGCCATGGTGGAGAGTTTGGAATCTGATTGATTGATTGCTTCTGTGGACAGGTGTCTTTTATACAGGTAACAAACTGAGATTAGGAGCACTCCTTTTAAGAGTGTGCTCCTAATCTCAGCTCGTTACCTGTATAAAAGACACCTGGGAGCCAGAAATCTTTCTGATTGAGAGGGGGTCAAATACTTATTTCCCTCATTAAAATGCAAATCAATTTATAAAATTTTTGACATGCGTTTTTATTGATTTATTTGTTGCTATTCTTTCTCTCACTGTTCAAATAAACCTACCATTAAAATTATAGACTGATAATTTCTTTGTCAGTGGGCAAACGTACAAAATCAGCAGGGGATCAAATACTTTTTTCCCCTCACTGTACATACAGTGCCTTGCAAAAGTATTCAACCCCCTTGGCGTTTTTCCTATTTTGTTGCATTACAACCTGTAATTTAAATGGATTTTTATTTGGATTTCATGTAATGGACATACACAAAATAGTCCAAATTGGTGAAGTGAAATGAAAAATATAACTTGTTTCAAAAAATGCTAAAAAATCAATAACGGAAAAGTGGTGCGTGCATATGTATTCACCCCCTTTGCTATGAAGCCCCTAAATAAGATCTGGTGCAACCAATTACCTTCAGAAGTCACATAATTAGTTAAATAAAGTCCACCTGTGTGCAATCTAAGTGTCACATGATCTTAGTATATATACACCTGTTCTGAAAGGCCCCAGAGTCTGCAACACCACTAAGCAAGGGGCACCGCCAAGCAAGCGGCACCATGAAGACCAAGGAGCTCTCCAAACAGGTCAGGGACAAAGTTGTGGAGAAGTACAGATCAGGGTTGGGTTATAAAAAAATATCAGAAACTTTGAACATCCCACAGAGCACCATTAAATCCATTATTAAAAAATTGAAAGAATATGGCACCACAACAAACCTGCCAAGAGAGGGCCACCCACCAAAACACACAGACCAGGCAAGGAGGGCATTAATCAAAGAGGCAACAAAGAGACCAAAGATAACCCTGAAGGAGCTGCAAAGCTCCACAGCGGATATTGGAGTATCTGTCCATAGGACCACTTTAAGCCGTACACTCCACAGAGCTGGGCTTTACAGAAGAGTGGCCAGAAAAAAGCCATTGCTTAAAGAAAAAAATAAGCAAACACGTTTGGTGTTCTCCAAAAGGCATGTGGGAGACTCCCCAAACATATGGAAGAAGGTACTCTGGTCAGATAAGACTAAAATTGAGCTTTTTGGCCATCAAGGAAAATGCTATGTCTGGCGCAAACCCAACACCTCTCATTCCCCCGAGAACACCATCCCCACAGTGAAGCATGGTGGTGGCAGCATCATGCTGTTGGGATGTTTTTCATCTGCAGGGACTGGGAAACTGGTCAGAATTGAAGGAATGATGGATGGCGCTAAATACAAGGGAAATTCTTGAGGGAAACCTGTTTCAGTCTTCCAGAGATTTGAGACTGGGACGGAGGTTCACCTTCCAGCAGGGCAATGACCCTAAGCATTCTGCTAAAGCAACACTTGAGTGGTTTAAGGGGGAAAATGTAAACGTCTTGGAATGGCCTAGTCAATACCCAGACCTCATTCCAATTGAGAATCTGTGGCATGACTTAAGGATTGCTGTACACCAGCAGAACCCATCCAACTTGAAGGAGCTGGAGCAGTTTGCCTTGAACAATGGGCAAAAATCCCAGTGGCTAGATGTGCCAAGCTTGAATAGTGAATAGTTATGCATGCTCAAGTTCAATTTATTGTCTTATTTCTTGTTTGTTTCACAATTAAACATATTTTGCATCTTCAAAGTGATAGGCATGTTGTGTAAATCAAATGATCCAAACCCCCCAAAAATCCATTTTAATTCCAGGTTGTAAGGCAACAAAATAGGAAAAATGCCAAGGGGGTGAATACTTTCACAAGCCACTGTAGATACATGTGCATGCTGATGGTTCAGGTTCCTCCTGATCATAAGATAAAATGTGTGTGTGCATGCACATGTATCTACAGTGGCTTTTCCTATTTTGTAAGATAATTAATTAAAACTGCTGCAATAATGATAGGCATAAAGCATGAGGATCATATTACACCTGTATAACCTGTCACAAACCAAGAACACAAGCCAACAGGTCATACACAACCTCAGCTGGGGAGGGGGGTGGTTAGACAGGCTAAATGAGAGAGGAAGGATATGTACTATTTCCATGTTCTAAGACTACAAAATTATACTCAGAGGAGTTTGTTAAAGCTAAGACCTGGACCAGATCTGGATCCAAAGTGGTGCAGAAGAGAAGGTTGATGAGTAAGGGAATTGTACAGATAATGTGGACTAAATGGATGTTAAACTTGTAGAAATGTTTCTGATTTAAACAGGTGTGAAGGGACAGTAAACAACATGACCACAACTGTTTAGTAGAACTCAGATACACAAGACAAGGAATGATCTGTAAACTAACACAAACACATTCAACTTTCTGATCTTACAGCCATACCATACACTCATAGAAAAAATGGTTATTCGGCTGTCCCCATAGGATAACCCTTTTTGGTTCCAGGTAGAACTATTTGGGGTTCCATGTAGAACCCTCTGTGGAAAGGGTTCTACATGGAACTCAAAAGGGTTCTTCAAAGGGTTCTCCTATGGGGACAGTCGAAGAACCCTTTTAGGTTCTAGATAGCACCATACTTGTATTATGGCAATTTGGATATGTCAGTATCTGTGTCTGACCTAGTACTCTGCAGCACATGATGGCAACACACATCCACAACTGTGCTATAGTTCAACCTTGTCACTTTCAGAGCGCTTGATACAATTACTGCGAAACTAAAACAATGTATCTTTATCATCATGCTGCAGCAAGCAAATCACATGACGAAGACAAACAACAGAGCCCGGGAGACGTTATAACAAATCCAATAATTATAAGAATAGGCTATAGGCATCCTCTGTAGCTCAGCTGGTAGAGCACGGCGCTTGTAACGCCATGGTAGTAGGTTCGATCCCCGGGACCACCCATACACAAAAATGTATGCACGCATGACTGTAAGTCGCTTTGGATAAAGCGTCTGCTAAATGGCATATTATTATTATTATCTCTTTGACGTATACCGTTAAAGTATTTGCAGAAAACAGTTGCACAATATTCATTTTTGAATACGTGTCATGTGTCTAATAGCATAACTGCATCATATTGCAATTACTCTTCGATTTATTATTGATCCGTAATATTCCGTATGTCCATGACTTGACCAATGACACACACACACACACTTGCGGTTTATCCCCCCTCCCCCAAACGATTTCCTCTATCTCGGACAACGTGTTCGGTGTCTCAAGCTTTGGCTACTGTGCCGCACTATGCAACCCTTTTGCCAAGCTATCTGGTTTTCTATGATAAGCAACGGGCGTGACAAACATTGACAAAGTAGACAAAATCATTAGCCATAATACTAGTCTAAATCATTATTTAAGGTTGTTTCATTACATTGCCAGTTGCCACCATACAAAGCAGGAGCCAAAGGGAGCCCCCTCGTTTCCCACACTCATTTTGGTATACCCGGAATAAGTAAATGGGGGATTTCCAAGTCATTGCTGTATTTTACTGTAAAGATATCATTATCTATTTAAATAATAAACAAATGTAGGCTATTATAATGTTAGAATAACCCATGTTAGAGAAGTATTGATATAGGCTACTAGTGGCCTACTACATTTTAACAAATTGTTATTGAAAATGTAAATGTATTATCTATGCTATTGAATACTTTATATATCCTTGACTATTCAGACTCACCCGTAAATTGATTTCTTTCATTCTCTCTTGACGCGTTTTTGGCAGCGGTTCAGTGACACGGGACATAACGAGGAGGGATCAACAGAGAATGATCCTCAATTTAAATCAAAGTTGATCTCCTATCCTTCTCTTTCACTTTATTACAATATTGTCATTAACGTTGATAAAATCCCAGTTTGATATCTCCAGTGGAACAGCCGGCGTCAGATAATAGCGCATGGAAGGCGAATCCGTTAACTTTTCTCCATATGTCGGAGTACGCGCCTCGATGAACAACTGAATAGTTTCCCATGCAGGAAATTCGGACTCCGCACTCCGAAGGAGGAGCGAACATTTTTAAGCCGCGCCTCTGAATGCGGGGCTATTCAGAGCAAAATATCCCCTTTCATTATTTTCACCAACCACAGATGAGTATTGAGCACTTAAACGCCCACTGCGTAAAGAGACGTAATCAAAAGCCAATAATCCGATTGGGGCTATATTTTTTTAACCACACCTCTAGAGTTGAAGATGTGGTTGCTTGGAGTGTAAACCTAGGCTTCATTTTTAGGGGTTCGCTAAATGAGTTGTGCCCCTGTACAGTCTATGGTTGCCCCCTATGTTTTACTGTACATTCACAGCACATTTCAGATAGTAGTTGTTTGAAACCTCAATTATTAAGCTGCGCTACTTGAGCCACATAATGTGAGTTTGCCTGTTGACGTGGCAAAAACATAATTGTGAATACCTCCCATTTGGGCAATGCATGGGAGAGGTACCATCTGTGGGGAAGTGATGCCTTGAAGGCAAAATGTGGACTGGAAAAGGTAAAGGTGAATGTATTTGGGAATATAACAAGGAAAATATAATAATAGTAAAGGAATAGAGGGAATGTTACGATGGAGAGAAGGAAAAGAGGGAGAAGGGGAGGTTAAACAAGGAGGCACTTAAGAGTGGCCGGGGACTAAATTTAGAGAGCAAGGAGAGAGGAAAACGCCCAACCATGCACCCACAGCCAATGGACCTCTGTACCACTCTGTTCTCCAAACTGCAATATCACACGATTCATTCTCTCTAACAGGACTGTGCCTGTGTGACCTTGCCTCTTCATCCTCCCACTCATTTTCAGTCTCTTTCTCTGCTTTCAACACAATTTTTACTTTACTGGACAGTCCCCCTCTCCACCTCTCCCAGCATGCACTGTGCATTATCAGTCTCTGTTTCTCTTTCTTCCTCCTCTCTCATTCAGTTTAGGGCTATCCTCTCCAGCTCCTCCTCCGTCTTATCAGGTCGTCATCCTCTCTTCACTTCCTGAGTCCTCATCTGATACCAATTGCCCTCCGACATGGTCAAACACACACACACACACGTGCGTACATGAGTGTGTGTGAGACTGCATGCATGCGTGTGTGTGTGCGTGCGGGCGTGTGTTGCCTGGCAGCACTTGAGTGGTATGATATGAGATAACACACAGGTGTTGGATACAGCACAAGTCTTCTATTGAGCATAGTCATCCAACATAACACACACACACACACACACACACAAATACACAAGTCACCAAGTGACACTGTCAAACCCTCTGAAGAGCTATTGTGAGGGAGACAACAACGCCTTACATTACGGAGTGAGTGAGAGAAAGAGTGTGTGTGTGTGTGTATGTGTGTGTATGTTAGAGAGAGAATGAGAAAATGTGTAACAGCGTGATGAGAGGGCAACAGTCTTCCCTTTCAAAACAGAAAAGAGGAGCATGTCATTTAGCGAAAGAGTCCTCATAAACAGTTATAAGCATCTATAACATGACATCACTCTTCGCACAAGAGTTTCCGACATGATGAATGGAAAATAAAGAGAGCGAGTGATAAGGAGAGTGATGATAGGGGATGGACAGAGGAGCGAGACGAAGAGCAGTTAGTAGTGAACATGTTGGTATGATAGGATATTAGAAGATATGAAAAGGATGTGGTGAGATAGAAGGGCAGCTTTAATCAGGCAGGGTATATTTTCTTGGCTAATACTCTGGCCCTCCGCAGGCTTCTTTATGGGTTTCATATCCGCTGTTCTACCTGCCTCAGTTTGTTTAAACTCCTACTACCTCAGAATGGAAATGTGGAATAGGGGGAGAGAAAAGTGGAAAAGAGAGAGAGAGAGAGAGAGATGGAAAGAGGGAGGTCGGAGGGGTGGGATAAAGAGTGGTGAAGAGAGAAAGTGGAGAGAGATGATCAGACACTGTAGAGGAGAGGGAGAATAGAAAATGATGGAACAAGGGGGAAGAAGGGGAAATATGAAAGGGTGAAGAGAAAAGCAAAGGGAGAGAGATGGAGAAGGGACGGCAGAGAAGAATAACAGAAAGGGGTGCAAGAGAGAGAATAAGCCGAGAAGGGGAGGCATTGAGAGCAAGGGAGGAAAATGGGGTGAAATTGAGACAGATGAACGGAGGAGTGGGGGCGGAGTGATGGAGAGAGAGAGGGGGCCGAGTGATGGAGAGAGCGGGGGTGGAGTGATGGAGAGAGAGAGGGGGCGGAGTGATGAGAGAGAGAGGGGGTGGAGTGATGGAGAGAGAGAGGGGGCGGAGTGATGAGAGAGAGAGGGGGCGGAGTGATGAGAGAGAGAGGGGGCGGAGTGATGAGAGAGAGAGGGGGTGGAGTGATGAGAGAGAGAGGGGGCTGAGGGAGAGAGGGATAGCGGAGGAGAAAAGCCGGCTTGCTGATGCAATCCTGCCACCCGAAGCAGTAACTGCCCAGCTGGGATAGAGAGAGAGAGATTGAGCTAATGGAGAGAGAGAGCGGGGAAAAGAGAGGGGGAATTAGGGATGAAGGAAAATAGAGGGGTAAAGGCTAAACTTTGGCCAAGAGCTATTAACTACAAATTATTAATTCATTTTTACGTAATACTACTAAGTGCATTCACTGTTAAACATAGACAGACACACATAACGCCAATAAAATGATGCTGAGCACAGACACTTTCTTTCTCTCTCTTTGGGACACAGTGAACACACACCAATAAAACCAAGACACATTACATTTACATTTACGTCATTTAGCAGACGCTCTTATCCAGAGCGACTTACAAATTGGTGCATTCACCTTATACACATGTTGTCCAGATGTGTTTGCTCTTAAGCGAGGTATGTGTCTGTCTACAGACATAACTTCCTCCTACTCCACTACTCAATATATACTGAACAAAAATATAAAACTCAACATGTAAAGTGTTGGTCCCATGTTTCATGAGCTGAAATAAAAGATCCCAGAAATTTTCCATATGCACAAAAAGCTTATTTCTCTCAAATTTTGTGCACAAATTTGTTTAGATCCCTGTTAGTGAGCATTTCTCATTTGCCAAAATATTCCATCCACCTGACAGGTGTGGTATTTCAAGAAGCTGATTAAACAGCATGATCGTTACACAGGTGCACCTTGTGCTGGGTACAATAAAAGGCCACTCTAAAATGTGCAGTTTTGTCACATAACGCCAAAGATATCTCATGTTTTGAGGGAGCATGCAATTGTCATGCTGACTGCTGGAATGTCCACCAGAGCTGTTGCCAGATAATTGAATGTTAATTTCTCTACCATAAACATAGTTTTAGAGAATTTGGCAGTACGTCCAACCAGCCTCACAACTGCAGACCACTTGTTACCACGCCAGCCCAGGACCTCCACATCCAGCTTCTTCACCTGTGGGATCGTCTGAGACCAGCCACCTGGACAGCTGATGAAACTGAAGAGTATTTCTGTCTGTAATAAAGCCCTTCTGATTGGCTGGGCCTGGCTCCCAAGTGGGTGGGCCTATGCCCTCCCAGGCCCACCCATGGCTGTGCCCTTACCCAGTCATGTAAAATCCATAGATTAGGGCCTAATACATTTATTTCAATTGACTGATTTCCTTATTTGAATTGTAACTCAGTAAAATCTTTGAAATTGTTGCATGTTGCGTTTATGTTTTTGTTCAGTGTAGTATAAGACACATTTGTACAGGTACACTCTTAGAACAAAAAGGTGCTATCTAGAACCTTAAAGGGTTCTTCGGCTGTCCCCATAGGGGAACCCTTTGAATAACCTTTTGGGTTACATGTAGAACCCTTTCCACAACCAAAAAAGGGTTTTACCTGGAACCAAAAAGGGTTCTCCTATGGGGACAGCCGAATAACTATTTTGGAACCCTTTTTTCGAAGAGTGTATGAATAACAGACTTGTGATCTTGTAATGTGTTCTGTTCTCAGCTCCCTCCAGTCTGAAAGACTGCATCGCAGTGCTAGCTGTGCCACTAGAGATCCTGGTTCGAATCCAGGCTCTGTCGTAGCCGGCCGCGACCGGGAGACCTATGGGGCGGCGCACAATTGGCCCAGCGTCGTCCAGGGTAGGGGAGGAAATGGCCGGCAGGGATGTAGCTCAGTTGGTAGAGCATGGCGTTTGCAACGCCAGGGTTGTGGGTTCGATTCCCACGGGGGGCCAGTATGAAAAATAAATAAAAAAGAATGTATGCACTCACTAACTGTAAGTCGCTCTGGATAAGAGCGTCTGCTAAAATGACTAAAATGTAAATGTATTGACATGTTATCATTATGAGAGTACTGGACTTAATCTAAAGCCATCAGATGTCTCTGTCTAACACATATAGCCAGATCAACCAACTCTATATAACACTGAGGTCAGTAGAAATACAGACAGTCCTGTAGACACACAGCAGACGCACACAGGACTGATCCACATTCCAGAGTAGACTCCTCTGCATGCTGACTTCTTGAGACGTCACGTGTTATAGTGAGAGAAACTGAGAGAGACAGAGGGAGAGAGAGTTCATAACTGCTGTAGAGAGGAAGGGTCTGGAAAAGTGAGCTCAGTCGCTCTCTTTCTTTCTGACTACTGTTCTCTCTCTCTGTTGGGTTTCTCCCTTATTTGTCTCTTTTCTGTCTGTCTGTCTGTCTGTCTCTTATGTTCTGGAGTCCAGTAGCCACTAAACACACAGCACCAAGGGTGTGGACAAACCTCACATACCTGGTTACACCACACACACACACACACACACACACACACACACACACACACACAAAGACACACACACACAAAGACACACACACACAGGATGGATGTTGTCACAGACCAGAAATAGCTCCGTCAAACAGGGCCAGCAGCTATCTGTCTCTAACAGGCCTACTGAGTCTGAGGCGATGATGTCATTGCGTAAATGAACTGCTGATCTTCAAAATCACAGCTACGCCCCTGTGACATCACTGGGACTTCTTATCAGTTGAGATGGAGGGCACAATCTGGCAACCCCCGTGATAAGGACCTCTGAGGAATCTGGCAACCCAGTGGGTCTTAAATAAGGGACTTAGTCTAACGCAAGAGTGGTCAGAGGGGCTGGTAGGGCTTTTATTTTTATAATATATATATATTTTTTTTTATTAAACAATATACAGACATCAACTTAATGTAGACAGGGTATTACATGTCAAAAGAAAATATAAATGTGTCAAAGTTTGATGGTGCGTACTGCTCTTTGTTCGGGCTTATTAGTAGGACACTAAATTGTAATCTTGCGTAATTGCATCAGATGCTTGATACTAGTTATGATACGTCCGTCTGTCCACGAGATATTAGTAGGACACAAATAACAAACATACAAGAACCCCAGCTGTCCCCAAGTTCAGTTCAAGTGTGGAATGCCTAAATCACCATCCTGCTGAGGGCCACAGTGCTACTTATTCCTCTTCACTGGAAACTTCTCATATCCAACACACAGAACAGAGTCTCCCCCTGCTGTTTAAAGATTGTCATCTTTAAACAGAACAGAGTCTCCCCCCACACACGCACTGCAAACATTGCCAACCCACTAGTACAAACACTTAAAAATGTTCTTCCAGAAATCAAGAGCATGTTGCAATTCAGCTGGCCAGATGTCGTCATCAATAATCTAAGCAGCACGAGAGAGAGCCTCACCCAACATAATTAATAACACTGTTGTACTGAACGACTACTGTTGTGGTTACTGCTTTGACAACATTGTTGTACCTATACTATTGCTGTACCATTGTGTTACAGTCTTGGCAAACAGCATATGTGTTGAATTGGAGGGCCTGGCCCTGGTTGTGGTTAACTGATACTGGGGGTGGTTCACAGCTGAATCTAAATAAAGCAGATACTGTAACTTCCTCTCTGGGGTTCACTGCTGGGAATCTACACTGGAGGGGAAGCTAGTCTACTATCAAACTCCAACTCTCTGTCCTCAGAGACGGTTCTACTCTCTGCTCAAGTACTCTACTGCATAGTGACAGCTGTGACAGGGTCACATCCACATGCACGCACAAACACAGAGAGACACTGAAACACACACCCCACACTCTCTTTCTCACTCTCTCACCTTGCGCTGGCCGGCCATCTTGCGCAGGAAGCTGAATGTGCGCCCCAGAGGGCTTCCCGTCTTCTCCCCCCTCTCCTCCCCGGGGGGAGCACCCCTCTGTTCCTCCGTCCTTCTCTCCTCCCTCCGCCTCTCTCTCTCTCCGTCTAGCCGCTCCCTCTCTTCTTGCCCCCACAGCTCACCAAGCTCCGCATCCACACTGAGAAAGAGGTAAAGAGAAACATCCTTGCATAAGATGGGACGAGTTTCCTTTCAGCCTAGCTCAGAGGAAAAGGTGTGTTACTATGGGAATGTGTGTCAAAAAGCAGTCAGTGATAGATGAGATGAGATCATGTGCTCTATAGGGTTGTGAGTGAACAACTGTCATCAGGAAGAGAGAGAGACACAACTCACCTCTGTGTGGAACCCCCAAATACAGAGCCCAGGGAAGACTCTGTGTGAGAGAGAGAGAGAGCGAGATAGAGCGAGAGAGAGACAGAGAGAGCGAAAGTGAAAGACAGATAGATACAGAGAGGAAGAGAGAGGCAGAAAGCAGAAACAAACTTAGTCATCCCAATACCTCAAAACCATCCATCCATACATACAGACCTAAGATCCCCGACAGATTGAAGTGCATCGCCTGATAAGTGACAAACCTCTCTCTCTGCTCTGCAGGTTATTGGCAAACACAGCTAATCCAAACGATGGGTGAGACCAAGAGTTAACAAACACATGAAGAAAGAGAAGTACGAAATAACAGAAGACAGTTGATTAAAGACCATCAAGGAGTGATTAAAACGATCTCTGCTGATGCCGTGGAATGAAAGGATGAATACAGAACATGCAAAGGGAGAAATGGAGAGAGCGAGAGAAGAGATAGGAGAGCCTGAGAACACAGCGCTTTCTGTTCAGTGGCTAACGACGGCAGCAGCCCCCAGTGAGAACAAACACAGGAAGAAGGCTTCCGCATAGCTGCACACAGCTAGGAACACACACACACACACAAACATCTGCCCTTCAAACAGTCAGGAGAGTCCCCACACACTCACAAATGAAGAGTCCTACTGTCCTACCTTGGTAGTGGCGTTGGGAGGTGGAATTGGAGTAGGAGCGATGATGAGACTGATGCTGGTGGTTTTGTGAGTGTGTGTAGGGGTGTGTGTGAGGTGTCTGAGAGTGTGTATGAGTGTGTGCATGGGTTGGAGGGTGGAGGTTGGCGTTGGGTAGCTGGTGCAGACTGGGACTGGCACACAGGGAGGGAGCGGAGGCACTGAAGCCCTGCAGCTGAGACGACTGCTCCTAACACACCACAAGACAAGAGAGAGAAAAGGAGAAAGGAGGGAGAAGAGAGAGAGGGGAGAGAGGGGGGATAGGGAGATAAGGGAAAGAAAGAGAGAGAGGAGAAAGAAGGGGAAGAGGAGAAACCCCCATAAAAAAAAGAAGAGCCTGGGGGGGGAGGGAAAAAAAATAAAAAGGGGGAAAAGGGAGAGGGGAGGGGGGGGGGGGGGGGGGGGGAAAAAAAGAAAAAAAACCCCCCAAAATTTTTAAAAAAAATTTTTAAAAAAAGAAAAAAGAATATTAGGTAAAAAATCTTTTAATCCCCAAAAAAAAAAGCCCATAATGGGGGAAAAAACTTTCCCCGCCTCCCCCCTTGAGGACGGGAGCCCCCTTTTGGTGGGTGTGGGGGGTGGGGGTCCCATTCTTTACCCCCCCAGGGGGCCCCCCCCTTATTTTTTTAAACCCCCCAAACCCCAGAGGGAAAGGGGGGTAAGCTCCCAGTGAAGGGGAAGGGGAAAAAGAGGGGGGAGGGGTGGGGGGGGAGAGGAGGCAATTTGGGGAAGGAAGGAGGGGTTTGGGAGGAATTTTTCCCCATAGGGAAAAAAAAAAGGTTTTTTGGGGAAAACATCTCACCTGGAAGGAGAAGGGGGGGACCAAACCCAAACGAAGGGGAGGAGGGGGGGGAGGGGGGGGGGGGGGGACCAGAGGAGGGAGGGAAAGGGGGGAAAAGGGGGGAGAGGGAGTTGTGTTTTGATACTCCTTTTTTCCTGGGGGTCCTTAATTTTTTTTCTCTTTTTCCCCCCCCCCCCCTTTTTTGGGAAAAATTTTTTTTTTGTTTTAAAAACAAAATTGGGAGCCCTTTTCGAAAAATTTTAAATTTTTTTGAAAAAAACCTTTTTTGGCTGAATAACTGTGTCCTTTAAAAAAATTTTTCCCCAAATAAAAAAAACAAAAAAAGAGAAAAAAATGACTTGTCCGTAAAATAAAAATAGAATTTAACGGGGGGTAAATATTTTTGTCAAAAATTTTCTCCAAAGGGGGGGGGTGGGTGGGGAAAAAAAAGAGAAAAAAAAAAGAAAAAATTTTTAATTTTGAAAAATTTTGGGGAAATTAAAAAAAATTTTAAAGTAAATAAGAAAAAAGGGGGGGGGGGGGGGAAGCCCCAAAAAGGGGGATGATTTGAAATTAAGAAGAAAGAAAAAAAAAAGGAGCTAGCCCACCAATGGGAAGAGTTCACTGCTCCTCCTCTGTGAACCCCCAACTCCCTGGGGAGGGGGCTGGAGGTCCCATCGGAAGGGCCCAAGGAGCACCTGCTCCATCTCTTCTGTGTCAAAACCCTCCATACTCACACTGGGGGAGAGAGGGAGAGAGGGAGGGTAGCGTCACAGTCGAGTAGAGAGGAGAGGAGAGGAGAGGAGAGGAGAGGAGAGGAGAGGAGAGGAGAGGAGAGGAGAGGAGAGGAGAGGAGAGGAGAGGAGGGACGGAGAGGAGAGGAGAGGAGAGGACGAGAGGAGAGGAGAGGAGAGGAGAGGTCTAGTGGTGAAAGGAGCAGTCAGTCATCCTGCTGTCACTAAAGGCTACTGTTAGAGGATGGCACAACTCAATACTGTCATGAACGCAGGGAGCCCGGTCTGTGTGTGTGATTCTGTGTGTGTGTGTGTGTGTGTGTACGTGCATGTATGTGAGTGAGGCTGTAGCTCTGTGATTTGACTCTCTTCTTGTTTTTGAGAGTACGTTGTGTTGATGACCTGCCTTTATTCGCTGCCGGCTGCACTTATACTTCTGCTTCGTCTCTTTCCCTCCCCCTCTCCTCCTTTCTCTCGAAAATATTATGTTCAAATCCATTTGCATGTCAGATAAAACAAAATTGTAGCCTGTGTCCGTAAAACGTATATAGGTTCAGAACTTTTGTGAAACAGCACAGTTAAAAATATGGCAAATAGAAATCAAACTGGATGGTCTTCAGAAATAGATGGGAGGGGTTGAGGGTAGCGGAAGGATAGGAGTAAAAACAAACAAAAGAGAACTATTGTAAAATAGACTGTGTCCGTAAAATATATATAGTATGTATAAGCTGGAAGTAGAAGCCTAAGTGTTGTTGTTCATTAGTTTACTCCAATCAGGGGAGGGGTGGTAGGGTTAGGGGAAAATATAAAAGAAGAAGAAAAAGAAGAAGAAAAAATAAAATTGTAGCCAACATCTTGGATAAATGGGTGGAAAAAAGAAGGTTAGATAAAGGATAGATAAAGACAGGGAGAGAGAGAGAGAGGGACAAGCTACAGGAAAAGAGAAAGAGAACATTGCCATGCTCAGTGAATTAGGAGCAGAAGAGATTAGCCAATAAGAGAGAAGGAGAGAGCCAGCTAAAACAGCACTGATAAGAACGCAAGCAGTTAGAGCAGGAATGCCAGAGATAACAACAGCATTGACTATATGTGTGAGAAGTTATATACGGGTAGCACTGGTCTTAGATCAGCCATTCCCTAAAACAAATATTAGAACAGGGCTAGGAGACTCCTACACAGTTCACTCCCAAATTCCCGCAGCCCTCCAGGGACATGGCTGAGTTGCAAGCTGTGCATTTAACTCAATCACTATCTCACTCTCAAATCAAATCAAAATCCAATTTTGTTTGTCACATGCGCCGAATACAACTGGTGTAGACTTTACCATGAAATGCTTGCTTATGAGCCCTTCCCAAAAATGCAGTTAAAATATTATAATAAAAATAACATAGTAACATAATAAGAATCAAATAAAGTAGACAAATTGAGCTATATAAAAGGGAGCACCAGTACCAGATCAATGTGCAGAGGTACAAGTTATTTGAGGTAGATATGTACATGAAGGCAGGGTAAAGTGACTTGGCATCAGGATAGATAATAATAAGAGTAAAATAAAGAACAGAGTAGCAGCAGCAAATGATGAGTGTAAAAGTGTGTGTGTGTGAGTTTGCGTGTTTGTGTGTGTAATGTGTATGTATGTGTGTTGTGTCGGTATGCGTGTGTGTGTTATGTGTGTGCGCATGTAGTGTGTGTGAATATGTGTGGGAGTGTCAATGTAGTGTGAGTGAGTAACTGATGTCCAGAAGTGCTTGGCAGTCATGTGATAATAGTATGAACTTTCTGTACAAAAAAGGTCAAGATAAACACGATAAAAGTCACTATATAGCAAAGTTGGGTTGGAACTCATAAGATGTCGCCCTCCTCCATCGGCACCATCTTGTCAGCCTCTACCCTCGACACTGATGTGAGGTCAGTTTTGGGTTTCCCCGCAATTTGTAGTCTTGGTGACCAATGGACTAGTAAGTATTGGTCGTTAGTGCGCCCCCTACCTGCGTTGCTGGTACTGCGGGGGGCAGCCATACATCATGGCTCCAGGCTGCCAGCTGTGCCTGTGGAGGTGGTCCAGAGTGTGTGTGAGACAGGAGGAGGAGGGGGTCCGACGTAGTGTCACCCCTCCAGAGGAGGGAGAGGAGGGAGGAGAGGGGCAAGGGGAGGAGGGTGGGGGGGCCGGACAGGGGACGCAGCGGCCTCCCAGATATGTCGGGGAGCCTGGGAGACGAGGGGAGTGAGGAGGTGTGGCGATCATCTGGAGGAGAGAGGAAGGGAGAGGAAGGGTGAGGGAGAGAGAGAGAGAGAGAGAGAGAGAGACAGACACAAGGAGGAAGTGTGTGTGAGAGAGAGAGAGAGAGAGAGAGAGACACACACAAGGAGGAAGAGAGAGAGAGAGCGAGAGAGAGAGAGAGAGAGAGAGAGACAGACACAAGGAGGAAGTGTGTGTGTGAGAGAGAGAGAGAGAGAGACAAGGAGGAAGTGTGAGAGAGAGAGAGAGAGAGAGAGAGAAGGAGGAGGAAGTGTGAGAGAGAATGGACAGAGGTTATGGAAAGGCCTTTATTCATACTTTCACTGCAATTCATTATTTACAAAATGCATCTCATGGCAGCTACAGAATCAACTATTAGATGATAATTACAACTTAGTACATGTTAGACTTTGAGGAGGAGTTCAAAGGTTTAAGTTGCTCCTAAATTGTTGACTCACTCTGTGGTTTGCATGTTTGACTTGTTATGCTGTCATGGAAACAACATGAGGTCAAGTCAAAACAAAAAGATACCGCACCTAATGCGCTTGAGAGAAAAGGTGAAAGCACAAATACAGCCACATCATGTTTCAACCTTCTGTATTTTACAAGAATAATGTGTAACGTTTGATTCATAGATACCACACTCTCATTGACATCACTGTCCTAAACACCTAGAATGACAATAAGAAGGATTAAGACCTAAAGATTCATTAAGATGATCTGCATTGGGAGCCAAATGAATAGCTGTGTGTCAAATGCCTGGAACTGTTGCCTACTTCCTGGTCTGTTTTATGATGTAATCATAACTTCTTCTTTATTCTAGCTGAGCATAAACAAATGTAAAATGGAATCCATACCATGTGTATGAGAGTAGGACTGTGCTCAGAGCCCATTGAATGATGTAGTCACAGCACCCTCTAAAGGTGATGTCTTGTCAAGGCCATGGACGTCACACTCTCGATAGGCCTCCTTTCGATGACAGAAAAATGAAACATTTAAATATTAAATATTGAATCCTTAGTGAGTGGTGTGTGTGTGTTGCATGCCTTTGAGAGCGAGAGACGAGAGCAGTAGGGAGGCTGTATACTTAATACATTCCTTAAACCATGTGTAGTGTATCATGCTTCATGTAATGAGGTTTAGATAACACTGATACAGACTTCAGCCCTGCATGGTACAGTACAGAACCACACCCCGACACCAGTGGTGTAAAGTATTTTAAAGTACTACTTAAGTCGTTTTTTGGGGTATCTGTACTTCACTATTTATATTTTTTGACTACTTTTACTTCACTACATTCCTAAAGAAAATAATGTACTTTTTACTCCATACATGTTCCCTGACACCCAAAAGTACTCGTTACATTTTGAATGTTTAGCAGGACAGGAAAATGGTCCAATTCACACACGTATCAAGAGAACATCCCTGGTCATCCCTACTGCCTTTGATCTGGCGGACTCACTAAACACAAATGCTTCATTTGTAAATGATGTCTGAGTGTTGGAGTGTGCCCCTGGCTATCCATAAATACCAACAAATATTGTGCTCTCTGGTTTGCTAAATATAAGGAATTTGAAATGATTTATACTTTTACAGTTGATACTTAAGTATATTTTAGCCATTACATTTACATTTGATACTTAAGTATATTTAAAACCCAATACTTTTAGACTTTACTCAAGTAGTATTTTACTGGGTGACTTTCACTTTTACTTGAGTCATTGTCTATAAAGGCATCTTTACTTTTAGTCAAGTATGACAATTGGGTAATTTTTCACCACTGCACCACACTGAGGACCACCCTGACACACACACGTGAGGACTTCAGCGTGTGTGTCTGCATGCGTGTGTGCTTGCTCGTGTCCCCTGTAGCTCAGTTGGTAGAGCATGGCGCTTGCAACGCCAGGGTTGTGGGTTCGTTTCCCACGGGGGGCCAGTATGAAAAAATGTATGCACTCACTAACTGTAAGTCGCTCTGGATAAGAGCGTCTGCTAAATTACTAAAATGTAAAATGTGTGTTCTCGTATGTGCTTTCCTATGTGCGTTACTGAGTGAAAGTGAATATGTGTGACTGTGAGCATGAGTTGAGGGACTGAAAACAAGAGTGATTAAATATACATGTGCCATTAGGTGATTGAGTGCATTAACAGACAGGTGCATCCCTCTGCATGGGCTAAAGGTAGGTAATGATGTCACTGTGCCTACCTGCCTTATCTTCTTCTCCCTATTCATATTTTAGCTCTCTTCCATTTCTCACATTCCTCTCCATTCGTCTGCCTTTTCCACAACTTTTGAGAAAACTGTTTTTCTTTTGTCAAACCAAAAGGTCTTAAAGGAATTCTTTGGGATTTTGGCAATGATCCCAGAGTCAGATGAACTTATGGATACCATTATTATGTCTCTGTGTCTAATATGAAGGAAGTTAGAGGTAGTTTCGCGAGCCAATGCTAACTAGCGTTAGCACAATGACTGGAAGTCTATGGGTATCTGCGTTAAGACATGAGGACTTAAGGTGAACTGAATGGTTTGACTGGCCATCTACTGTCTCCCCCCTCTCCATACACCTCCTCTCTCCTCTCCCCCTCTTGCATCTCTACTTCCCTTCCTCCATCTTTCACATTCCTCCTCTCTAACCATACACAGGACTCAGTCCAGGAATGTAAACAGGAGGAGGTGAAACAACAGGCATGTCATGTTTCTTTCTGAAGAATGATGTGTCATCCGCTCTTCCACCCCTCAAATATGTATCTCTTTAATCCAGCTTTACAGTCAGGGTGCTCTAATGCCCTCCAATGTTTCTACACAGTTGCTTCACATGTGCAATGTGTTGTATTACCCAGCATCCTTTGAATTCATGGTGTCAATGACTTATCTGCCTAATTAAAGGTTAGGCTTATTAACTGGGGTTGCGTAGGCCTATCGGGACCGTACGTACAACCATGCTGAAAATGTCTATGTGATCTTACGTCCATATAGCCTTTATATATATATATATATATATATCTGTTGGCCCCGTTCCTCCTTTCACTGTCCTCTTCAAACAACTTCAAACATTAGTGGCTCATATGAAGAAAGCTCCCATCCCAACATCCCATCCATCAGTGCCATCAATTGGGAACTTTTTATGACTCCTGTGACCCACCTAATACTTTACTTGAAAGTATGCAAACACACTTGATATACCACTAAGGTTTGTCTACCTTTAATCATTACCTAGCATCTTCTTACAGACCGACCAGACATGAGTTTATGTCCTTAGGGAAGGATGGGGAGAAAAACGTAATGTTACTGTCAATGTTGTTAACACAACTTGAATAAACCAATCTAAAATATCCCAGTCAAGATGTTCTTTAAAATATATTTCAGTCAATTTGAGATTTTTTTTTAACAACGTTTCCCTGGTTATACTGTAAATACAGTAGGCTGTCTGTGATACAGATGTGTCAGCATACAGATAGATGTTATCATGTCTGATAATGGTGTAAGTTGAATATTTAAATTGTGTCAAACCAACCATGGTGATGAAATAAATATAAGTTCCAACCCATTTTAGAAAAGTATGGTCACCTTGGTAGGCTGCTACAAAATTCTTGGAGAACCTGGCTGGATGCCTTGAATGTCCCATGACTAAATAAATAAACTAGGCAACACATTGAAAATACACTGAACAAAAATATAAAACGCAACATGTAAAGTGTTGGTCCCATGTTTCATGAGCTGAAATAAAAGATCCCACAAATGTTCCATACGCACAAAAAGCTTATTTCTCTAAAATGTTGTGCAAAAATGTGTTTACATCCCTGTTAGTGAGCATTTCTCCTTTGCCAAGATAATCAATCCACCTGACAGGTGTAGCATATCAAGAAGCTGATTAAACAGCATGAACATTACACAGGTGCACCTTGTGCTGGGGACAATAAAAGGCCACTCTAAAATGTGCAGTTTTGTCACACAACACAATGCCACAGATGACTCATGGGGCGGCGCACAATTGGCCCAGCGTTGTCCAGGGTAGGGGAGGGAATGGCCGGCAGGGATGTAGCTCAGTTGGTAGAGCATGGCATTTGCAACGCCAGGGTTGTGGGTTCGATAAAATAATGTATGTGCTAACTGTAAGTCGCTCTGGATAAGAGCGTCTGCTAAATGACTAAAATGTAAAAGTAATGTCTCAAGTTTTGAGGAAGTGTACAATTGGCATGCTGACTGCAGGAATGTCCACCAGAGCTGTTGCCAGATAATTTAATATTCATTTCTCTACCATAAGCCGCCTCCAACATTGTTTTAGAGAATTTGGCAGTACATCGAACCGGCCTCACAACCGCAGACCACGTGTATGGCGTTGTGTGGGCGAGCGGTTTGCTGATGTCAACGTTGTGAAAAGAGTGCCCCATGGTGGCGGTTGGGTTATGGTATGGGCAGGCATTAGCTACGGAGAAATGTCCTCTGGTTTGATGAAACAAAAATAGAACTGTTTGGCCATAATGACCATTGTTATGTTTGGAGGAAAAATGGGGTTGCTTGCAAGCCGAAGAACAGCATCCCAACCGTGAAGCACGGGGGTGGCAGCATCATGCTGTGGAGGTGCTTTGCTGCAGGAGTGACTGGTGCACTTCACAAAATAGATGGCATCATGAGGAAGGAAAATTATGTGGATATATTGAAGCAACATCTCAAGACATCAGTCAGGAAGTTAAAGCTTGGTCGCAAATGGGTCTTCCAAACGGACAATGACCCCAAGCATACGTCCAAATTTGTGGCAAAATGTCTTAAGGACAACAAAGTCAAGGTATTGGAGTGGCCATCACAAAGCCCTGACCTCAATCCTATAGAACATTTGTGGGCAGAACTGAAAAAGCGTGTGCGAGCAAGGAG